CTTTGCCAGTACGGGTGCTTCTGTTAGCGCCTTCTTGATATCATTGAACTCAGCCGTGTGGGCTTCCGTCCAGTCGAGCTTGATATTTTTGTCCTTCCGGAGGAGCTCGTACATTTTCGAAGTTTTCTGAGCATATCCTCGGATAAATTTCCGGTAATAGTTGGCCAGGCCGAGGAACGACCTAAGTTGCCGTTCAGTTCTCGGGCAGCTTTGTTCTGCAATACAGGCCACTTTCTCGTCGTCGGTCTGGACTCCGTTTTTACTGAGAACGTGTCCGAGGAACAGCAGTCTGTCCGTTCCGATCTCACATTTGGAGGGTTTGACCGTGAATCCAGCACCGCGGAGGCATTCGAGAGTTGCTCGGAAAGCCTCAAGGAAGTCTTCGAACGTTTTGCCGAAGAAGATAATGTCGTCAATGTAGGCGAACACACCCTTCTTCCGAGCTGATGCTGTGATTTTATCCATATGCATTTGGAAGGTTGCTGGTCCGTTGCAGACTCCAAACGGCATACGGTTAAATCGCCCCAAGCCTTCGGGTGTTACGAAGGTCGTGTAGTCCTTGGATTGTTCGTCTATAGGAATTTGCCAAAAGCCGGACTGACAGTCTACCTTGCCGTAGTATTCCATTCCGGCACATCGGTCCAGTAGCTCGTCCGGATTCGGTAATGGGTAGTTGTTCTTCTTCGTGACGGCATTCAACTTGATATAGTTGATGCAGAAGCGTGTTCCTACTGTGCCGTCTCCGTTCCGTTTTGCGGCTAAGACGACGGGGAAGCTCCATGCAGCCGATGACGGTTCGATGACTCCTTGGTCGAGCATCTCTTGCACGTGTTTCTGGATGAATTCACGTCCCTTCCAGCTTGTCCTGGTGGGGTTCATCTTAATCGGCTGCGCCCCTTGGACATCAATGGTATGTGTTACCTCTTTTTCGTCTCCATAAGGTTTCTTCGAAATCGGAAATACGGTCCGGTAATCCCATGCCACTGCCTTCAGTTTGGCTAGTTGTTCATCGGTTAGATTTTTACCGAAGTTCATGGAGTCGATGATTCTTCGTCGCTCCTCTTGGGATTCCGCGTCTTCTTGCTCGACTTCAGCCGTGTTGACTCGTGCCTCTTCGACTTTCTGGTCGTCCGTCATCATAGTGAATGCTTCGGCTCGACCCATCGGTGCACCTTTACGTAAGGTAACTTCCCGATGAGTATGATTTGCCACCATGATGGTGAATCGTTTCCCGTCATGTTTGGTTACGCCGTCCATGAATTCGATTCCGTCCCGTTTGGGGTCGGATTCACCGAGGTACATCAGTTTTTGGTCCTTGGATACCGGTACGTCCAGGACGACTTCTACCATGGTTACGGCTCGAGGAATGAGTTTGACCTTCCGTTGGGCTCGGACTCCTGTTGCCTCGAAAACTTCGAACTGGGGTTTTGGCTTCACTTCCCGAGTCGGGGGCCAAGTCTTCGCCACTCTGTGTGGGAGTTCCCATTCGACAAATTCGTTGTTGATTTCTGGTTCATAAACGTCGGCATACTGCATATGTCCGAGTCGAACACCTTTCTTCAGCACCTTCGTTTGGTGAGTCGTGTTCTGAATGTTTATCCAGGCCGTGTCGTTTGTCGGTCGAATGTCGATCTTGGCTTCGATTGGCCGAATAGGTCGGACTACCCGTTGTAGGGTAGAGAAGTAAATTGGTCTTCTCGGATCCATTGGTTTGGCCGTCCGTACCTTGATCGAACATGTTGACCATGGTGGGAGAGAGACTCGTTCGCTGTTGAAGACAACTTGTCGGTCTAACGCTTTCGTCTCTATGTGGGAATCCAGCTTTAAGTGGTGGACTTCTGGGCATTTGTTGTCTAGGTCCAACTCCTCGATCGTCGTTATTTTGGCGACTCGTGCCTTCCATGAGTTGCAGTGCTCCGACTTCTGTTGGTCGGTCAGGTTAGCCAAGGTCGGTTGTTCCGTTGACAACTGCTGGACGACTATGGTTGGAGGTCGGAAATCGTCTTCCTCTGATTTACCTCCTCCGAACTCCCACAAAGCCTTAAGTTGGTCGAGTTCCTCCTGCTGTTCGGAGTCGACCGGCTTCGGTTGTTCGGTTTGTTCCGGTTGCTCGACTATAAATTCTGTGTGAACTATAGTCCGCAGTGCTGTGGTTAGTCGGACATCGTAAGTCAGTTCTTCGTCTTCCGATGACGAGTCGTCCGAGTCGTTTATGCTCGGTTTATCCGTCCTACAGTGTCGGACTGACAGGTCGAATTCTTCGTCGTCTTCCTCTTCGGATTCTTCCGAAGGTCGGTTATCGGAGTCGGTATCCGCCGAGTCGCTCGTACTCTGTATGTCCGAGTCGTCCGACTGAAAATCTTCGTTTTCGACGGTTGTTCCGTCCTCCTGTCCGACTTGTGGTGTATTATCGACTTCGACCTGTGTGGTCGTTTCAGCTTGGTCGACTTGCTCCGTCGGTTGGGTAGGTCGACTTGCTCCGTCCTGGTTCTCAAGGTCGGCTGGTTGTGAGCCTATGTCGCTCAACCATTGGATGCGCGTCTGTTGGGGCTTCCGAAAACGGTCTACCTTCCGTTCCTGTTGCGGCGGTGACGGCGACCACGGTCTGTCGTCCGACCAAGTTAAGTCGTGATGGGCCTTTATGGCCCGTACAACCCCGTCAATGTTGTCCTTGCAGATGGTACACTGGTAGGATTTATCCGTTTCGTCCAGGATTACATCGTCCTGGAGTTTCGGTGGGCTACTCGCGAAGTGCACTGTGGTCGGAGTATGCTCCTCTATTGGCGGTAATGGGTCAGGTACATGTCGCGTTATCAGAAATTACTTTTTCACCGTTAAAAAGTTAAATTTTACGGATAGAAATCGTTTTCTACCGTTAGAAATTGAAAAGCCGACCTAGTTTCGGCTAAAATCGATATATAACCGTGACTTTACCAGTGTCGGTGTCGGTGTCGGTTCCGGTCGATTTCCTCCGTCCGAGGTCGGAAATTCGTCGTTTCCGAGCTGAAATCCGCGAGTAAAGTTGCGGGTCGCTGTTCAAAGCGAAGGTCCCCGTATTATTGGAGTAATCCTATCGCGCTGCAGACTCTCGTTCGAGTCTGATCCGTCAGTTGAGAAAAGTCCGTGCTGTTGGGAATGCGCTCTTCAATGTGGAAGAGACCAAGAAAAACTGTGCTCACCAGCTGGGCAAGAATCACTTCAGTGATCCTCGTTTTCCTCAGCTGTAAGACGATGCGACCGTTCTGATCAAAGTCAAGGTAGAGATTGCTTCAGCAATCGATCTAACAGTGACTTTCAGGTTCCTCACAATTTCTCCGTGAATTGAGCCTTCACCGTCTCCTCAAAGGGTCCGTCGAAAGAAAACCAAACGATCCTGCTTACCATGTAACAGGCAAGCGCGAGGAGATCACGAGTGTGCTTTATTGTACAAATAAAGGGAACAATGCTGCGTAATAGCAGGGAAAGCAAAACAAAGCACTGATGGCTAAGCAAGCAAGTGAATGCTAAAAAGCTCTTGAGCGTTTGCCAAGGCGTCAAAAGCCCCTGGCGGCAAGCACGTGGTGTGTGCCATCAGCTGTGTGATGATGCGCAGACTGGACTCGATCCAACGCGAGCGTATGAACGCTGAGTCATACTGCGAGAGAGGGACGAAAGAGCAAGTATGCTCAGTGTGTGCGCCGCGTATATCCGCTTCAGCGGATGTGAGTGCAGTGCAGCAGCACACGTACGTACAGCGAGAGAGGCGATATGACAAGCATGAGTGCAAGTACGTCCATGGTGGGCCGTATGCACCAGGCGCAGTCATGTGCCTCTGACAACATGATAGACACTTTGAGGTCGTGATAATTTATAGTTGCTCAAACGAAATTCAAGAGAAAAACTGATGATAAAGGAATATATTTATAACCATTCCAGTAAACAACATTTTCATAGATACTCCTGCTGTTCTGCAGCACTGCAGCAAAGTACAGGAGTACTAGTGAAGTACAGGACAGGAGTACAGTACAGTACTGGAGTGAAAGGCTTGATGTGTGGTTTTCAATGCGGTTTTCTTGACCACTGCAGGTGAACTCGCAGCCTTAAGGCGACCACTATGAGATGACTTTTCGTTTAAATATGATTCGAATTTTAACATCAGCTTGTAGGAAATTTTTCGGGCTTCCAGAGAGTGTGCCCCGATACGGCACAGTAAACTGTGATCACAAGTTATAAGTAAAAAAACAAGGCTGGGTCAGCAGCGGCGCAGTAAATGCAGTGATGTTATCGGCTAGCCATGGCCAACCACATGGCCGATATGCCGCAGAAGATCTCAGACAGAACACCTGATGCTGTCCTGTGGCCGGAGCATACCCATTAATCTTCTCTCTCAAGCTATGTTCTGTCTGATCTCTTTCTGCAAAGCGCGGGCATGGGTAGCCGGCTCTGCACATGAAGGCCTCCGTGTAGGGCAGCTTGTCGCGGTCATCCCAGGTGATCTGCTGGGTTTGGTCCACGGCTTCATCCATTTCCCGATGGATGCGGTCCTGTGCATCGGAATGGAGGAGCAGCAGTAAAAGAGCCCTGTAAAGTGAGCCGGACCTTTATCTTATGCTAAAGTATGTAGAAGCAGCAGTTCGAAGTATTACTTCGACTTGTTAGTGCATACCAAACGGCAGGTAAAGGTCATCTGATGAAAAAATCCAAAACAATGACATAAATGTGTAGTTTAAGCAGCAACATAATTTGCTGTAAAATTAAATGCCTGCCAGTCGTAACCATTTAAAAGTTGTTATCGATTCCTAAGGTTGGTAAATTTTATTTCAACTATAAAATCAAAAAAGTACTTATAAAATTTTCAAAAGTAAGTTTAAAATAATTTGTAATAGTAGCCTGATCCGATCAAGATTCACTACTCAGCTTAATTGCTAAATAAGGGAGTTGGCACTTGTAACATACAGTAATGTATTAATAATCACCATTGCAAGGTGGTCGCGCTCGTATCGAACCCTCCATCAAAAAGGTCAATCAGTACCGACAGCTAGCAGCCGATCACGCGTGAACATGTTCTTGGTGTTCTTATCCGATTCGCCGTGATCCAACCAGGCATCCACGAAATCCCGCGGATTCCCCGGTACCCGTGTCGTTTCATGTTCTTTAATCAATCCGCGAATGAACGTCTTGGTATCGCGAAAATTTCCAAGATACACGCGGTAGTCTTTATGCGGCCGCAAGCGCAACCAGGGAAATGCGCTGACCAACATGGCCGAATTGACCAACTTCAACGCCTCACTCATCTTCTCCCCAATGAAACTAAACCCCGCATCCTCATGGTGGAAGCGTTTACCAATTAACAGGGCGGAAATGATATTGGCCGTCGCCGTGGTCAGCGCGTTGCGTGGGTTGAACGGTGATCCGTTGGTGCGCCGGAATTCCTCAACCAGCACATCGGCTTCGTTGAGGCTAATGTCACATATTGTAGAATGTACATAGCTTTTATATTTGCTGTCAGTTGTGGCTATAACGATTTATGCCGCTGTTGGTCATTAAGTCACTATAGATTTTAATGAGTCGAAATACAAATATTTTTCTGAAAACTCATATTTTCTTTGTTATACAGGCGTGTTTTATTATGGTGCAGCTACGGTAGGTGCAGCATGTACTACTGTATATAATCGGTGTTTTTCTCCATACCAAAAAGTCGAACACATATTAATGTCGACATATACATACATATTTTTTCGAAACTGCTCTGAAATTTCTGATAAGAGTACATATGTGTATAAATGTAAATGTATAAAATTATTTTTACATATTAATGATTGTTAGTTAGTTATTGGTTAAATCCATTCCCGTATAAACACATATTCTGTGATCTTTCAGGGCGTATTACTATACACAATGGAAACTGCATATATCTGTACTTTGACCTTTATAGGTGAATCCTTTTTAGGTGAATCCCTTTTTATACTCAGTCGTATCCGCTCGGTTTCGGCAAGCTTGTCGCTCTAGCTTGGGGGATTGTTTGGGGAAGCGTTATAAGCGTTTTCAGGCGAGACCATCTAATACGTCACCTAATCACGCTTTCATGTATAATCCGGCTGGATCGGGAGACCTGGCCTCTGTTGAGGAACACGGACCCTCGGGCCACAGCTGAGCAAATAAGACACGTACGTAGAAGTAACGTTATAAAGAAATCCTTCCTTACGAAAACGTATTAACAAGCTACATTGCAACAGGATCACCGGACAGTAACGACAAGATCCATCAAAGCCTCAAAGGTCACATTCGGGGCGTTTCGTTACGGAATACGGATGCAGTTTTGCAGAACTGGATACGTTTGTGTTCTAAAACGTTTATGCAACAACTTTGTTCGTTGACTTATTTTTTAACGAGCAATGAGAGTTCTTTGTTTACTGCACTTTACATCCATAAACTACCAAAAATTTGTTCATGCTTCCATGGTTGTATGGAGAATGTAGTTAAAAACGAATAATAAATTACTGTATTTCCAAGTTATGTACAGTACCGGAAATCCCTTTAATTTAACTTGTACTTGTGTAATCGTACATCTGGCATGCTGGTTTCTTCAGAACGCTAACAAAGCCACACATTTTGTCCTACTGGTGGTGCAAAATAATTGAGTAAAATTACGTAACGACGGTGAATTCATTTTAAAGAGCAAGCAGAATAACGCGAAAAGCGGATAAAAAATCTACAATATAGTTAAATAAAAATAAAATCTTTTGGAGACTAAATGCGTAGACACTCCGTTCTTATAATGTTTACAGTTGTACTAGTATAAAATATAGATATACTTTTATATACAAGGAATAGCGGTACAGAAACCTTCACATGTTTTCTATGAAAGTAGATTTTCATCGAGTACACAACCTCAGCCGACAACGAAAATATGCGGCCTGTAATCACGCCGAACATTTCGTCAAAATTAGCCGATCCTGGAGCCAAGGTGGCTGGAGCTGTTCCCATGACAGAGGCAGCGTTTCCGCGTAGGACTTCGATGCTGATCGGCTGGGGCAGACACTCCGTCGCCCGTACCTCGCCTGTTTCCTGTAAAAACCTGTTGCCTGTTTTGTACGTATAAAAATTAAAAAAGGAAGGGAGATCTTTGTGCACGGTGAAGTTTCCTGCTCGAGTGCGTAGCGCACGACCCCCCTCGTCGTCGTTACGTGCATATTCAATGGATTGTATGGAATATGGATGCGAGACAAGGAAAAAACACTGCGTGACAAATTTTCTTCGAAAATTACTTCCGGTGGGTCTGGATTCAAAAGTGAAATATAGATATTTGGAATACGCTACACACGAGCCGCAGCAAGGATACAAGCCCAACCAGCCTTCCCATCCGCTACTGTACTGTGCTTGCAAGCAAACATAGTGCAACCATACACGGTTAATTAACAGTAGTTAAGTGTACTCTGGACGTGGATAACGGACTGCACGGTGTTAAGTGCAACGCTCGCATCTCGCTCAGTTTTTGTGAAAACTCCCGAAACAACGTCTAGAAAGGCAGAAAAAAATTCAAGAAGTTGCTTTTTATTGCTATTATTACGGCACAAGAGCAAACAACCCCAAATGGACTTCAAGTATGTGGCAATTCTCGTAGATTTAGCATTTAAAAGAAAATCGCCGTGTTGATTGTATGTTAGACCTACGAAAGAAACTGGAAATCACTTTACCTCGCATCAGTTGCCACAAATAACCACTTGCATACTGTATAGTATCAACAATCTTCCAACTTTTTTTATTGGTTTTGAGACGTTGGTTCTGGGTTTCGACGAAAGCTGAAGCAGTCGCGTGCATTCGAGATTACCGTGTAAGTACAAAGACACGAGTCACACGCCCAGAGGTCTGCAACTTTGCACATATTATTACTAGTGGTGGTTGTTAACCACATCCTTGCACCGAGCGCGAGCGCCGGTCCGCTGGGAATGTGAAACTATGATTCGACATGGCGCGCGAACCCAGTTCTGATGGCGCTCTTCGGGAATGGTGTAAACTGTAACCAGCGTATATCGTATGTAATATAAGCTCGCTGGTGCAAGTTTTGCGCTGGCGTGTTCCAGTCTATTGTTACGATCCCGAGATCGACTGTCAATCTGGGAAACTACATTCAGGAAAACACTACAGAACACTACATTTGGGAAAACATTCAAAAAAGATTTCGCTGTGGATAAAAACAAATGGTTTTTATCGAAATTCTGACCAGAAAATTTCATGCTAAGGTATTAACGACACCAAGTATTATTGCGCGCTTCCAGTACCATTAGAAAACGATGTTAATGACATCCTTGAAACAGCGCGTAGGCTATGAAATACCACTGCCAATAGAAATGAAAATTTGTGGAATTGGAAAAGCGTGACCGACGCTTTTCGTGGGCGACAGACAAACTCTGCTACGGGAAGCGTATACTCTGCTATGGAATGCTATGAATGCGTGCATCGCTTGACGAAGGCATAGAGTAGCACCTCGCGCTTCGCGCTCGTTGCAGATTACTTAACGGGCAACCGCGGGTTTTGCACCATGTACAAAAAGCTACTTTCTAACGCTCACGCTTCGTGAGTCTCGAGATAACCTATCCAAATTTCATACCAAAAGGTGTAGAAGAAAATTCTGAATTTTTTTAATAACAAACGCATGACTGTTCATGCATCTTATTAATTTTTCTCGTAAAGAAAGCACAAGATCTCCATGTATAAGTTATACATGGAGATCCTATACAGTATATGAGTACTTAACCACCCCCTAATTTGGGCCAATCACATGCGTGTAACAATTTGGTTACAGATTTCCATAGACAAATCGCAAACAAGCCGTCTATACTAGAAGTATAGAAAGTCTCACTTTCTATTTTCTTAGTATAGAGGTACTGCTACAGGGAACTGTGCAGACCCACCGGAAATGGAAGATGAAGTCGGACAAGGAAAAATCCGCATCGCTCATCACTGTTTGTTTAACTTTAGTGTTCAATGTTTACCAAAATTATTTTTTGATTATTTTCCATTTTTCAGTTCTTGTTGCACTGTTTTATGAACTGCTCCATGGCAGGAATCAGTCTTATTTAAACACGAACATTCTGTGTCTGAGTGGAAGTTTCCTACCAAGCAGCAGCTGCAGTAAAAACATAATCCAGTTTCTTATTGTTTATTGCTTCGAGGGAGCACGCAATGGCCGATGCGGAATCTCAGATCGCCAATCCAAAGGACTCATCTCTCCTCCGCCTCGCTCCGCAGCTTTCCAAAGGTGCGCCTGTGAATACGGTTTAGCGGAGGATTCGGATTTCTACACCTCGTTTAGAATGTTGCACTAACTGGGATCGAACTTTGTATTTGCAGTTCTTACGCCTACAAATCAGTACAGACCAGATTGCCCGTTACGCTGACCAAAATTGTTGACCATCTCAGCCGCCATAAGGATGAGGTTTCTTCCGGGAATTATAGGACGTATCTGCATGATCCACGAACTGGCAGGAGACCGTCAGAAGAGCGATCATCACATCAAAACGTACGAATGCAGCGATGCAGTATGTGCAACAAATTTATATGCATTTGTTGCATGTCTTGTGCTTTTCACTTTTTTTGAATTTGCCTTGGAGTAATAAAATTTGTAAAATGATGAATAATGAATAATTAAATTTTCAGACTTTGTTAAATCGTTGTTTTCCGTGTAACGAGAAAGATTCAGTCATTGAAATTGAAATTCAGAAACTGTTGATTTTCTACTTCATTTGTGTTTGGCAATATGTAATTACAGAATTGCAGCAGTTGATTTCCTCTAAGTAATTTTTTTTCTCACCGCTGTGATTTTTTACCTGCAAAGTATTTTTTGATAGCATACTGTCTGCTGAGCAGTGAGCATTTGTTACGTTTACAGATTTTTTATGGGTTTTCTGGATACATTTTGTTGGAAAATATTTTTCCATTTTATTTAGCAGCATAAAGAATTTTGTAACAATGTGTTTAATTTTTAATAGCGTGTTTTCTGTGTACAGTAGTCAAAAGTTATCACTGCTGTGGTAGCGTTAAGTCGGTTATCCTAAATTATTTTGTTATTTCAGGAAAGGGAAGAAGAACTAAAGCAGATTGTCGGAGCCCTGTCCAAACTGCGCAATGAAGTGCAGACAAATAAACTCATCACGCCTTTCCCGATCCCACCGGAAACCAGTGACCACCGTAATTATTTCGCCGATCTTCCGGAATAAAATAAAGCCCTGAACGCGCCTGTTGCTCAGAATCTGCTCTATGCCGACGAACAGCCGAAATGGTTCGAATCGCCGTGGATGTTTGTGGAAGCCTATCTGTATCGGCGCGTTATGTTCGCCGTTCAACAAACGTACGCGGAGTGATGACTTTTATGACGTTTGTGAAACCTTTCGAATAAAAATTGGCTCTGCATTTGTAGGACCTATTTGCACGATATGGGTCCCTTCCAGTGGGAGAAGGCTAGTCGGCAGAAGATAATAAGGAAAATATTGGGAACATTCTCAAGTTTTTGGATTGTTTGCTAAAGGATGTCAGTGGCAAAGACGTTTCCTTGGACGCAGTTGCAGGAAGATTTAAGGAAATTCTCAAGGTGAAGACGAAATCTTTGAATGTTTCCGTTGCGCGTTTTCTTATCTTCTGGTAGTCCTTCCGAAATTTCATATGAGTTTGTCAAGAAATATTAATCATAATCATTGTAGTGCACTGTATTAAGCTTGAATACTGTACTCCATTGGGTGCTTGCGGTATTAGATTTCTTATGTGCTCGCATAATCTGCTGGTGAAAGTTAGTTTGTACAGTTGGAATGTATGTGTTTGGTATTTTTTTCTGTTTTTTATGTAGGTAAATTTAATGATAAGAAGCATCTTTCCAGAAATTTTTTGTTGCAGTATACAGTAACACTATCTGCTCCTGAAGTCTCTTTCTTATACAGTACATCTGAAATACACGGAAATTATGTTTTGTTTTGCCAAAAATTGTTCGAGTTGGTATGAAACATGTCAAAATCACTATGTGCTTAGTAGGTGTCTGTAGTATTCAATTTTTCATGTTTTCAGCGGTCGCTTTGGGGCAAAGAAGGCGATCTATCCCATCCAGTGGGAAAGAAATGCTGCAATTCGGATTCATCTAATCACGCTGACTCCAAAAACCCAAAAGAAAAGAAATCTGATGATGAATCCAAAGAGCGAACAGTCGTAATGGACCAAACCGATGAAATCTGGGATTACATATCTAAGCTCCCTACAACGTCTTCCCAACCATTACGGATCGACATCGTCTGTGATAACGCCGGTCTGGAGCTCAACACCGATCTGGTCTTCGGGACAGTTTTACTGGAGACCAAATTAGCCGGCGTGATCCACTACCACGTGATGCAGTTACCGTGTTACGTCTCCGACGCAACAATATCCGATTTCTACCACGCCATCCAGTTAGCCAAGCAGCACAATCCCCAAATCAGTGCCAAATGGGAAGAATATCTGCACAACGGGCAGTTTATCGTGAAAAGCGACGGATTCTGGTCGCTGCCATGGGATTTCGACCATATGGCACAGCGTGCGCCGGAATTGTACCGTGATCTGGGGACAGCGTCGTTGATTATCTTCAAAGGGGATCTGAATTATCGCAAGCTGGACGGGGATCTCCAGTGGCCGCCGGCGACGCCCATGCAGCGCGGCGTCCAGGGTTTTGCGCCGGCGGCGTGGTGTGTGCTGCGGGCGTTGAAGGGCGACACGGTGGTGGGACTGCCCAAAGGTCGCGCCGAGGAGATGCAGGCACAGGATGACAACTGGATGACGTCAGGGAATTTTGCGGTGGTGCAGTTTTTCCGGCAGAAACCGGCGTGAATGTGTGATCTGTCGAACTGATGCAAGTTAGTGGTATGATGTGTTGATGGAGTGACTTGTTATTTGTTTTAGCCTTATTATTTATTGAACTGCACTAATCTGCGCGGTTGGACGATTATTGTGCAGCTACAGACAATCTAAGATGCGGTATTGTATTTAATGAATTTTATGGAATATTTCATGTGCAAAGTCGGTAAATAAAAATGTAATGCTGGAGAAAATACCAGTTGTATCTTAACTTAGAAAGATAATGCAATCTTTTTAGATCATCATCGATAAGAAACAGATTTTCACCAGGGATGCACAGCGCCCAGCGGTACTTGTACTCGTACTTGTATTGTGTTGGTATTTCTTACTGTAATCAATCACAAGAACACAACGAAGAGTTTTCTAACGATAACAATAGTAGGTTGAAAACATTAAGCAGTACAGCGCATACTTCTGTTTTTCGGCGAAGTTGCTTATATGAAAATCGTTGCCACACCTTTTTGTAGCTGATTACGTGCGCGCGTTTTAAGCAACATATTACGATGATGTTTACTTGTACAGCGCAGGTTCCTGATGAGCAACAGTGAACCGACATTTTATGCGGAAACTTGGGTAATATTGGTGGTCAGCGTTGACAAGGGGTTCCTTATGGATAGAACGACAATGTTGACGTTCATATGGATTCTGGAGGTCATTTTGATGTGTTCGTTATTATTACGGGTAATAATGCTTCACATTTGTACAATAACGCGCATAGCGTATTGTCAAGGACTTGAATGATTATTACAAACGGCGGCATATATGGTGCATTATTTGAATTATGGCACCCAGGAAGATTCGACATTTTAAAATCATATGGCAAGTGACAATAATAATTTATTGCAGGTGTCGGCGGAGTCTGACGGCGCCGCGACGCAGTTTCGTATCAAAGTGAAGCTGGTGCAGTTCAGCAATCCCGACGGTATTCTTTACAACCGGAAACGCTGCGATGTCGTGACACCGTGCGACCCCCACTATCTTCGCTTACGTAGATCTGTGCTGTATGCATGCTTTTCAATGAAGCAGATTAATTAATAAGACGAAAGTCAGGTTAATTTGTCAATATATTTTTGTATAAGGGTTTCAATACAGATGTTACGTCACCGATTGTGAATAACAGTAAACAATATGTGATGATTGCAGAGAAAATCCGAGCGCTCGCCGACTAGATTTTCAGCAGGATTTACACAACTTTCAGAAGATCCGGAGTCTGTGGGACAAGAATATCATTGACTTGAATGAAACAGTTCTCAAGGATATTTCCGTCCGGTCAAACGATACGCAGGTTCGACGAAATTCTGAATAATTTTTAGGTTAAACAAATTGTTACTGGGTGAGATGATAATGCTGTAATATAATTGTTATCCCTCCCTGTACTGTACAGTTACCATTTATTTACTTGTTAGTACATCTTATACATTATTACATTACGCTTCGCCTAAATTTATCTGACTTGTTAGTCTAGCATTGCGATCATTTATCGGAGCGGTTCACCATATAACGCGTTTGATTTACCGACTTTGTAATTATTATGGTGTTACCAAGAATAGATTTTGAATGGAAAAAAGTAGTAGATGCACGAGTACGGTAAATCTCGGAGTAGTTATTACTGTTAGAGTATATCAGGTTAATGGAATATCGGTGCAATTTAAATAATGTTTCGGTGAAGTTATACCGATATTGCTGCATAAAGGCGTCTGAAGTACATATTATACTTATTCTGTGTTCGCATTGTTGTGAAAATAATTCGCTACCAAGTCAGTTAGAGCATCTTGACCTATGTCCAATAGCATTACGTGGGTTCTTATTTGTAGATTACCGCAATTAGTAGTTTTGACACCATGGAACTCTTATATATTTATTTTGTAGACCGCGACGGTGCGTGTAAAGGTCCCGGATTACGACCACACCAGCCATTTCGATCCCATTGATAATTTCGAATGCAAGATCAGTTTCTCTGCATCATCGGTTTCTGATCAGTGGTCGGATGTTGTAACGTGTCAGGGAATTAATCAGCCCGATAAAATCAGGTGCAAATTGCTCCTTTATGGTTTGGTGTACTGAGTTCAGTAATATCACCCACCTGATGGCTGATGTTTTTCGATACGATCATACGAGTACCAATAAAATATTCTTATTATTTTATTTAGTCGCACGCTGCAGTTATGTGCAATTTCCAGTTGGTGTCAGGTTAACTGACAAAGAAAGTAGGTATTTGTGGCGACATACTGTAAGATGCAGTATCGTAACTGACTATGTTTAATGGTTTACCGTATTTTCAGTATTAAATTCCACTGGAGGACCGCACTGGCGCCAAAAACCAAACGCTGACCGATATTTTTGTTATTTTTATTTACTTATGAGTTTTTATTATAATTTAATTATTATTGGCTTATCTATGTTTGTGTGATATATCAGTTACTCGTACTATTGGCTATTTGGCGTATTGTTTTTGTGTGAATCGATCCGTATTAAATCGAGCTCGTACCATGCGACTGTATTTTGCATGTTTTTCGCTTGCTGCATTGACCTTCGTTTTGAGTCGAATTGGATATATAAGTGTTTGCCTCATTTATCAACTTCAGATAGTGGAAGGTTTTTTTGACCCGTTTTACTGAGTGCTCGTAAATACCGTAATATATGCATTAACGACATTATTTCCTTTTAATTCCCAGGTATTTTGGAGGGATGGATGGAAGGGTGGAAAGCAGACCACTGGCTGGATATCCATAATCAGCCTGTTGCTTATGCGGAGGATCTCATAGAACTGGATAAAATTATGGAGCGTTTCGGTGGCGAGCGGATTCGAATGGTAATATCTGTTGGAATGGTTTAATGACGCAACTGTTCTCTCGAGCTTTAAAGTCATTTAGTTATTAATTTTTTAAACAATCCCGTCTCGCGCTGCATTTTTTTTGTCAGATTTCTATCTTTCATGGTGTCTTCCCATGCAGCATTATCTGCTTCTATTTTGCCATCTTGTTCTAGAAAATTTGTCAGTATCGATACAACGATGGCCTTGTTTTTTTTTGCATCAGAGCGGTAAAATTGCGAAGGTTTTGCGTGAAATTCCCTGTTGTTGCAGGAATACTTCATCCGCAGTCTGGCAACTTAGGCCACGAGCAGGCTAAACATCTGGCGCTGCGTGGTGCGCGTCGTATGTTAAACGGCGATTATTGTCTGCCATGGGTTCGATAGATATGTTGTTTGAGCCTTTGAGGATGTAAGTGCCGCCTCAGTATTGCTTTTCAGTTGCTAGAATTTAGGAAGAATGTAGTCTGAAAATCTGCTTTTGCATTCTTGCATACATTCCTGTGCTCCATCTCATAAAAGATATAACGCACTTTTCTGGATAATTTCGGATCTGTTTTGTGCATAATTATATGATCTCTTGTTAACTACACGTCACCGTATTTTGCTCAGTTTTACAAAATTATTTGGATGAGATTTCTGTACTGGTTGCCAGTATGACAAGGCAGACGACGTGATTTTTATACCACTCACTGTTAAAAGTTAAAGCCAATCATCAAGCAAAATAAAACAGTTGTCCTTATAGAAGTCGTATTCGTTAGTTCTCTTTATTCATTCTGCGCCCACAACATAGTGTCCTTTTAAAAAAAAGAAAGAAGAAACAACTACCGGCGAGCGGTCTTTCCAACAGTACGTTTGCCGGCGAAGAGATGTTTCGGTTTCATATTGAGAATCTTTCGGTCGGCTTCACCCTTCTTGGCTTGATGGTTCATACGATTCTGAGCATGTTTCCTCATCTTCTTCGCCTTCTCGACCATCTGATAGGAAAAAAATTTTTTTCATACATCCAGTTACTACAGTATATGAAATCAGCGCAGTGCTGCGACCCAGGCTTCTGCGATACACGTAACAAACATTATACAACTCCATCTCATTCAAACAAATGTCGAACAAAGTCTGCTCTCCTCAACAGGTCAAGATTACCGTATGCTAACAAACTAACAAGTAAACCAATAAGATCATATCAAGTAAACCAATACTGCAAAATCATAACAGTCTTCAATTACTATCTACAGTACAAAGTTAGAAACATTGGTTTACAACGATAAAAATGCAGAGCACGACATACTCCAACCAATAATGATACGGAGGTACTGGGAACCGAAACAAAAAGCTACTCGTGCAAATTTTGGACAATACTGCAACCCACACATACACAACAATTAGGTGGTAATAACAGCAGCAACTGACCTTCTCATCCCGCAGTCCAGATTGATCTCGCGGCACGCGTGATGACGAGCGCACCCGACTGCCGGCGCTGGCACTGATCAGGCGCTGTCGCTTGGCTTTGGCCTCCCGTACCCGACTGCCCTCCGTCACGGAGCGTGCCTGTCGTTTTCCGCTCAATTCCTCCCCGTCGATACCCAAATCCTCCATCTGCGCACGCAGTCGACTCTCACTGCGATCGCGTTTGCGGCCTGTCGCACGGGCCATACGCGGTTTATTGGTGCTGTTAACGCGGGATTCCTCGTGCATCACTGCCTTCCGGCGCCGAATCCTATACAAAACACAAATGGAATCATAACACGAACAAATACGTTGACTTCCAAACGTCTCCACTGCACCGCTCAAAAGGTAAAACTGCTTACTCTTTGGCCTGTATCCTGATCTTTTCCATTTCCTCATCGTCCTCTTCCATTTCATCGTCATAATCGCCCCGCGCTTCCCTTTCCTCCTCTTCCTTTTCTAATTGTTCTAATCTCTGATGAAAAAACAAAAGCAATTTTCATTTGAACCTCAACTTGTGGCGCTATAAACCGAAAATCTCACAGCAAAAATTTCAGGGTCAACATAATCCGCGATATTCTTTCCGTTCCACATTTCCGGAATGACATCATAGCGCTCCTTCTCCGGAATTTCCAAATAATGTTCTACACGCAACACCACACACATCAGGCTTATTGCCAACACTGCACAAAGTGCGCAATCCGCCAAAACCCAAGTCTTACTTTTCAGATCGAGAACGTATTCTTCAGCCATTTCCAGCCAACGTATATGTCAACAAATTTTGTAACCACCAGATTTATGCTAACTTATAATGCTTTTCCTCACTCACCTTTTCATCGGGTCGCATATCTTCTGGTCGAGTAATATCAGTTTTGTTGACAACGATGATTAAGGGCTTATTGGCAAACAATGGCTTGATATTGTTGAAAAGTTGCACCTAAGCAAAACAGATTCGCTGCGTAAGTTTTTGCCAACCAAAACGGCAAACGGATAATTTACTTGTTCCTGCAGTGTCCGACCGCACTGTTCAGAGATATCCATGACGTATAAAACAGCAGCTCGGAGATGGGCCAGCGCTGTGATCGCTTGCATTTCGATCGTATTTCGTTCTTCCAGCTGTGCATCGAGGATACCGGCCGGTATCCTCGATGCACAGCTGGAACATTTATATGGAAAGACGGTTTTATATGTTTCGGATGAGTGATTCACAAAAAAACGCATGTGTTACACAGGTTTGCATGTCGGTTCATGCAAATCGCTTTCAGCGCTTACTGATAACCCCTGGGCAGTGATAACTTTATCTCGTTCGGCACGAGTATTGTCGTGGTTTGGCAAATTTTATTCGAAAATACTGCAGTGCCAAGCATCTATCGGCAGCTATATTATACACATACTAGCTGTAATCCTGCATTTTATCGGCAAAAGCTTAGTTGCATACACTTTGTATATTTTTAAATACTTTATGCATTTTTGCCTGGTTTTTATTAAATATTTTTTCCTTTTTCTAATTTTTAAAAAGAGATGCTCAAGTTGATACACGCTCATGCATCGTCATTGTGAAAAACTGTGAAAATAAGGTGATCAGCCGCTTCACTTTCTAGTCACCCATTGTGCGCGTTTGCTTGCGCAGGTACGGTATAATTTTCAATGCGTTGCGAGACTTCCGACTGTATTACAGAACCCTATTAAATAAAATCCTAAGAAACCTCTATAAATCTTGACGTATTTTAAAATATTATGTTTTTCTTTGTTTTCTTTTCTTAATATGTAACCGGTTATGAAATGTGACCCTAATCGGTAATTATGCATGAGGCGCAGTATGCAACATTTATCATTATGCATCTGCATTACGTACGTATGTATCTCGAGCTGTATTTAGTTAGATCAGTTTAGCTTTACCGCCAGTATACCATGTATGTGGGCTTCTGAAATAATTTATTCTTGCATTATCACAAGCTTGTGAGCATGCAGTTATTTCAGAATTCAGCAATAAGTGCTATAGATAAAAGCGGACCGTTTCGGTTTTGTGCTTTAATCATGATTAGGAATCGGTTTAATTTAAGTATAATACAAGGCCTATTAATTTTTTGGTTAATTAACGCACATAATCGGTTAGTATTTCATGGCGCGTGTGAAAAATTACACTTGCCGACTTTCATTTACAGTGCCTACTCATTTTAACTGCTCCCAAAATACAGAAGTTCATAAATTTAATCATATCTCGGTTATTGCACGTACTCTCTGCAATCCACGTACTCTACGTACTCTTTCTCTCTAGATTTGTGATTGTAACATAATATTTGTAAAGTGCCACCGATATAATATATACATATAATTATACTTAAATAGTACTCAATATATGTACCTATATCGCTATATGTAGGCACTTATATATGTATACGGCAACAGTATACTTTAATACAGCATATATGGGACACCGCCGAAGTATTGTAATACCTTGTTTATTTTATTTTTCCTATTTCTTTTCATTAACCATATATATGATTAATCAGCACAAGACGTTAAACAGTTAATAGCTGACCTCCCATAGCAGATACGCACGGACGCGTACATGATAATATTACTGCTATCAAACGTCTCTTATCAGGATTTCACACGGAGCCGTGTCGCAACGGCTGAATGCGCCATACAGTTCAATTGCGCGCGGCAAATGTTCTCAGTGCGATGCAAACTCAAAACTTGATATTTCAGTCGATCATACCGCACTGCACCACTAAATCTAGATCTTGAATTCACTGGTGTTACGTTTACAAATAAGTAATTATCCACGGCAGCTCATATGGAACTATTTAATTTATTGTGATATTAACCGGAAGCTTCAGGCTGCGTCATTGCGTTTTTAGGCAAAGATTCCGAAATCGCCTGAACAGTGCAGCCGCATTTTGTTACGAATTATGCTTATTTCTTTGCTTTTGGAAGCAGCGATTGCGAATTGTTGCACAATTATTATTGTGCGCATTGCACCGTTATGAATCTCTAATTGCTTCACAATCGACGCACATGTTTTACGTAATTTTAATGCTAATCAAGCGAAATTGGAGTGGATGATTTGTACAAACCATCCACACAGAAACCGGCAACTGTCCGCAGAATGCAGTGAGCAAATATTTTTCTTCCAGGAAAGGATGAAAATGATTTTTCCCAAACTGGGATTAATTAACTTTTCGATGCCGGTGTCTTTTGTGCATCAGTCACTATTGCAACAGTTATACGTACATACACCATCTGAATCGCCCTGATGATTAATAAAGAAAAGCGACTATACAAAAGAACGCGCACAAGCTCATTAAAATCACTAATATTGTACATGTATTACACAAGACATTTAATATAATACATATTTAGAAAACAGCCGCAGTTAATTTCGTAAACGATTGGGGGCAAGGGAGGGCACAATTAATACCGACAAAATTAATATTTTAAGTCGGATTACGACAAAATACTTCCAGGACAAATTTTGTCTTTTTCGAGACAAAAAAACACTGATTTAAGGGTGATTGTGATCCATACGTTTCCCATATGAGTTAACGTCTAAATAGATGTACCGATATTACTATGATTCATATGTTTATTATTGATGGGGCGGGTGTGTCGACCACCTGACAACATTAAAAACTGAGCAGCGAAAAGATCTGTTCCTTTAATGCTACACAATCATTAGAAAAAAAGCGTTTCCGCTCTCCATAAAATTACGGTAAAAGCAAATTTTTCGAATGCCAAGAAAGGCAAATAAGTACTCGAATGTAAAACGGGTCATCCGAAATTAACCAGAATAAAAATTAATGATGGTAAATATATAGTACTCGTACCGAAAACTGAAAAAAATAGACAGTAACGTGGTCTAACCATAAGTATAACTCAACAATTCCGCCTCTAATTCTTATTTTAGTATTCCGACTCCGTATCGAAGTACCGATAATCAGCGCGCAAAGAAACACGATCTCACCTGCCAGCGCAGATACCGATAGTCCATGTGGCCAACAAAGAGGGATTTGGTGGTGAAGGGATACGGCTGGACATCAACATCAGCCCTCGTGATTTTATTGATGAAACTGGACTTTCCCACGTTGGGAAAGCCGGTAATGAGGAGGGTGCGCGTGTTGGGATCGATGCTGGGCAGACGACTGAGATGCTGGCGGACTTGTTCCAGGTAGGACAAACTGGAATTCTGACGTTTCATTATGGTGGCCATTCTACAATCCAACCATCAAGGAATACAATGAATGATCCGGTTAGACAACCAAAAGACTCACGTGACACAATTAACAAATTTAAATAATCCAAAAACCACGGCACAATTCTGCGTCAATTGTCATTTCTTTTTTAACAATAGCTTCAGTAATGTTCCAGCAATTCGAAAAGCGTGGTGAAACATCACGCTTCCGCACAAATTTACCGAAGATTACTGCTGCACGCAGGTTGCAGTTCAAAACCGATAAAACAGGCGATTTTGATGGAATAAACGTGCTCCTAAACCCGAAAGTCCGAAAACTTGCAAATAAAATGACCAAAAAAAGTTCTACATCGCTTACCGTCCCAATGCTGCCCGTTTAAGTTGTTTGCACCGATATAGAGAATCTCCATATTTCAGCAAGCATGCGTAATCCTTTCCCACACTGCACGGAAACGATGCACACGGTTCGCAGCATCCCTACCTCTAATTTGGGGAAATCCTGGATAATCTGCGATAATTTATCATGGAAATTCTGTTGCGCAAAGCGAACTTTACGCATACAGAAGGAGCGGATGCGGGAAATCTGGTAATGTCGATGGACGACGGTCAGGGTCTTGCGCTGGGTCTTCGACAGGATTATGTCTAGAATCTGATCCGCGAAGGATCTTTGATATAGCACTCGCTACCAGCATTCCCTCTACATATTCACACCATGGCTGACAAAACGAAGGACGCGAAGAAAGACGACACGACCTTCGATGCTCCGTTTTATATTCTATTGCGCATCTGTAAGTACAATAACAGTCTCTGTAATGTCATTGCTGAAATAACGTAGTTGTCTAACGTTTCGCTTTCCTGCGCCCAAGTTATGAATACTATTTCTCAACGGATTTTTTAGTAGTTTGAAGATTGAAATCAATGAAATGGCGACTTTTTACGTACTAGCTAAATATTTTGTTTACAATATGCAAATCAGCGAGCACCACTCGGTAAAAACAAACTTTTTACGTTGTATGTACGGTAGTATTATTCGTTGATCTGCTTTTTCTCGCTGTTTACACATAGCATTTTGCTGTTTTTCAGCAAAAGGTCAAGCTTTCCCGAAAATACCTGAGCTTAAGGAATTCACGTTCGACCATGCGCCACCCAAGGTCAACGTGTTGCTGGGTTGCTTGTCTCCTACGCTTGGCCCACAGTTCCACGGGCTGGTGAGTCCAGACAGCCTGAATGGACCGGTCGGTGTGCTCTCGGTCGACGAACGTACCGTTGAGTTATACCTGGATGGAAAGAGCGAGAAGTTCGACAACGCCAGAGGCTTCGCTAAGTACAGTGAAACCTTGCCATATGTACACCCTTTCTAAATAAACGTACACCTCTCTACTACGTACGATAAATTCTGTACCGAAATGCGCCATATTAGCTAAAGTACTGGGTAAAACCTGAACTTCATGTACGCTTTTAGTAGTAAACGTACACTTGTCTTCTAAATTCTAAAGGCGCTTTCATAATAGTTATACAGTACAGTGAAACCTCTCTTATACGTACACCTCCGTACAAAAAACTTCGTTGTAAATTATTATTGAAGTGTATTTATCTTCGGTAAACCGCCTTGGTATTTGGGTATTTATCTTGAATTATTGAGTATTTACATTTCAGTTTGCTGATTTGTTGATGTTATGTATAATTCTAGTATAGGAGGAATTTCCGAAGTTCCGCAAGGAGCTGGAGAAGCAGCATACCGGCGAAAAGGACGCTGTTGACCGAGGTCACGAGAAGAAACTCGAAAAGACATCCCCAAAAGAAGATGAGGTATGTGCTGATCGTTTCCCGTTCTCTTGAACTGCACTTTTCAGTTATTTACTTCGCACTTGTAACTGTTTTGATTTTTTTGCATCTTGTATTTTGTGAGCTTATTAGACTGCTTTGCTGTGTCGACCTGCCATAGGCAATATAGGAGCAAGTTTCTGGAATAGCATGCACAGCAAATTACTTTAGTTTGCATAAAACTGTAGGCCTGTGGCATTCTTTTCTTTGTTTGGCATATCTGACTGAAATCATATGTGCATACTCATCCGCCAAGAAAATGCAATTACACCGCATAGAATGCATGAACGACTACGTGACTACTGAACATTTAATATTTAGAAGTTAAGTAATAATACAGGGGTGCCGGGCCCCATCAATAATAAAATTATGAATCATAGTAATATCGGTACATCTATTTAGACGTTAACTCATACGGAAAACGTATGAATCACAATCACCCTTAAATCAGTGTTTTTTTGTCTTGAAAAAGACAAAATTTGTCCTGGAAGTTTTTGTCGTAATCCGACATAAGGTAATAATTTTGTCGGTACAAATTGTGCCGTCCCCGCCTCCCAATCGTTTATGAAATTAATTGCGGTTGTATTCCAAATATTATATTATCCGGTATATGTATTCTGTAGTACGATACTAGTAATTTTAATGCGCTTGTGTGGATTCATTTGTTTAGGCGCTTTTATTCTTTATTAATCAGCAGGAGATTTGGATTCGGTAGCTGTGGTGTATGTGTAAAATGATGCAATAGTTTTCGGCTGATACAAAATTGACACCGTCATCGAACAGTTAATTAATCACAGTTTGGGCAAAATTATATTCATCCTTTCCTGGAAAAAGAATTTTTGCTCACTGCATTCTGCAGACAGCTGCGGGTTTCTTTGTGGATGGTTTGTACAAACCATTCACTCCAATTTGGCTTGATTAGCATTAAAATTTAAACGTGCGGTTCGATTGTGAAGCAATCAGAGATTCATAACGGTGCAATGCGCACAGTAACCGTGCAACAATTCGCCAAAACAAAGAAATACGAGTATCGTAGCCATTCGCAGGCAAGCATCAATTCGTAATAAAATGCGGTTGCACTGTTCAAGCGATTTCAAAATCTTTGCCTAAAGACGCAATGACACAGCCTGATGCTCCCGGTTGTTATCCCAATAAATTAAATAGTTCCATATAAGCTGCCGCCGATGATTATTAATTGGAAACGTAAGACCAGTGAAATCAAGATTTAGTGGTGCAGCGCGGTATGAAGCTTGCGATCGAGTGAAATATCAAGTTTTGGGTTTTCACCACACTGACAACTTTTGCCGCGCGCACAGTTGAACTTGGCGCATTCAGCCGTTGCGACGCGATTCCGTGTGAAATCCTGATAAGAGGCTTTTGATAACAGTAATACTATCATGTACGCGTCCGTGCGCGTCTGCTATGGGAGGTCAGCCATTACTGTTTAATGTCTTCTGTTAATTAATCATATTAATGAATAGAAATAGGAAACAAAGTATTAAAAAATTAAAAAAATAAACAAAGTATTACAGTACTTACTTCGGCGGTTTTCTTTATATACTGTAAGTACATGTATACTGTGACTGTGTACATATGTCATATAGCATACAGTATACATATGTCATATAGCCATATACCAATATAGGCACATATGTTAAGTATCAATATATCGAGCTGTATTTAATGAGATGAGTTCAACTTTACCGCCGGTATACCAGGTACTTGCGCTTTTGAAATAATTTAATTTTGCACTGATCATAAGTTTATAAACATACAGTTGTTTTAGAATTTAGCAGTATCTACTGCAGATAAAGGCGGACCGTTTCGGTTTTGTGCTTACCATGATTAGGAATCAGTTTAATTTACAGATACAAGGCCAATAAGTTTTTCAAGTAATTAACGTAATCGGTTAGTATTTTATGGCGCGTGTGAAAAATTACACATGCCGACTTTCATTTACAGTGTCTACTTATTTTTTAGCTGCTTTCAGAATACAGAAGTCCGTAAGTCATATTTCGGTTATTGTGCGTATTCTCTGTAATCTATACACACATCGCTCTTTAGATCACAGTTTCACAGTATATTTACAGTTTTTCAGGATGACGATGCATGAGCGTGTATCAACTTCAGTATTTTCGTTTTTTAAAAGTTATAATGATGGAAAAAATATTTAGTAAAACATAATAATGTTATATAAGAGTATTCAAATGCTTGGGCCAAGCTGAGCTGTGGTAAAAATGCAGGTTTGTATGTTTATGTAAACCAGCTGCCGACAGCCACCGGTGCTTGGCAGTTGGCAGCTAAAGTATAGTTTTTGTATTTTCGAACAAAATTTGCCAAACCACGGCACTAATCGTTACGAACGAGATAAAGTTATAACTGCCTAGGCGTTATCAGTCAGCTCTGTAAACGATTTGCATGAACCGACATGCACTCCTGTGAATCATATGCGGTTATCTGTGAGCCACTCATCCGAAACATATGAAACTGTCTTTCCATATAAATGTTATTAATAGGGGGGCCAAGTTCGGACAGTTAAAAAAATTCCTCTACTCCTACCAGTGAAATCTAAATTTTTTTTAAACTTTTGCGTGATAGTGCTTGGTCTGTAGCACCTTCAGTAATTTTGTTTCCATGCAAAAAGATGAGGCTCAGGAACGGCAGCCAAATTTAGAATTTAATTTTTGGTGCAAAAATCGCACTGCTTACTAAGAAATAATCGAGTTCATTCGACAAGTATTTAAAAATTGGAGGAAGCTGAAAAGTTTTAAACGATATTATGGCCACCTAGTGGAACCTTCTTCCTTCTCTTTTAAACACTAACATCTTATCTGATGCTAACAGTGCTCTTGGCAACCGCATTTCTTTGGATGTGCTTCTTAACATACAAGTCTATGGGAGATGAGTCTTGTTTCGAGTTCGCCGCGGGCGCTGAGGGCGTTAGTTCCCTCTGCTGGCACCCGACGGACACCTTCTGGGTCGCTTAACAGTTTTCAGAAACGCTCACCCAGAAATGTCGTTTGCTACATTTTTCAGAGGTGCAGTTATAAGCGCCAGAAAAATGACCACTACCCCTTCCCCTAAACACTCGCCCCGCCCCTTATTATCATAGCGAATATGCTCCACTTTGATATTTTTGGGTTCCCAATTAAAAGTTGTACTAGAAAATACAAAGACGAAAACATAAATGTATACGGTAATTTTTTTTAAATAAATGTTTCGCAACTGTCCGAACTTGGCGCGGCACCCCTGTATTAATTACGATGATGAATTGATAAATTAATGACGAAATAGATAATCAAGAAAAACTAATCAAGATGGGGATAATCTTTGCTGGTGTTTTGTTTTTTATGTTGACGAAGTCCGGAATTTTTTAAGAATTTTCTAAACATGGTGAATTGATTTGTGCAGGAAGAGGCCAAAAAAATCCGCAAGGATTCCAGTGACGTAACCATTGAGCGCCAGAAACGCGAGGCTGAACTGGAGAAGGCCAAGGATGCGCATGTGGCCAAGTATGCCAAGAACGAGGTGGAGCGTGGTGCCCAGCTGACCCAGACCGCCTTGGACAAGAGCAGCATGGCCGCCAACATCGAAGTCTCCATGGATAGCGCTGCTGGGTAACAAATTTGCATAAATCTGTTTTTTTGGATTTTAAAATAAAATTTTCAAAGCATTATAGGTAATTATTTTTTAACTGACTTCGTTTTTTTAATTACTATTTTTTTTAATTTTATATAAAATAATACGCAGTATACCTTGAAATTTTTTTGAAATTGTAAATTCAAAATTTTCCACAAAAGAATTTCGGATGATTTTGATTGTGATTAACTTGTTAGTGATTAATAATTGTTGGAGAATTATCCTGCTTCGGTGAATTGATTTTGGGTTAATTTCCTTTTACAGGCGCACTGTGAGCGGCGGTACGACTGTTCCCGAATCCGTGACCACTCCCAGCGATGTTAACGAGAAGGACAAGCCTGTGGGCGAGAAGATCAAGGACACCTTCCTGGGCCGCTAAGCGCCGTCGCGGCGGTTCCGTTGGGGATGCCGCTTTTTATTACTCTTATCCTTGGACGGAGCAAGCTCCGCTCCTGCGCTCACCCTTGGTTTCATTTATTAATTGTAATCTCTGATTGACGTGCTGTATCACTGGGTCGTCGTGTTATCCTGTTTCACAGTAACTACCAAATAATGAATTTCGACTGCTTTGGTGGTCGTACCGGCAAAGGTGGTTTGCATCAAACTTGTGGACGATTTTTTTATACGTTTGACCGATTCGGTTGTTTGGCTGTTTGCGTTTTTTGTGTTAATTTTGGGGGAATGTAATTATTTAAATGCGATTCAAAAATTAAAATTCATTGGAATCACAGCGATTCATACTTCGGAAAAATAATAATTTAATTTTAAGGAACTTTAGCAGAATCGTAACAAGAAAAATATTTGTAATGATTCAGCGGCAGCGCCCAGAAATGCGGCCTGTCTGAAAATATTCGCACAATGTATTACTTGCTGAAATTAATTTCGGACAAATTATTTCTGAAATTTTAAACAATATTAATGTAATCAATGTAATTAGCGGGTGTGATTTAAGAAAATCACACCCAGGTCGACCAGTTTGGTTGCAAAAGGACAACCCGAAGCGCAGTCGGGCCGGTGTGCGACCGTGCGGGCAACGGCAGCCCATCGTCGACGGTCTCCACTCTCCAGACAGCGCAAGTCATTGATGAACATGTCGGTGCCAACGAGCTCAATTAAGGCTGCACCGCAGCGATCGAAAGACGGATATGTCTCGCAGTGTTCCCACTTTTTCTGGTATTTTATGGGATGATTTCCTACGCCACATTGTAGATATTTGTAATCAAATACTTTTATGTTGGATTCACATTCAACCATTTTCGAAGTAAATGTTGCAGAAATTAATCGCACTACGTGACTACTGAACATTGACATTCACCGCACAAGTTCACAACGTCTTTCATCCCATTTTCATAAATGTGCAGGTCGACAGAAACCGATAATTTTGTACAAACATCAGTACCACTTTCCGTTAGTAAAAGATAACCATAATGTTATAGTTTTCCCTGATCACCAACGTGCCCAGTACATGCTGCTACGGAGTCGGTTGTAGTCGGTCAAAGCTTCAATAGGTCCTACAAAATAAGCAGCCATCAGTGAAACGCTCATAACTGCAAAAAAAGGATGCATAACAAAAATAATTTGAAAAAATTCATAAGTTCCACTCAACAATGACCAAGAATCGGGCAAAACGCCCAGTTAAACTTATCGTAAACATTGACCTGGAAGTTTTGGCGAGTGTATTTAATGAAATTACGCAGTGTTGCTTTATGTTTCATCCATGCTTATGTTTAATGGCTGCTCATCACTTACCAACACCTGCCACAGCCGGACAGCGATCATAAATGTATCGAGTACATGTTTCACGGACAATATTTGCATCCACCGCCTGCAACAAAAATTATTACAGATGAAAATACAGATACAATGCGACCGTCGCATCCCCGTCAAACGACTGCGTAGTCGAACAATATAATTTGAGGATAAACCTTAACGTTCGCCGATAATTTCCGCCAGTACCGCACAACTAATTATAAGATTACCTATTTTGAATTTTGTAAGACATGACACCTTCCATTTTTAGTGGTACACGTAAACCCATATAAATCGATACATAATTCGCTTATCTTGAAAAGACATTTTCGAATAGTACAAAAGCACACAGATACACCGAACAAGTTCTAATAAATTAACAAACCGGAGCCATGAAGGCTTTTAGTGCGCTTAATTCAAAAATTCAACGGCAAATTAACCTGTGGAACCTACATCAATTCTGGCTTCCATTTCGATGTAGGGGATTCGACGGCCGTAGCACAGCATCTGCCGACCAATATCCTCGCAGATGGGTGTCGTGCCGTCCAGTTGCAGGAGAATATTGGCCTTGAGGAAGTTCTTGGCCCGTTCCACTTCGAAGTCCGTTACACTGTTACACAGACGCATCCACTCGTTCGTCAGGTTGTAGATGAAATCATCGATCTTCATGCGGTCCACAATGAAGTACACGCCCCACAGGCCGGTGTCGGTGTAGCAGGTGTTGAAGGACTGGAAGCTGTTGCAGAGGTTTAACGGCGCCACATTTTGCGCCAACCGACTGGCCACATTCTACACCCAACGACACACTCCAGATTTATATGTTTTAATGCAATTTCTATCATAAAAGCGGACATGCACAGTGTACATCGTACCGCGCCTGCCCCGTGTGATCGATCCCAGCTGCCCACAATCTAAAAGTAGAAAGCACACATCTGTGATTATTTCACCCCACAAAATATATCCATCATTTCAAAAGGTTCCCACTGTGCAAAAAATTATGAGTTCAAAATTCTCCATATCAATTTTTTTTGCCGTCATAAATGCTTACGGTATTGGCAATCATCAGGGGAATATTGTCCGGATGTGCCCAGCCGACACTCTCCACAGCGATGGCAACATGCGCTAAAGGCATATCATCATCCCGAACGCGAATCTACATCGGCCAGGAGTTTGTCATGCGAAGTTAATATGACAGCGATCATTTTAAGCAATAGCATGTCACCATAAAATGAGCATATACAGAGTAACTGATAAGTATAACTAATAACACCATTTCTAATTTTCTACAACGAGGATCTTCTCCTACGCGTATATTACTAACAATAAGTAGCAGGGTCAATAATGCCATTTCAAAAGTTTTTTCTAAAAAAATTTTAAAAGCTTCAAACAGGAGAAAATAACTTAAATTTCCGGGAAATGCGGCAAATCGGTGCTGGAATATTAAACCGGAGTGCATTCATAAAAAAGAACAAATTCACTGGAAAAATAAATATCTAACAACCACCATGAAGAAAACTGTTCTTGTCAGGACAAGCGACTTAAGCACTATGAATGGAGTACGATCAACCATGCCCGCTACATCACACTACGTTATTCGTCACTGATTAGGTTGGTACTGTGGTTGCGGTTTAATCGTTCATGATAAAAAAACGCAGAGAAATCACACCAAATCTAAGAATATACGCACCTCGCTTCCAGTGAAACGGCAGGGATCCAGCCGCGGGATCTCCCCGGGATAAGTAATTCCAATGCAGCCAAAATTCTTTTCAGCCAGGGACACGAGCTGTTCGTGGTTGACACCTACAAACCACAACCCGATTCTGCGCGATGCTGCCTGCAACTGCGGACTGGACAAGCAGAACAATCATACCTCCGGAAGCCGCTAGAACAATCCGCGGCGCTTTATAATGATTATTAATATAGTCGGTAATATCCTGGCGGGAAATTGACCTACAAATAAAATGATCATAAAAGGAGTAATATTCACAACACACAAAGCGCGCAAATGTGACATTAATAATCATAAATAAAAACCCAGGAAAAGCCAAAATTCGAGGAAACCAAACATTTTTCCGAGAAATATCTTAAGAAATATTTAACGCTTACTGAATATTCTGGGTGGGTCCGAGGATGGTGCGTCCCAGCGGCGTGCCCTGGTAGGCCGTGGCGTGCAGATGGTCAAAGACTACTTCCTGCAGATTGGTCTCCACTTCCTGCATTTCCCGCAGGATAACGCCCCGTTCGCGGTCAATCTCATCCTCCCCGAAAGTGCTGTACTGCGTGATATCCGACAGAATATTCACGGCCTTCTCCAGATCCTTGGAGAAGGATTTGGCATAGTACACCGTCTGCTCACGCGAGGTGTAGGCATTCAAATGCGCACCCATGTTCTCCACTTCCATTTCTTAAAACAACAAGAAAAGTTTGATCCAATAATATTTAAATTATAGAGAAAAAATAAAAGGCACTTTGTTCTATCAGTACAATTAAATGGATCACTAGATCAAAAAAAATTATTTTTTCGGCAATAAGTTATACGTAGCATTATACAGTCACACCATTCCACCCGCATTGTTTTGAATATTAAATATCAGTTTCTCTGCGCTCAAATTGCTTCTGCTTAAATTACTACTATTATTGTTTTATTTAATTCCCTCTAATTTATCAAAATCTTTCCCTTTTACTTACTAAATTTTTACAAAATCGAAGTTAATCCACCGAAGATGAAAACAATTTTTTCCCATTTGAGTTTGTAAAACAATCAGAGAGAAATCTGCCACAGAATTTTTCAACTATGGTATGAACACAGGAAAACAGCCAGCAATTTTTTATTATTTGTCGCAGGAAAACGTACCTAGTTGTTGTTGTGATCGGGAATTGGTGCCTTTGAAGATCATGTGTTCCAGAAAATGCGCCACACCGTTATTCTTCTCATTCTCATACCGACTGCCCGCATCGATCCACAACCCCACCTAGATAATCAACCATTTCCAGAGCGTCATTGCATTCTTCGCGTGAAATCAGAGTGCGTACGGTGCAAGTGGGCAATCCTGAGTCCTCCGACGCCACACGCAGGCCATTGGACAGCGTCGTCACGCGGGTCTCCGGCACGTTCAGGCTGGGCCGTTCATTGAACGCTAAGGGAGACTTGAAACGCTGCGACACCTACGTGCCAAAATGTTTAGTAGTGCGTTCAGCACAGACGGAATTGCTGAGAAGTGAGAGATAAGCAAGTACCAGCGAAGGTCTCCGTGTGGCCTGCGTCAGAACTCCCGACGACAATCGCAACAGCTTCGACGCCATTATATCCGCAGAATAATCAGCTATAATTCACAGTATGCAATAGTGAGCAAAACCGTAATCCAGAAGACTCAGAGAACTGGAAACTAGGGAGCGTAAAATCACTGCAAATTCTCATTAATCGACAGCTGTAAGTACGATGCAGCGAAACTGCTGTATGGATCACTAGTCTCACCTGCTAGCTACCATAAATATAAAGATGGGTGAAAATAGATAAAATGGCAATAGCGAAATGGAAAAATTATGCTCCTGTAATTCCAGACAAAATCTGTCCGAAGGAACAAGAACGAACCAAAAATTTCGATTTGGAAAATATGAAGGTATGCACTTTGCAGTGCGCCTACTTTTGAATTGACTGGCCATGACAGAGACTCATCATCTTGCGCCTAAAACATTAGCCCATAATTTGATACAGAGACTGACTGCAGGCGCCAAGTAAGTGCTACAAATTGCCGTAGATCAAGTCTGTTTGCCGTTGCCGTTGTGGTTTAATTGTTTAAAGGTTTTGAAATTTTGAATTAAAATTTCGTAATCGAAATAATTCAGTAAATTGCCGTTGTGGTTTAATTGTTTAAAGGTTTTGAAATTTTGAATTAAAATTTCGTAATCGAAATAATTCAGTAATTGAAATCAAATTTGTGCCGAATTACTGTTAATCAGTTCTCGTGCTAGCAATAGATAAGCATAAGGAAATCCAGAGGAAGCACATAAATGCGTATGGACTCATATTAAATTTTACCGTTTTACCATAATCACGTACCGAAAACTACCAACGTCTTGCCTCGCTGTTTCTTTTATCGTTTTTTCTCGGTTTAATCCAGGTTCTGACGTAAAGATCACAAATCAAAGTAAATAAAGCAATAATCCCATCAGAAATGCTCCAACATATCGAACTAGAAAACTATCAAAAAAGCAAAACAGAACATCGGTCAATCGAACACATTCCGAACGCAGGATCACCAGCATTACACACTCTGTACTCATAATCTCAAGAACATTCGTCTCGTTGCTCATTTCATTCAAAAAAATTCATCATTTATCTATCTAATTTTATTGCTCAAAATCAAAGTAATCAATAACCGGCTGTTTCTTGGCATCCACAACCGGCAGATGGGTGGGCCAGCCGGATGATCTCTCCTTCTCCACCGGCACCGGCGCCGCGGCCACCCCCTTCAAGACGGACGCCGGGAATTTGGCGGTCTGCTTAACCGGCTTCTCCGCCTGCACCACCTGGTACAGCGGCACCACCGGCAGCATCACACTGTCGGGCCGCGCGACGGCGATGATACTGCGGATGGGCTCGTCGTCGTAGCTCTTCGTCTCGCATCCGTAGAAGCCGGCCAGCTCGTGGGCGAACTTGCGCTGATCAAATTTCATCGGCTCAAAATTGTGGACCTTGCGGGTGGCGCACTTCTTCACCGTCTCCACCAATGACATGAGCTTCTGCTCCAGTTGGGTGGCGAAACGCTGGTGTTCACGGGCAAATTTTTTCAGGTCTTCGCTGTAGACCGGCGGACAGGGCGCGCTGGATTCCTCCACATGCTCGTCGATTTTCAAGGCGGCCGCCAGGTTCTTGTTGCGCTCCACACGACGACACTCTTCATCGCATTCCAAACTAAAATACAATATACAGCTGTCGTATCAACAGCCGAATTGCAATCAAGTTGTAACTTAAAACTGTAAACCAAGACAGAAATTTCCCAAATGCTGGAAATTAGTCACCCCAAACCGGTTTACTGATAGCAACTCAACCAAACGATAATACGTACGGCATACATAACATAAAGATTGCCTGAATTCAGGAGTAAGAAGAAACCAGCTCCAGTAGTCGCTACATAAAAGTGACTCAAACTTGAAAAAGTGTTCGATTGTGTTAAGTAAAGATGTCAAGTACTACGCACAAAAAAACTAAAAGAAGTGATAGAAAGCGTAGTCCAATAGCAGTTTGCGCTAGATCTAAATCCATGTCATCCCGTTACGATAGCATTTCACACATTTAAAGGAATACAGGTACACAAACCTGTAGGAAATTTTTCTTTACGTATAACAATTTTTCGGAAAATCAAAAGATGACAACGCCTAGTTAACGAATTTTGTTCTTACATATCGGTTGGCATCATATAGCGCAGGCTCTCCAAATCTCCGGTCTTAACTGCGCCCGTTTCTCCTTGCTTGCGGCGCAGATAGTCCATCAGCAGTTTGTCATGCTGATAGCACACAATGGTCTTCTGGCGCAGTTTACACTCGCACGATACCGCCAGATTGGCCTTGCATGACGTGTTCGGGCAGCGAGATTTCCCGTGGCAGGGAGCTCCACAAGGATGACCGCATTTCCGCACCACCGGACACAACTGGGCACATTTCTCACCAGGCGGCTGACACTCACCTATGCGAATCGCAAATACACACATAAAAAAACCGCGGAACTCAACCACCGTCAATAAAAATCCGAAAAATATTAAACACCGACCGTATCAACCAAACTTTACAAACCAAACTATTAACCACAACAACGTATTGTACGAGTATATCTAAGTGTACAAAGCTAACGATTGTTCACAAAGGCAGATATTCAAGCCTTAACACTACGATATCATTGTCACGATTTACCGGTGATTGCCAAGGAGTCAGTAAATTTTAGATCACGTGTCACAAGTTTCTAATGTACTGCTAATAAATAACTTAAACATATTTCCTCAGTTCAAAATGCATTACCAGAATGGCAGATCTTGCGACAGGCGTGCACTCCACACTCCAACGGCTTCCCGCATGCTTTCCCACATGAAATCCCCGTAGTGAAACACGGCACATTCTTCCGTGTCTCATGGCCACAAAAGCACACCTTTTCGCACAAGAACGTGCACGCCGGACACTGCTCGTCTCCGTGACAGTTATGCGTGGGTGGATGCCCACACGCATGCACCTCCGAACACGGATAGGGGCAATCCGGCAACGCAGCGCCGCAGGGAATGGGTGGGTGCTGGACGGTGCGACCACAGCGGCAGGTTCGCTCTTCGAATGATGTATTGTAGCATCGACGACAAAATCCCTACACAAACAAAAAAAATTTCCTTCCTAAATGTAAACACAGCAGAGAACAAAGACGAAAATTACCGGGTGACCACATGGATCTTCACAGTTGTGCAGCCCGCATGTTAAACGCTTCCCGCAGGTCCGCAAACAAACATGCTCATCAAAATTACAGCAGATATTGTCGCATTTATGCCGACCACATAACATTTTCTTCTGGCACTTCTTGGTACAATGCCACATTTTCACTTCCGGCGTCAATTCCGCACAAGGCACCACCTACAATTGGTAACAAAACTTGCCCTATAATAGGCAACAGCCAGTGTGCGCTCTTATATGCCACGAATTTAAAATGACAGAAAATTAGATATTAAAAATAACCATAATCATTACTGTTAAACGAAAATTTTTCGAGGGCAACAAATACCGGAGAACTTAAAAAATGGCCGATTTGGAACCACAGAAGGGCTTTAGTGGAAGCTACAATTTCTGTAATATTCCGGTCTGGGAAGGTAAACCTTTTTGGACTAAAACATCCCACGCAACATTAGCATATCCCATTTATGGACTAACACATCCCTAACTTTCTAGTGAGTGGCTTTAATTCTCACTTTGATAGCTTGATAAGTTTTGAAAAATATCGGCGTTTACTGGCAAATGTACCGATAATCTGCAAGACTTTTTGAACGCTTATATTTTTGCTTTTCATTTGGCTACAGTTCGTCTGCGCAAAATAGATTAAACTGCAATGGGCGCTGGATGCGGCTTTGTCGAGCCGTATGGCGCGGTCATATCAACCAATACGCCCGTGTTCTGACCACTATACAACTGGGATTTTAGTGCGAAATGTAAAAACCTAAAAAAATTGCAATCATAGGTTCTTACAGAACCGTATATAAACAAAGAAAAAATGATTGCTACTGGTGCGTAGCTAGCTGGGTGCTGGCATACTTCATATCTACATTCTGCCATTACATAAACTGTTTCACCGTTCGTAAATTTTTTATTATTTAAGGAGCAAAAATTTTCTTTTAACCAAAGATTATCATTCTTACCTGTGTCGAAGATCCGCACAAGCACGTCACCGCCGTCTTCTTCCCGCACGCTCCACACGGGCCTTCATGACACATTTTCTCGCAGAAATGCGGATTCTTCGCCGTCCCGCATTCCAACCGTTTCCCGCACACCTCCACACACGTCGGCACCGGCTCCAGACAACTGCGCCGCTGCATCCCCTTCAACGCCATCTTCCCACACGGACACGTCGTCACCACCTCCGGCGCCTGCGGACACACTCCACACTCCCCGGCATGACAGCGCCGCTGACACCCATGATTCTCACACCCCAACCGCCGCCCGCACACCTCCGCGCAGGCAAACCCCCCGCTGGCATACTCCCCCAGCCCCGCCTCCATACACGGCACACTGCGCATATCCTTCCCGCAGAAACACGGAATCTCCACCATCACCGAGCATTTCTCGCAATCCCCCGGATGACACGTGGCGGAACAGGTGTGCCGGCCGCAGTTGAGCCTTTTCCCGCAGAGACTGGAGCAGACGTGGACGGATTGGATGGAGCACAGCTCGGAGACGGTGGTGCGACCGCAGGCGCACGGTTTCGTCGCCAGACTGTGGCAGGGCGGACACGGACCGGGGTGGCAGAGCTCCGTGCAGGGATGCGGACAGTTGCGGCTGGAGTTGGGCTTGGTGTTGTTCTTCGCGCAGGTCTCTCCGCAGGAGTGCGGTGTTAGGCCGAGGTCCATCTCGGGATTCTCGTGCTTGCGACAAAAACACCAGTAGGTTTTCGGTTCATCCTGGAAGACGGACTGGCAGATCATACACCGCCAGGTGTCGTCTAAACACAGAACATAACTGTTAAAAACTAGACAAACAAAGAATCAATAAATAACGATAACTACACAGACACTGACTATTGACAGTGAGCATAGAAAGAGACGAGCATACCGTCGGATTCGCGTTTGCACGAGTTGGCCCATCCTCGAACGCATTTCAAATGGAAGACGTTGAAGCAGTTATCACAACTCCAGGTCTGCTGCTTGGCCCACACACGATCATAACAGAACTGGCATTCCAGTCGCTCTTTTGTTAAATCATCAATCAATCTCTCTGGAAACAAGAAAAAAGATAGTACGGTCTATACTCTACAGTCAGTTTATTAAAAAAAATACAGTACACTCTTCAGTTGTTACTTTTGTACAATGGAAGTCTACAGCACAAGCGTGCAAAAATTTACTGTACATGTACATAAAAATTAGGTCGTCAATCTTCGTCGTACAAAAACAAGGAAAGATCAGCCAGATACACCATACGCCCTAACGCACAATATCATTAAAACTTCTAAATTATGCAGAAAAGAAACGCTCTCAAACTGCCGAAAACCACAGTCTTACCGCGCTGATTGCGATCATCATTCCGCGTATTTCTTCCGCGGTTACTACCACGGTTAGCGGCCGGAAGGCGTCTAGTGGACGGCACTGTTTCTGGAATCACTTTAGCCGGTTCATTATTCGGTTTAGCTGGCTGCACTGGATTTGAAACAACCGGCAGCAGATCTACGAAATAATGCAGTTCGATAACTTCACTAAAACCAATTAACACACAGTAATATAATTCGATAAAACGAAAACTGTACAAATCCGACAATAGGTACTGTATAACATCAAAATTCAAAGGTAACAATCCAATTCATATTATAACGCAAGCAAGTACTGTACTTCCAGAAATTACGAGAAACCGTGGTATAAAATTCACAAACAAAATACCATCAAACTGATGCAGTACTACCCAACAATTAAAAAAAGGGTGAATTAAAAAAATAAATACAAATCATTTGAGGAAAAATTAATAAAATGAATAAAAATTTAAAAAAATAAAAAAAAATCGCAAAAATTATTCAATTAAAAAACAGGAGGAATAGTTAGTTACTAGTAAAGCTACTAGATAACTAGAGTTAAGAGTTAAAAGAATTATCGTCAGTCGTGCATCAGACAAATTCGAGTTCGGAATTCCCTCCAAGAAAACTTACTTTCCCTATTGGCGCTCTCTCCCAGAGGCTGGCCACTATTCCGCTGCCAATTATCATCAGCCTGGGGATACTGCCGTCGCGGCTGAGGTTGCTGAGCCGTGGCGTGTCCGTTGCTGCGAGGCGCAGCGCGTCGCGAACCCCGTCCCCCTCCCCGTCCACCACGGGATCCGCGCGGATGAAACTCCATTCCATAATACGATTCACCGCCGTATCCATAATCGTACGGCTGATGGTGATAATCCTCCTGATACGGGACGGCCTGTGGACGCTGGGACGGGGCGGAATGGTGGGGAGCATGGGGGAAGGGATCCTGGCGAGCATCCCCATACTGTCGCTGATTCCCGTAGCTGGGGTTCTGATACTCGTAGGATTCGGGATACTGATGATTCTCCCGGGAATGGGCCGCGGGAGCAGTATGATAATATCCGTACTGGGGGCGATTTCGTCCGCCGCGGTTGCGTCCTCCGCGAGGATTCGATCCCCTGTTGTTAGGGTTGTATCCGTGATTCTGGGATTGATCCGACATTTTGGACGGTAATTCGTTAGAACAAGATGTAGCTAATGGCACCTCAAATGTGGAAATCGGATGCGGAAACAACCTAAATTATCCGCCGATTTCGACAAAGCCAACCAAATCGATGATCGCACTAAAGACCTCTCGGATAACTAAACACGAATTCTCCTGGCAATGGTTTTATATGAGCCTTGAGTTTTATCATTCATTCTGACCTGTGATTTCTGAATAGCCCACGTTGTGAACTCGTGGTGCGGTACCTTACACGGTACGGCGGCTACACGCGATATAACGAACAGTACCATTCGATGATGTCATAATTACACGGAGCCACCCACTCCATAGTGAGTGCTTTGATCCGAGTCCTAAAGTTCCCAAGATCTCAACGAATAAATCGCTACTTTAACCGTAAAAGGCGTAAATCGGTGATCAAATTGCTTTTCAAAAGAATAATAATGTGGCAGATTGCGGATCACTAAATTTTGTAATTATTGTCTTTGGGGTAATGCGTAAAGGTTCTCAGAACAAAACTACTGTAATAATAATAATAATTATCTTGTAGTTTGTACGAGTGCGTAAGTAAGCATTGCAGATCGTAGTGTTATCAAAAATGGTTCGTATGGTATCATTCCGGTTAAGCACCACTGATTTAACATCAGAATAATACTCATTCAGGATTCTGAGATGCTAAAAAAATGTTATTCAAGTTTTTAATTTCGTGTAACTCGTTGAAGGTTTATAACTTTATCCCATATGACATTTTTTCTGAAAATCGTAGCTATTCAATTTTTTTTATATTGTTGAACGGGCGCCAGGATAACAACATTTGCAGACGCTGCAACACTGCATAGACAGCATAGTCATTAAATTCCGTTCAATATGAACTACGAATCAGCGATATTATTACGCACCAGATATAGTTGACTGTATTATAAGTCGAGTAGAAAATCGATTTTAAAAATTCCTCTAGTACGCGGTGAATGTGCATGACTGTTCAACTCTCCTTTCCGGTAAAATGTCTTAATTTTCGCTTCGCTGTAAATATCGTCGATGGTAGTGCGATTTTTCGGCGGAGGAATGTACGGATCTACTCCGACAGCCCAAATCACATGCATTTTCCCGGTGTTTAACGAATGATCAGCCGGATCACTGGCTGCAACCATATAACTATATTAAGTGTAAACAATTGAATTAATTTTACAAAGGTCACTTAAGCCGTGACACTCCTACCGATCAATTTTCGGCGAAACATGGCCTGTATATAGCCAGTACCGTCGTCTTCGGAGCACTGACCAGCCGTTAAACTTTGCTGACCACCAAATGTCTCATCCAGCACCGGAGTGTGAAAATCCCGAATGTACATGTCACGAAGACGGCACAGGTTTCCGTACGCATTAGCATATACCACATCAGTGCATGACATTGGATGTAATGGCACTAAAACCATGTACTCCTATGTGTACTTAATATTGGCGTTGATGAATAATAACACTGTATGTAACAGTATGTTCCATATAATTTATTATATATGTTCCAGGGTTGTGCATATCACTTTGCATATATATATATATATATATGTATACACTTGCTTATACATATATTTCTGGAAAGCTTTCTAACCTTTAGCGAATTCTGTTCCAAGATAATCCACAGTTTTCACCGTTAATCTGCCATCTGCGTAGAAAATCAAAATAACATGTGCTGCTTTCAAAGGCAAAATTTTTACGATTTTATGTCTTGCAGCACACTTGTATGTACACTGTACAGTGCGAATACACGTACTTGTATCATTTAGGGAAATGACGTTTTCTTTATCCATAGGTGGAAATTTCCTGCAAGATACGTCAATATCTGCAAAATTCGATATATCTTTAACATACGCTTTGCTGTTCAGTGTGTGTGTGTGGCACTGTGTGCTCCCACTTACTCTAGAAGTTTTAATTATTCTGCTTACCATCCGGTCGCCAGCCGACAGCCAGCCAATTTTTCGTCTTGGCATGAACAACAAATTCCACTTCATGCGTGACCTTAATCACTCTCCAGTACAGCGTAAACACCGCATAGGGCGCTGCGAGTTTTCGGTACAGAGAAGAGTTAAAGGTCACAATATTGTGCGCCGACATAGTGGCACAGCGGGGTCCTAGCCACCCTCGGGGACAGTAACACTGTCGTCTGAGAAAGAACTGAGCATGTGTATCGATGCAGATGCCGGCGTTGGCGCAGTCACTGTCGTCAAAGCATTCTTCTGCAACAATATCAATGCAGCTGAATTATAACTTGTAAGGCGTAAGCCATATCTAAACGACGCTGAAATTAAACGGTTGCATATAACTTATTCACATGCTTAAAGGTCAATATCTACCTTCAAACTCACAAAAATTGCCCAGAAATGGCTTATTACATCGGCACGCGGTACCGTTCCATACACCACGGTGCGAGCACTTTGCCTTTCTTGCTAGAAGAATAAAAACATAGCAACATACCGCAATGAGGTGTATAAAGAATTTTAACGGTGACCTGTCAAATGTCGTTCCCGCTCTGTGTTCTTACTTGACACTTTATCGGCAATTTCGATATCGGCGCAGCTCCGGTAGACATAACTGAACGGTGAGCCATGGTCAGGGGTCATCTCGCCCTGTTTGATCACCCGCAAAATGCAGTGTGGACAGGAGATGTCGGCGGGCAGGGTTACGCGGGCCATGTTGGCAACCGTGTTGTTGCCATAGAATTCGTCGGCTGTTCCGTTCGATGGCACGAGTGTGGCCAGTAAATTGTATTCTTTATCCAGCAACTCCACCCGGTGTCCGCCCTAACAAATTTAGAATGTTATTCATTATACAGTGTCGCGAGACGATACGTAGTACATACTACATAGTACATATATCTTTTCACTATGATACTCCTTGTGTCATTTATTGCAGATTACAAAGGTCACCCTCATGCTGAGTCAACGCGCCTGCAAATGTCGTACATACATACATTATCAAGAAAACGACGTTATGAATTAAAATTCTTTACATTCCCAAAAACGCAAAGATCGGCCACGGAAATTATTTTATAAGAAAATAAGAAATCGAAGTATAGTACAGACCGTACACATGCAGCGTGCGACCTTTCGACATCCATCAAATACAAAAATTTACATGTTAGCATACATCGTGTGGTTGACCAACGGCCCATGTAACTGTAAATGAACTTCCCATCAAGATCTCCGTGTTCACTGCAAAGCATGAAATAGTTTGATTTTGTAAGTACGGATAATCTATAGATATATTAATTAAAAAAAATTGAAAGGCGTATACAGATATAAGTGATGTATCCCGATAGCGTTCTATTTTACCGCTTCCTCGTGGCATTCCGCAGTCTCCGTATGGGTTTATTCTGTTATTTAGAGAGTCGATGGCGTACTTCCTCGGAAAAGGATACATCAACCTGCAAAATTTAATATCGTTGAATTGCAGCATATGTACGCTTGATATACAAGGACGGCGTGAAGATTACGATGTATTAAAACTGTGTATCAAATAGGCTCAGTTTTCAGCACTAATCACTAAATTCCTTTTTTCCGGGGATAAAAACAACAACTGTCCTAGATACAGCAACTGTATGTGTACGTTACCGTATATGAGCAGAGACGCTGATAAACAGCCCAAAAATGCAGAAAGGATAAAAAAGATCACAGGCTTTCACAGGAGATCGCATCACGCTCCGTTTGAACATTGTGGACGTTATTGTGGGTTAAAAACTGGGATTATTCCGTCAGAACGACTTGTCAGATACCATTTTCTTTCGAGATACTGCACTAGCATTTTACCTCAAGCTTGTTTGTGGTTGAGGAACATTTTTACGAAACACAGCATTTGTTTCTATGTAATGCAGAATTACCCGAAGGCATGGTTCACGCAGCCGCAAAAGCGACTGATCGGCGATAATGCATAATCACTGTTTAACGATGTTACAAAGAAAAATGACAACAGTGGAAGTATAAATTAGTGATCGTGGTATTCGTTGATTTCGAGAAAGGAATTTTCGGAAAATAATGATCGAGAGGTAGAACAACGAAACTAATTAAAAGGAATTATCGGAGATAATGAATGTTAATTCTGGCGAGCGGCATGATTTTTGTCTCGCCTTTGACATTAATGTGCTGTCGCGGTTGAGATTTATTGCTGGCCATCTGGGTGGTCAGATGGTATTCCTTGAGATTGCTCTGGTTTCATGCTGCCTTTAGCAGCTTTACATCAGTGTTCATTTGCAAAGAGTTTTGATGTAGTTCACGTCGAACGCGAAATTCGATAGATGGGCATGCAAGATGGTAGATGGGCATGCAAGACTGCGAAAAGCAGCATGAAAACCAGAACAACATCAGGAAATGCTATCTGACCACCCAGATGGCCACCAATAAATCTGTCGCGCGACAGAACATTAACGTCAAAGGCGAGGCAAAAGCATGCCGCTCGCCAGAATTAACATTAATTATCTCCGATAATTCCTTTTAATTCTGCCGCTCGCTGTGGACGTAAACAGAACACCGCATCGTGGGTTTGCCGGGTATTTTTATTCAAAACAATGAGTACACAATGAATATACAATGAACCAAAACAGAAACGCCCCAAACAAACCCCCAAACAGAACTCAGTACATGCGGAACGATTGAATTGGCAGATTCTCCCGAATATAACTTGAAAATGCCGAAGATTTCCAACGTCCAGCAGACTGTACTTGCTGACAAGATGAGCCCATCGCTAACGCAGTGGTTGCGGCTCCAATACGAAAACTGTGAGAGTGAATATCAGGAAATTCCGGTAATAACCGATGTAAATAACACTCAAAATAATTTCGAGACAATGATGAACCATCACGAAACACGAAAAACGGCGCTTGAGCATCAGTACGGACACGGCATCGCGAATAACGAACATATGCACGAACAGGACAAATGGAACGCTCAGTAAAATTAAAATGCACTGTATAACCATGAGAAAATTGGTCCGTTTTAGAACTTGGAATAACAAGTGACACATGATGCCCATCAAAGGTGACATGTCGAAATTGAATAGTGTGCTTATTGCTCAACGAAACTGCAAATTCGGAGATACGCAAAAAACCAAAGAAAGCGAAACACATTGCACACCAAAGTAATGATTGGTCATATAACGATAAGGACGAAGCAATGATTCTGGTTTTCAACAATCGCATTATATCCAGTGAAACTGGCATTCGGCTATCAGGCATGATAGGAGCCAACCGCTGAAATCCTTTCAATGCATGTTGAACATTCATAGACACTACGGGATCAGATACACCGCTTTCAAGCGCATAGTTAGAGATTCCGGCAAGATATGTTCGCACCGACGAAAACTTATGGCCGCAACGATACAAATGAGCAATGAAATTCAGCACATTGACTTCGGTAAAAGTGATGAATTGTAAAATGGAGCAGACAGGAACCGCAAAACTGATTCAATGCAGTCAAATACGTTTTCCTAGTTGACGCGGAAATATGATGCTGCATCAAATGGTAGACTGTTGCATCTGCAAGATATCAGACCAAAATCAGGCACATTTACTGGACGCATGCAAGCGTTCGGAGCAGCTGCACGGAAACGATCGAATTCAAAACGGGAAAGTGAATCGGCAATTATGTTATCAATGCCCGATACGTGTTTTACAGTCATCGTAAAGTTATTCAAAGCTGCAACCATTAAAATTTTTCGCAAGGCGTGCAGAATATCAGAATTTTTCGAATTAAGAGAACACCAGCAGTGAACCACCGCCATGTTGTCACAATGAAAAATAATTTTTGTTTTCGAAATTTTTCTGCCCAAACTAAACACGCAACATAAACAGGAATGATTTCCAAAAACGCAATACACCGTTGCGCAATTTCCTGCGACGGCCAGCGGCATGCAAACCATTCGCCGTCAAAATACGCAGCTAAACCAGTGCCGGCAGCTGCATCTGTATACAGATGAAGGGCGTCAGGATGAGACCAATTAACAGACAAGAATGAAGCACAACCATTCCACTTTGGCAGAAACTCTACCCACCAACGAAGATCGTCATAAATATCATTAGTGATAACGATTCGATTTGGATCTGGCGAAGACAACAGATTAATTAGTCTACGCGTGAATAAACGTCCAGCAGGAACACACTTTGGTGTGCAATGTGTTTCGCTTTCTTTGGTTTTTTGCGTATCTCCGAATTTGCAGTTTCGTTGAGCAATAAGCACACTATTCAATTTCGACATGTCACCTTTGATGGGCATCATGTGTCACTTGTTATTCCAAGTTCTAAAACGGACCAATTTTCTCATGGTTATACAGTGCATTTTAATTTTACTGAGCGTTCCATTTGTCCTGTTCGTGCATATGTTCGTTATTCGCGATGCCGTGTCCGTACTGATGCTCAAGCGCCGTTTTCGTGTTTCGTGATGGTTCATCATTGTCTCGAAATTATTTTGAGTGTTATTTACATCGGTTATTACCGGAATTTCCTGATATTCACTCTCACAGTTTTCGTATTGGAGCCGCAACCACTGCGTTAGCGATGGGCTCATCTTGTCAGCAAGTACAGTCTGCTGGACGTTGGAAATCTTCGGCATTTTCAAGTTATATTCGGGAGAATCTGCCAATTCAATCGTTCCGCATGTACTGAGTTCTGTTTGGGGGTTTGTTTGGGGCGTTTCTGTTTTGGTTCATTGTATATTCATTGTGTACTCATTGTTTTGAATAAAAAATACCCGGCAAACCCACGATGCGGTGTTCTGTTTACGTCCACAGCGAGCGGCAGAATTAAAAGGAATTATCGGAGATAATTAATGTTAATTCTGGCGAGCGGCATGCTTTTGCCTCGCCTTTGACGTTAATGTTCTGTCGCGCGACAGATTTATTGGTGGCCATCTGGGTGGTCAGATAGCATTTCCTGATGTTGTTCTGGTTTTCATGCTGCTTTTCGCAGTCTTGCATGCCCATCTACCATTTGCAAAATCTTTGATGCAGTTCACATCGATCGTTATCACTAATGATATTTATGACGATCTTCGTTGGTGGGCAGAGTTTCTGCCAAAGTGGAATGGTTGTGCTTCATTCTTGTCTGTTAATTGGTCTCATCCTGACGCCCTTCATCTGTATACAGATGCAGCTGCCGGCACTGGTTTAGCTGCGTATTTTGACGGCGAATGGTTTGCATGCCGCTGGCCGTCGCAGGAAATTGCGCAACGGTGTATTGCGTTTTTGGAAATCATTCCTGTTTATGTTGCGTGTTTAGTTTGGGCAGAAAAATTTCGAAAACAAAAAATTATTTTTCATTGTGACAACATGGCGGTGGTTCACTGCTGGTGTTCTCTTAATTCGAAAAATTCTGATATTCTGCACGCCTTGCGAAAAATTTTAATGGTTGCAGCTTTGAATAACTTTACGATGACTGTAAAACACGTATCGGGCATTGATAACATAATTGCCGATTCACTTTCCCGTTTTGAATTCGATCGTTTCCGTGCAGCTGCTCCGAACGCTTGCATGCGTCCAGTAAATGTGCCTGATTTTTGGTCTGATATCTTGCAGATGCAACAGTCTACCATTTGATGCAGCATCATATTTCCGCGTCAACTAGGAAAACGTATTTGACTGCATTGAATCAGTTTTGCGGTTCCTGTCTGCTCCATTTTACAATTCATCACTTTTACCGAAGTCAATGTGCTGAATTTCATTGCTCATTTGTATCGTTGCGGCCATAAGTTTTCGTCGGTGCGAACATATCTTGCCGGAATCTCTAACTATGCGCTTGAAAGCGGTGTATCTGATCCCGTAGTGTCTATGAATGTTCAACATGCATTGAAAGGATTTCAGCGGTTGGCTCCTATCATGCCTGATAGCCGAATGCCAGTTTCACTGGATATAATGCGATTGTTGAAAACCAGAATCATTGCTTCGTCCTTATCGTTATATGACCAATCATTACTTTGGTGTGCAATGTGTTTCGCTTTCTTTGGTTTTTTGCGTATCTCCGAATTTGCAGTTTCGTTGAGCAACTGGGAGGCGAGATATAAATTTTTAAAGTATTCGACCCAGAGCAGCCAGTACTGTAATTAATGACCGGCCCGGCTTACCATTTGCATGCCTGCGTATATGCAAGCGATTAGATTTGGACATGCAGTCAAATGAATGGGGAGCACCTGTTTGCGATTTGTATCTTTTATTTTACTGGGTCATAAAACCGTAGCAAAATGGATGCAAACTCTGAAGACAAAAGACTTTGATCACACATGAGTGTAGCTGGGCAGCGCACACTCGGCTGTCTAGTTGGTCTTTCGGGCTATTCCTACGTGGTATGTGTGGTGAACTGAGACTGCCAACATCTTCAAATGAGATTTATCCCTGCATGAACTTTCGAATCCTACAGCTAAAAAATGCGGTTAACAGGCTTTGAAAATTAACTAGTCACTAATGGAATTAAGTAGAATTTTGAAATTTTGACAGTGGATGTATGGATATCGTAAAAGTCTAATTGCGAGGGCGATTTTGAAAAAAGTTGATTTTGCTCGAGTTATTGTCGAATCAAGCAACCGACGAAGTGTTTTTTGCAAGTTGCAACTTTAAAATGGACTTTTTCCAAAAAGCTCTCGCAAGGTGCTGGAGAATCGCGTTTTATATTTTACAGGCCGGTAACAAAAAATCTCAGTTCAATCTAGTCAGACTAGTTAATTTTTAAGCGGAATTACCAAATGTTGAATTTTAAAGTTTACTATTGAACCTATGATACTGGTTACAGGGGTTGAATTTTTCATGATTTTAACTAAGAAACACTTTAGAATGGTCAAGACTGGGTTTTGAGTCGATATCGCAGGATCTCCACATTCGCGAACGGTAAAAGCCAAAACAGGGGTAACCTTAATGGTGTGTTCCGTAATATATATGCCTTGTATTTATCGTTAAATACTTATTGCCAATATTTTCTGGTTGCCTTTGGTCAATATTTCCAGATTTTACCGTGAAACCCGTTAACCACCATCACATTTCCGTGTCTACGCAGAAAACGTTTCGGCGGCATATTCGGCGGCACTGCAGTTCTTATCTGTTTATTTTTATTTCATTGTGTCTCATTGTGTTTCAATGATTTTATCGTTTGGTTCCCCTTGATGCCTGATAATCGCTTAATGCTTATATCCGTTGGTCACATGTGTTTAGTGGAAACCAGCATCACGATTCCTTCGTTGTCATTTCGGTTCCCTTTGATGGCTTCTTATTTGGGTGTACAATATGCATTGCCTTCTGCTTGCACCTCAGTTCCCTTCATTCCTCAGTGATGACCATACTGTTCGGTTACGTAACTTGTTGCCTGATGACAGTCATAAAGTTCTCTTAATCGCTTATATAGTGATTCATAATTATAAATTTTACCAGTTCTCTCGTCATTAAACAGTTTTGTTCTTTAATCTTGCTGATCGATCTGGACATTTGTTGGATATCAAGTGCGTTTTCGTCTTGTTCGCGAGATATTATTTGCGTCCCATAATTTTGCTTATACAGTCCATCACCATGTATTGGGCCTATTGGCTATTCACGTCGAACGCGATTACAATATATTATATTATATTATAGTATATATCATAATTGCACTTTTCATTTGCGACTGCCAGCGTGTTAGCGGCTGCTCTGTTCTTTCGGTCCGGTAACTTGCCGGATGCGTAGAATTCTGATTTCAGTTGTTTGCGTTCTGACTACCTTTGCATCTTTGCTCAGCTAAATTTATGTTGGTATTGTTTCCGTGGGATTTTCACATCAAACATGACTTTTAATCGTTTTTACGTTATCATCCCAGAGACTTAACCGTATCCGATTCGTTTTGGTGTTCTCAAATTTTTTTTTATCCTACTGTATCTAACGCCTCGGATTAACTGATTCGCAATGGGACGAGATGGAAAGCAGTGGATATGCCGATCACCAAACCGGAGGCGAAACGCGGATGCTCGCACGCCAACGTTATTACCATTTGTTCTTCCAATTTTACCTTCAGACATGTTATCCAGCATCACATTTCTGTGTCCATGCCGAAAATATATTCCGGGGCACTGAGCCGCTTTCTACAGTTCCTACATTTTCCACGTTGTGTTGCGTGGCTCATTAATGAAGCTGAAGTGTTTAATTTATCGTCCGTTAATACCGGTATGGGATCAAATATTCCCATGTTGCACTTACAGGAATTCAACGTTTGGTTCCCGTTGAATTCTTTGTTGGCCTATATCCCTTGATATCATCTGTGTTTTACTGAAACCCGCATTGCGGTTTCTTCATTGTCACACAGCGTATCTGAATTCATTGTGTCTGAATTTGCGTTATCGCTCATTGATAAGTCGTGACGATAAGTTTCGTCATTTTACGGTTTTGCGATCATCAAGTTTCCCGTATAATCCTACTTTCCAAAACTGACCAATTCTCTTATGGTTGTGCAGTATATTTTAATCCTGCTGATTCGTCACTTGTACAGTTTCTGTACTTATTTATTCCATATTCCTACTATTGTGTGTCAATTGACATTTGACGCTGATGCACATTTCTCTGCTTTATAATCGGTCACCGTGATTTCGGAATTAATTTTAAGCGCAGTTTGCGTCGTCTGTTACCGACATTGCCTTCCTTTCTACAGTTTCCGTATCAGTGGTGCAGCTGCCACGTTGGTCATTGATTGGATATTCTTATGTTCCTGTTTGGGGGTTTGTTTGGGGCGTTTGTGCTTGTTGTTAGATCATTGTGTTTTTCGTTGTTGATTCATTGTATTCATTGTGTATATCATTGTTTCCCATTAAAATACCCGGCAAACCCCGTCGTCGATCGGTTACAGCACACGCGAGCAACAGAATTAAAAGGAATTATCGGAGATAATGAATGTTAATTCTGGCGAGCGGCATGATTTTTGTCTCGCCTTTGACATTAATGTGCTGTCGCGGTTGAGATTTATTGCTGGCCATCTGGGTGGTCAGATGGTATTCCTTGAGATTGCTCTGGTTTCATGCTGCCTTTAGCAGCTTTACATCAGTGTTCATTTGCAAAGAGTTTTGATGTAGTTCACGTCGAACGCGATTTTCCCACCCACCCTATCCCATTTTTCCTGGGAAGAGCTGTGGAAGGGGTGTTTATTTTTATTGGTTCATTGTTTTCTTTCATTGTGTTCAATATTCCCCATGGGGGGCGTTTGTGCTTGTTGTTAGATCATTGTGTTTTTCGTTGTTGATTCATTGTATTCATTGTGTATATCATTGTTTCCCATTAAAATACCCGGCAAACCCCGTCGTCGATCGGTTACAGCACACGCGAGCAACAGAATTAACAAGATACACTATGTAATAAATTGAAAGGTCACTCATTAAGTTTTTGTTTGAAACCGGTGCAGTTTATCATTATATATTTTTCAAAATCGCTAATACAGCCCAGCGAAACGATGGAATTCCGTTTCGATTACTTGCATCACGCTTTAATAATGTTTTGATCAACGCAATGATTTGGGCAAATACAAAAAACACATCTTGCCACATTCACGTTATCTGCATAAAATCTATCTCTATAAAACACAGAAGAATCCATTTCGCAAAAGAAGGCAAAAAACGTGATCATCCATACTGATAAAAATCTCGTATGCAAAAGGAGCAAAAAAAAGAACCCGATGCCTTTTTTGACACAAAAAATCGACAAAAAATGTCCGGTGAAACGCTGAGTTAAAACGCCAAAAAACGCGCGCACTGGAGAGTAAAAAAAAGATCGCGCATGACCGACAAAAGACACGACATTATATTAATTATCCAACCGGTTCCATGGAATAAACATCTGTGGGAAAGAAACACAGGGCAGCTGTGTTCACAACGCCGAACTGTCGCTAACGTTGAGGATGAGATCGCGAATGGCCTGTTGAATGCGCTTCAAATGGCCAACTTTGGTTATACCCAGATCCTAAAAACAAGAATACAAAATTAAAAGTGTGAGAAATGTGCCACTCGTGCAAAGTATCACAGAGTAAATAACCGATTTCGTAGTCTTGTGGTTAAAAATGCATGTGAGGAAACGGGCTACTTTCATATTGAGTCATCGACTGACATACAGAATAATATTTCTGCAGACGCATATGAAAAATTGTGCAAATGACAATAAAAATAATTTTTCCGTAGTCTTCATTTCGATTTCTAATTATCACGGCTACAACCAGACTCCACTTCAAATTCGGTAAAGAAGTATAATAAAATATTTGTATTTGCAGATGTTTTCTGGTGTAAATGGAAACGTTTTCATCTGACACACTCTACCATTTAGTTGCCGTCTAACTCGAATCACCGAAATAGCTAATCTTGACTGAAACCCTTACTAGTGATCCAACTTTGCTATCGCTCCCAAAAGTAATATAGACAAAGAATACGCAATACTGGTGAGAATTAATACGATAATCGCCGCACAAATGCAGCCACGTGATATAATAAAACAAAATTTCCGTTGAATGGACAAAAGAGCAGTGCACGAAAAAATCAACCAACCTTGAGATCCCGTCGTTCCAGATGGATGAGTTCATTTCCGCGGATATCATGGGAGATGAACACATCCTTATATTCGCCCAGATGCAGGGAATGCAGCCACAGGGCGACATCTTCACTTGTCCACTCACGCACGGATAGACCTAGCCAAAAATTCCGTTTAAGACCAGCGAACTGGTCGAAAAAAGGAGGGAAGCGCGAACTTACTAGGGTATTTATACTGCGATTCCCCTTCGGGCGGTCGCTGTGCACCGCGCCGGAACTGGAACCGGCCCAGGAAGCGGCTGCGGAAGGTGCGGCCCAGTTCGCCTACGGTGCCGGCGGACCCGGTGCTGGTGCTGGCCAGATTGTCCTGGAAAAGGAGGAAAGTGTCTCCGATCAGGGCTCTGCTGCCTGTACAAGTTAGTACACACACGCAGTCACCCACACAAAATGTCCCATTCACATCGCGATCGCTCTCGGCGGAGCATCTAGCTGCGTATAGTTATTGCGCGCTCCCAATTCTACACCCATTCCATCATTACGCATTGTTCGCGGTACCAGTTAAATGGGGAAAAAACAATAAACAGAACACGTAAATAAGAACTACTTATATAAATGAAATGTACCAATTCATGTATTTTATTTATGCAATCTGACAAACCCTGTTAAACAGAGGAATATTTGAATTTTTAAAAAATATCACTTTATACTCATTTTGAATGTTTTTCGAAACAATTAGACAGAATAGACAGAACTCGTCAATCGGAATGGGTGTTAACGGGCAGCGCGCTAGGCAAAAAAAAAGGAAACTAAAAAAAGAAATCATGCAGAACATACCCGAGAACTGTCCGGATCATCGCAGACAACCGCCAACCCGGCATCGACGATCATCTGCACATACTGGTCCACTTCATTGACGGCCGCCTGAAGCTCCAACGCCGTATCGGCCGGCAACACCAGCGTTGTCGGTTTGGCTCGTAGCAATTCACTGGCTTCGTCGCGCAGCTCCCGAATGGAGTTCAATAAACGACTGGCCACGAACTTGATATTCGGCTGCAAAGCACAGCACCGAACACACGTCAGACCACAGAACACACGAAAGAGAGAAAACGAAATGAGACCCACCACCGAATCAGGCTCCTGTTAGACAGTCCCCAAAAAGACAAAAAAGACAACGATTACCCAAGGAAATGACGTGCAGAAAGACATTGAAATATGTAATTTTATTGCTATCTTACAATGTTTGTCAGGCGTCCGTAGGGCGTTAGATGGTCCAATGATTCTGATGCTTTGATGACACTGTGAGCGATATCGTCTTCGATCTCCGGGCATGCCATGGCGGCCAGCTTCACACTGAAAACGGCATTAAAAAATGCAGAAATTTTAAAATCAGAAAATACAACAAACTGTTACAATAAACATGATAATTTTAAAAAAATTAATTGCTACACGAAGAGATTAGATTTTTCATCTTTTTTAGATTTTTATTTTTTTGTATAATCTGTTTCGGTTTGTCGTAACATATTAACCAAGCCATCCCACTACGTTAACTTCGCAGCTTGTCAGTGATATGGAAAACGGATCGCCAATGCTTTTCTACTTCATTAGGAATGCAATCACGAAATGTACAATTATCAACGAGATTTCCGTCATGCCACAAATACCTGCGAATAAGTCGTGCGCACACCCTGACAAAATCCTGAATTAACTGTAATTCTCGTTCGGACAACATCGCCGGTCCACAGTTAACATCGCAGTTGTTCTTGGATGACAACGGGCACAACGACAACTGTTGTTGCTGCCAGATCTTAAAGGCACTTTCAAACTGCTACAAACAGCAAACCACTGCATCTCCAAGCTCCATCAACAGACACAATGAATTTCCTTACCCGATCCCGGCACAGCATCTGCGCCTTGTTCTTGTGGACGATATGGATGCAGCCCGGCGGCTGGATCCATGCCTCCCCGTCGACCTGCACCGGGATCCCTTCCAGGCCTTTGATGATGATCTTGACGCTGCGGCACTGGGCGATCCGGTGGTGCTGGATGCGGATCACCTTCGACACGGCCATCTGCACCGTCCCGAACACGGCCACCACCTCCAGCATGCGGTCGTCGAAGGCCGGCGCACGGAACAGATCGTCGCCCTTCACACCGCCCCAGAAATTAGCGCCACCTATACAAGGGCAATATTGCGATCTATTTATCAGAGTCGTACAGATTGCAGCATCACAAACACACAGATACACTATTAAATAGTATACAAATAAGTACAAATACACTGATGGTATAAGTAAGCAAGCCGCCTGAGACTGCAGTAATGAATAATGCAATGAATGTCGTAGAACAGGGGCTAACACTTCAGCAAAGCACCAGTTCCGACTATGCGATCTCCCACGTTTTACTAGAAGAACTGAATTTTGAGCATGTAAGAGTAATAAGAATCAGATTTTTTATCTTAGCGCTCTGACACCGTAATGAAGCAGCAAAACGCCTTTCTGCACAATAATTTTCCCGTTCTAGCTATTTGCCAGCGCGGACTGGAAATTGAATATGTTCACAAATAACTAAGTTCCGCTAGCATTATTATCAATCTTTATTATTATCATTATTATCATTATTATCAATCCGGTAAACCGCAAAAAATGGAACACCGCATTCGTTCCCGCATGGAAGTATTTATGGGACAGCTAATTAGGCAATAACTGGCTAATTCACTTTACGAAGCACACTTCGAAGTTTGCTAATCCACACCATGAAAATGCCTGATGCCCACACTTAATCATTACAATACAATAATAAGAAATTTCCCAACGACTATAAGAACGTTACCCATATAAGAAGGTATGTTGAGCACGACGATGCCTTGGAGACTCGGCAGGGGAATGGGCTGACCATCGCATTCCAACTGGACAATCCGTTCCAGATGGTGGTACGTGCGTTTCTGTAGCTCCTTCACGCCCAGTACACCGTACCACATCATGTTTTTGGTGCGGGAACGGCATTTCTCCGGGTGTTCCTCGCGCTTCTGATGAAATTCCAGCGCGATTTTAGCGTCCAGACCCACGCCGAAATAGTTGTTCATCACGCAGCGCTCACTAAACGCTTCCCTAAAGACCAGAGAAGACAACGTCATTAATAATACTGTAAATAGCAACCTCAAAGGAAAAACGAAATACGCGACGAAATGAAAACAATAAAAACTCAAACAACACAAAAAACTAATAAAAACAGAAAATATAACCACTAAGGCATCCATTAACAATGTCAGCATTTAGAATAAGCAGCAGCTGATTAGAATAACCGCACTCGTTGCAAAAATTATGGTGGTGTAAGAGAACAGAAGATAAAACAAAAGTCTAAGTTAGACGGTCAAGTTACAGATTAAAATGAAAATTAATTGTAAAAACATTTACAATGAGATATTCTCGCGGCTGTGCGCTTGAGTAGGAGATCCGATCTTCGATAAGGCATCGGCATTGGCCAAAAGCACCCGGGTAATGAGACTAGTGCCCGTGGCCACATTCGTCATTAAACCACGTTTCACATCTACAACACAAGCCAAACAGGACCTAATTTCCGGCTCAATCAAGCCAATTTTCGTAATTTAGTCTATAAATCCACCAATAAAAACATATTTTCTGTTTTCAGACTGATCGGCTGTTTTAATTGCGCTTTTACTCTCCAAAAAAAGTCATGACGTCACGACTCAATAAAAAGCCGACATGGATGGTCGGTGTTAAAAAAATGTCTCATTAACACTATAAAATATTTGGTAGCATATTTTCTTGTTAAAAGAGTTATACAAAAGTCAGAAAAACACAAAAGCAGCAAATTTAACTGTAAAAGGTCGCAACTGGCTTACGAGGAATGGGCTGAGTCAGTGGAGGCGAAGTGATCCAGGGATGACGGCCAGATTTGGCACGACCACCGGAATGCAAAACAGATGATGGCGAGGCGAGATCCAAAGGAGAATTTTCTAATAATCAAGCAAACAATAAAACTACCGATAATTCATACAATTTCATACAACATACCATTCAAACAGCTCGTCTATAAATGTTTTAGACAATCCCATTAATAATAAAGCACTACTACGTAATTTTGCAAATGGTTCAAACAGCATAGCATAAACGTAAACACTATAAACTCCATCGTTAGCTGGCAAAATATAACGTTAATACGTGCGTAAATAGAAGAACTAACGTAATAAAGCGACTAACCAATAATGTTTAGCAAAGCAATCGAGTTCACGAAATCACCAGAAAATAGCTTACTTAGAAAATCATTGGCAGCGGGCGGATGCGGCGGAAAATTAAAGATCGTGTCCTGCGATCCCGATGCATCCGCACCACCAGGCACCGACTCGGGCATCGCCTGAATGACGTTCTCAGCCGACCGGGACTGTCCGCGCGCCAAAACTCGCGGAACACGCAAAGCATTCTGTTCATCCACCGCTAAAACAACCGAAAAACGGTTTAATTTAATATTCCAGATATATCTTTGTAAACTTCTGGAAAACGACCTCAACACCAAAATTACAATTAATTTACGCACTCTTACGAAGTTTGCTCGATTTTGACCTTGGGTGTTTTTCTGCTTCAACCAATTACTGGTAAAAATCATTACTGGTAAATTATTTTGGTAATTTATTCTGGTAAATTATTTTGTATATCCTCTAATCAATGGGTGTTTCTGTTTAGTATTTATCATGTGAGCAGGAAAAACACCCTAAGAGCATGAAGTTGCAGGCGATTTTCATTGATAAAACGGCACTATCATCCTCAAAGTCACCTTTTTCCGTGTGCTCAATAATCTGGCGGACGGCTTTCTTGAGGCTGTTGGCACGTGAGAGGATCACATCCTGCTGAATGAAGGCACGCTGCAGTCACAACACAACAACACACATTAATCAACAATCATCCCCATTATTCTCTGGTCACGCGACGCTTTTCAGTGATCATTAAGAAAAATCCATATCGGTATGTTGTGCCAGTTAACAATATCAGCACGTTATTCCACTGACTACATCTGCTATATAGAAATGTAATCCGGATTACAGTGTCACATTGTACTTCGCTGCTCCTTCGTTTGCACAAGAGAACACAGTGTGCGTGTATTCAAACTTTCAATCACATCTTCCAGATTAAAAATTTTCTACTCGGGTATCAATCAGTTCAAAAAATCACATTAAAAATTCGTTGCACCAGCCGCATATACGGTACAATATCGCGTTACCGTGTACATAAAGCAGTTTGTGAAATACCAATATTAACAAATTAAAATTACCTTCCGACTATTGAACATCGTACACTACTCAGTAGTACTCCGAAATTCCGTTCAAATTAAATTTTTCTATCTCACAATTTTCGGAAATTACAGTAAACCATATACTCAATGAATGGAACCAAAGCTCTTTTCAATGTTGCAATTTCACAGAACTTTTTTATGTAAGTTTAACAAGCGAATTTTAGCAATCCGGCAGAGTGATTTATTTTTTGGATGGAGGACATTCATCCAGTGCCGCTTAAACCTATGCTCAATGACAGATCGATTAAAAGCGTTCTAATATGAGCACACTTGAAGGGTGTGGCGAGTGATACACTGAAAACAATCATTTATATCAACAAAAATTACAGCGAAATTACAGAGGATCACTGTCCCGCTTTGACGGATAAAGCAGTGCTTAAGGGAACTTGATGGATCACACGGCACGCCGTAATTATGGCCAACATATAGAATCAACCAACAAAACGAAAATAATCATTACAGAGTATACCAGTGACGGTAAGGAATTATCCCGAAGCAACAGCTTTTAAAACTAGCTTCAGAAAAATTACAATACACTTTCCTGAATCAGTAAAGCTAGCTGCCAACAAAACGTTAACGCCTATCTAAAACGACAACTATCTAACATTAATACCAATTTGGTGCTAAGTACTGTACTGAAAGTTCTCCTTTAACCTTTAACACTTTAATAATAATAATGGTAGAATAAGGGCTCATACATTATTTCCAAACATGCGCAACCGCAGACAAGCTAACCGAAGATAGTAGCAGATGATTAATTCGCTATTACAATTTTTTCCGGCTCATACTCGAGTAAGAAGTCTGAAACTTCCAAAGCACAACTTTCAATTCGCGTAAGACTACCAGTAGCTTAACCGTTTACCACATCATTCTTTCGAATAACTCTCGTACTACTTGTGGCCACCAAATGTCGTAAAAGTGTAAGTAAAAAGTGAACTCGCCCATGATTTTTGGACGCACAGCAAAGTCTCAATGAAAATCAGCACTTCGTATCGTGCATTATTTTCGCAACTTACACGTCGATCGGACGGCGGTGTCTTCAGAGCTCGCTGCACCGATCCACTCCGGGACGGCGTGGCATCCGCCGGCACCGGCAGACCCGCTACCGGCGCCACTTGTACCGCCGCCGTAGCCTCCGACTCATGGTGCAGGGTATCCAGCAGCCGATCCAACTTCTCATTCAACACTTGACACTACAACACCCCCACATTTATCTTCCGAACTTCCTTCAGACAGCAGAAAATCACCCACCTTTCTGCTCATGCTCTCATGGTCCCGTTCATCCTGAGCGAACGCCGCGCCCACTTTGGCCACAAAATCCTTGATGGTCTCACAGAGAACGCGCGCCGATTGGATCACTTCGCATTCCTCTTCCGACAGGATGATGCGCGAGAGATGCGACGCCACGGAGTCCTCGTAGGCCGCGATGGGGTCGGCGTTGGGCAGGAGAACGCGGTGGTGGGGAGCGGGAGGGGACGGTGTGGCCGGGAGGGGCAGGGAATCGTAGTATTCCATGATGCTCCACCGATCCAGCAGTTTGGAGCTGGCCCATTCGTATTTCTCCAGGAGACTGGCCAGCGGCGTGTCGGCGTCGCAGGTGGAGCCCCAGCCCAAAACACGGGCCAGATCGTTGCCGGTACCCAGTGGCAAAATGCCTACCTGACACTAATGAAAAAAGTAAGAAATTCAAATATAAAAAATTAAAATTATCCGCCGCACTTCGTTGTTAAAAAATAATGCACCAACTTTTTCAATTGCTTTTATGCTAGGATAACACGCCAAAAGCTCATTAAGCAGCACACAATATATATCTGCTAGCGGAAAATGCCACACTGCCCTTCCCAAAAGGTCACTGATGCAATCGCTATTGTTCAAAATGGCACACTGATTTCATAATGCACTAGTACGTCCTAAAGATAAAATGTTCACCACAGGACAATTAACCCAGACAGTGTTGTCACGAAAGGTGCGCCCACAGCGATTTACGCAATTCACCGGCAGCAGCGCAGGGCGACACAACGTTTAAAGGTCGTTCGAATGTGCAGCATGCATGGGGTACCGTTACGTAGTCGCATCACTGGGCTCACCTTGCGTAATAAATTATGTGCATCCAAATCCTGCAGGACCCAGCCCACACTGCCATCGCCGCCACATACTAACACCCGGAAAGAGTCGAATTTCTTAAACAGTTGCAGCCTGAAAACGGACAAATGAATACAACCAATCTGCAATCTGACGAAACGACGGCAAATAATTTTCATATGTAATAAAGATCACGATTAAGGCAAAAAGAATTTGGCTATTAAATCTTTTACAATATGTTCAACAGGAGACGGAAAAGCGTAGGTTAAACTGTACGGCAGAACAATTTTTCAAACGATATTGCAAACGCAAAGGCGTGAAATAAATTTCTAAACCTTAGTAAATGAATAACAATTATGATTCATTTGAGTTTTAATTTGAGTTCTTTCTGAAGTTTTTTTATTTTCGAAGCCGGTAGTTACAGCGAAAGTTCACCACGTTAAACTTATTAACCGGTCTATCATTAAAGCAACGAGGGGAAAATTCCCTTACCCAAGCGTGGTGCCACTCTGCATGAGATCAAAAACCTGCGCCGGATTGAGCGTCTGCTTGAAGCGGCGCAGGAACTTGACGCCCTGATTGTCGCCGCTCTTGGAATTGCCGAAGACCAGGAGGGGCGACAGGCCTTGCGGTGAATAGCGGCGCGAGCTGACGGCCGAGCCCAGCGGATCACTCACGCACACCACATCGTTCTCGCAGTGATTGAAGAGTGTTGGAGGCACCGTGGAGAACCGGCAGGCCGGCAGCAGAGCACAACGCTCCGGAAACGCATTCAGGCACTGAGTGTGCACCTACAACAAAGCGCAGCGTATCAATCACCGTCTAACGTACCGGTAATTGAAAAATTCCCTATTATCCTGCAATAACGACAGCAGCTGAGCGATCTACGGGAAAAAACTAATTAACACGACACAATTCTACGTATTTGACAAACCGCGATTTTTAACAACAATATAATAAAAGTTCTCACAACAACCGTACATGCTACAATTACTCTGACACCATGACGCAATAAGATAGTTCACACAATAATTTGCTTTAAAGCAGAACATGCATCACGATCGCTGTTATTAACAAATTTACAGAAGAAAACGCTTTTCCAAACGTCAACGTAAAAGGGCACTGCACTTGCAGTATCTCAGCATTTAATTTTGAATGACGATGTCGGTGTTGTCAGAGTATTCTTCCACCACATTTCACAAATTTTTGTTAGCTGCGCAGTAGTGTCTCGCTAACTGGGTAAATTAATCCAAACATAATTACGTTGCTATCAACGCATGGAGCAAGGAAACATGTTTTGGTTCGTAGTGTTTGAGGAGTAATAATGTCATCCGATTACTGACGTATCTTATCCGTTCCCCGCTTCCCCGGCTAAGCTGTCTTAATGAGGTCTTGGGAGGCAATCATCCAAGCCGAGCTCTAGCCGACTTTTTAAGTGGCTCACTCAGCCCCCAACGATTTTCTCCCGACCCATTTCATGCCGGTTTTAATTAATGATTTTTTCTGCCTGACATGACCGCTTGTACCCAAAGCGGGCCAAAATGTCAGTGTGTTGTAACTGTCAAGCAGTTTAAATCCGCCACTGACGTACGTTCTGCACGTCATGAGCAACATGTAATTCCTATTGAAAGGAAAATCTTGCCAAACGAATCTCTCGCTTTTGTGCTGATATGAAAAATGACTCAAACCAAACAGGATTTCCCATGCAACACCTCCAGCAGTCCTCATGAATCACTTTTCCGGCTGAGCTACCAAAATTTCTATAGCTTGGTGACCCATATCGAAGATTATAAACCGCTTTCAAATATCTAACAAAATCAAAAGTCTTTAAAAATTAACATTTTAAAAAATGAAGTAAATCCCGAAATTTACGCAGTTTACATTCGAAAAAATTTTCAAAGGCGAACAAATCTAAAACCGGAAGGGTGCGTAACAAGCATACATTGAATCTTGGCAAAAATACTTGAAAAAGAAACTGTTCGTAATAGTTACCTGTATACGGTATTTGTTATTTATCGGTTAATATTTTAATTCATTATCACTTCAATTTCTCTTCCTTGATTTTATTGTCATTCTCCTGTGACGTAATTTGTTTATAATTTTCATACAATTATCCCATCGCAGATCCAAACTGCTTTCAATTAAGCGCCTGCAAACTGACGAATTTGTTGGATGTTGTACAAGAAAATAGGTGTCATGTGCAAATAAACAACCCAATCCATTCCACCCGCACAAAAAGCGTAGTTACGGACAAATGCCAATCAAGTCATTAAAAAGACATGCTGCTGACATGTCACATAACAACCGACTACGGAGCACACACCACTATTCCACTATTCCTGCCGTTCTGCCGGCAAAAACCAGCAGCGGACAACTTGCTCATGATGATGCCTAATTATTTCAGCCAGTCTCTGCTCAATTACGCATCATGTCACTTGTCACTGGCAGGCATATACTGCTAAAAATTATGTCTCATGCCCAAGCGAATCCCGCACGATTAGTGCAGCCAGGCGGATGCAGATTGCATTCCCAGTTCATGCATACAGTCAGGGAAAAATTCATCACACAACTCCAATCAGCCGCAGTGCAATATTTTACTGACAGGCCTTGTTTTTGTCAACAGTTTTGTGCTTGACTGAATGACTAATCAAAAAACTCCAGTAGCATCGACAATTCATCGTGGTAGAATTTTCACCACAAAATTTCAATAGATCTGACCAAATCATATCTGCTGAAGGCATCACTTTTAAAAAAAATATGTCCATATTTTTTTTTTAAAAAATACCTTGCTTACATGCCGACAGACGCGAATACAATTTGTCAGAAATTTTTCAGAAACAGAAGCAAGGACTGCAATGTTTTCAAAAGGCGAAAAACATCATTATCGAAAACTGTGCCCACACTATCACTAACAGAATGACACCCAGCAGACGCCAGCGAAATTACAGGGAGGAGACTTAATTAAGCCGGAAGCCGGGAAGAGTACAGAACAATCAAGGGCACGCGGCCTCTGGTAACGGTCTACTGCTAACGATGATGATGGGCAAACTTACCATTGCTTTGCACCACTGGCAACGCCAATCCTGCAGCCGCAGCACACTCCCGCATGTCCGCTCGCAGACACTACACTTGGCGCTCACGGTCAAGTTCCCCTCTAGCCACTGATGCCGCATGTGAATGGTCTACAAGAGCCAAGAAAACACTTAATACCCATTAGCGTTACGACTGCCATATTTAATAAAATAATAACAAGTTAATAATCGTGCAATCGCCGATTTTGTTGCAAGATGTGTACGACATATCGCTGAAACACCGACACAGTATTCAACCTATACAGTTGATCATACTGAGAATATGAAACGTTTTTGTCACACTTTGTACTATTAATTCTAAATTTATGTAAAATACTATAACCTCGTTAACTTACCCCGTCAGGATCTTCGATAATGTTTTCTTGGCCCATGGATGCCAAAGTGGTCCACTTGCAGTTATTAGGGGCTTTCACGGCGCAACGTTTATGAGCCTTGAATTTACAAACTGCAAGCAAAACGTACAATAAGATTCCAATTCTCATGAAGTAACCTTTTTAATAACATTCTAACCATTTAGCAAGTAAACCTGTTTAGCACTCAAAAAACACTGCAAACAAGATCTCAGTAATATTGCTGTCAGGATATCCTGAACAATCTTCGAGAGTTCAAAAAAAAATTTAACCGAGACAATAAAAAAATTCATACAATAAAATCGATGGCACAAAATTTAATAAGCATCTTATTAGTATGCAACAACACGGAAAACGGAAGAAAATTATTCTAATACAAATTACCATGATTACAGATTTTGATGGGTATATGATTCTGATGATACTTGGTAAAAACCCTTTATTATTTGACTACTTTATGAGAATTTGTATTTCAGAGGAAAGAAATGTTCTCCACAACGCAATTACAGAGCGGCACTGAATGTCCCAATTGTACCGCCCAATAAGTTGGTAAAGCGGATGTCGTAACCAGTTCCATAACCGGATGCTAGTGCCCGACAATCGCACTGCCGAGTTATGTGCATGCGCGGCTTAAAAATTCATAACCCACCGGATGTGTGCCTATAACCGATCATCAGCGGACCAAAAAATTCCCTTTAATCTCACCGATTAACCCTCAGCCATAACGGACTGCCTAATTATATCATAACAAAATCGATTCCGTGGTTTAAAAGCTTACACACTGCACCGCGAATTCCCCAATGTTTACATTTTTGACAAGCTCAACTGTTCATTCGGCTTCCAAGAAATTTCTCTGATTAAACTGTAAATAAACGTGAGTTATATTTTCACGCACAAGCTCAAAGGTTCCAAACGACTTTTCAATTTGACGGACATCATAGGCGTAAGATATTGAACAAAACGAAAGATAACCCAGTCCCTTAATTCTTTCCCCGCTCGCCTATTAATTTCGAATACAGAAACAACAAATAATATTTTAACGAGAAATTACTTTATCTGTATAAAGTAACGGTAGATGATCATGAAAGTTAATTTTGTTAGTCAAAGAAAACACTTCCTTGGTATTATTTTCCTCGTTAATCGAAGCCTGCGGCGAAGGGTCCTAAACTTCTCTTCAAAAAATTGGGCATTTTAAATTTTTCAAAATACCTTTTAATAATCATTATGACTTAGGCATGTGATTCATCATCTGAATGGGCCATATTCTTTAATTCTACGAGCACTACACGCACATGCCGGGGTTGCACAAACAAACAAGCCGGCATCAACCCGGAAGTGATGAGTTAGCCGATATGCTTCCCTTCCGTACCACCGCGCGATTGAAAAAACCTCTCACCCACCCCCATCTGTCACGCAGCCCGGTATCCCGGAACAAAGAGTGGGATTGATATGAGAGAAGAAGGAGAAAAAAAAAACCCCCGTTCTTCAACTAACCTTCACACGACAATCCCCGGCTGGCCACACCCGACAACACTTCCCGGCAGATGTTGCAGTATGTCGGCCGGGCATGCGAACAAATGTACCAGTTGTGCTGGCCGGAGAAGAGGCTGACTTGTTCGGCCACCTTAATAACAGAGCACAGTCCGGGGATAAAAATAGTCGGGGGTTTTTATGTCAATAATTTATGACCGCTGTTTACGTCATAATATTCCCGACTGGAGACGGCCTTCAGTGCCGTTATCCATTCTTCCATATCGCGCCGCTTCTCCGCACATAGTATGAGGTTTTGGAATGGAGAAATTAACTGCAAATAAATATGGAAAGCATTTGCAAAAATCATGTAACAAATTTCTTCCAGATGCTTTTTATTGACGTATGTTGTGGTAGTTAACGAAGAGGTGCATTATGCATACATTGTCACTATTCTACGAGTACAATTCACTACTGATTCCAGTTTTAACTAATACTCACTTCAGTCACTTGTGAAAAGCATTAAGTTACTCGAGTTAATTAAAATTAGAAAATAACGAGTCTCCTAAAGTTAATTTACTGCCAGTTTGTTTTAAATTGCTCCCAGTTAGGAATACATCTGGCAGATGAACAATGACAGAAATGCTGGAGAGCTATGATATCCTTTTTTCCCATGCATCTGTTTATTCTGCACCCGACGAATTTTTCCCATCTCAGTATTCCCAGACACGTTCAATTTGGGCAAACAGTTCAGCGAACAATCTCACAACCCACTTAGAGAAAAAAGCATTAAAGAGAAAAAACACTCCCGACACGGCTGAAACCCGACCTGCAGATTATTTGGTCAAGTCCTAATTACTTACAGTTTCTACACTGGAAGAAAAAAATGTGTGCAGCTGCCCACACTGTACTGTAATGTTGATTCGGCTGCTGTTGCAGCCTCCAAGTTTATCTAAGCAAATGCACTCTCGTTGTATTCCCATTAGTATCCAGTTACTCTGTTGACATGCCGGCGCGGAATAAATGCTCACAGGATGCTTAAAAGCCTTTCAGCTTAAAACCAGCTGCGTAACAACAACTTCTCGGGCAAAACTGTTAACTTAGCCCGTCTTTTGCGTATTATCCAATTAAAATCCAACATTTTTTGTCCTCGGAATTTTACCATGACTGGTGAGCGAAACTCCTCAATAACTCACAATCCACAATGCTTTACCATCTGCCACTGTAATTAACGTTGAAGCAAAATTAAATGACAGGTTTACCAAAAATTTTTAGAAAGTGTGCAAAATAAAGCAACAGCAATACGAAATAAACTGCAAATGAAGGAAATAATTAAACACAATAACTAGAATAGGGTAATATTCAGAAATTAATTTGTTTTTTAACTATGCCAATAAATAATAAAAACGCACTGTTTTAATTTAAAGTAAATTTTTGAAAATGGGACAGTCCGAAAATAGGATGCCGGCACCGTTCGTATCGTACGACAAAAATGCTTAATAAAACTGTGCGTGCGTGTCCAGGATAATTAGACAAGAAGGATTGCCCACAAATCACCTTCCGGCTGAGGAATGTTTCCAGTACGCATTTTCGGGAAACGAAGCCGTTTCATCATTTGCCTAACTGCTTTCAAGAGGCTCAGTGTGCAATTTAAAAAGCGCCCAGAGTGGTGGCGCATTTACGCCAATCACTCGAGAATTGTCTGAGCACCAAAGTCGCTTCTAACCATGAAAATATCATCAACAACCGGCCCCATCGATCCTGTAGGCAATTCAATCAAAACCGCTACACTCGTACGTCTGACCATTTATCAGTTTTCCAATTTATTCAAGTAAAACCCGGAATTTTCCCGAATACACTTTTCAAGCTGAATTTTTAAAACAACTAACCGATAATAACCTCAATCAGGCCGAAAACATTAGCAACGCCGCATTTCTCATGCAACAGAAATTGCTCTACATTAATTCCCGTTTCGACAAAATATCAATTTAGCCAAGAAGCTACAACCACGCACAAACGGTTTATGAAACTGCAAAGTGAATCCCAAAAAAGACGTTACGTTAAGCAGCTGCGCAGTGAAAACGTGCCTTTTTCGGCGAATTGTTTCGCTCTGGGCCGAAGATGAGGCAAAGCAGTGGAAAATTTAATTGGAAAACCATAGCAAGACATTTTAATCGAGCACCTAGTCAGCGGACACAAAAGACTGGAGCAATTTCCGTAAGCCTGGCTGTGCGCCTAAGCCATTAGCGTCCCTGGATGAGCCGAGCATGGGCCATGCTTCTTCATTAGAAGCAAAACTTGGCTGGCTGTCCACTGATTGCTTCCCCGAACCGATAATGCTGCTAATCATCCCAACATTTCCCCAATTTCAATGTTAACCCCTCTCCAAAAGAAACGACAATATATGCAGGCGCACTGCACTTGTCTGTCAAAACCTTTCGTTTCCCAGTCCCATAAATAGCCGTCAAATCCATTTAACACCACATGCATCCCTAATTCAATTCAATCGGCATTTTAATCGCATTAATATCAGTGAAACCCATTATGGGAGAAAAAGTTTGTATGCGATCGGCCTCAAGAATTGAACTACACAGTCAACAGCACCGGAGGGACAATGTTACACAAAATGGTTAAGTACACAAATAAACTCTACGGCATGTCCAGCTCACACATACGCAATGATAACTCGTATGTATAATTTTGCTTCACTGGATAAAATTCAGGGAAAAAATCCAGTCACAAAAATCTAGAAACTTTCCCCAATTTTTTCATAGAAGAACAAAAACACCAGCTTAATTTAAAAAAAAAACTGTAAAAAACATTTAAATAGTAAAACCGCTAAATATATTACGAATATCAGGTAAAAATCCAGAAATTTTACAACTGCGAAGAGGAAAATCAAGAGCAAAACGTAGGACATTTCGTGACAAACATCCTTAGGAAATTTCCTTATTCATAGCGTGCCCACTTATCCCGCGCAACAGCGGCCGTCAACACTGTCAAGATCCGCATGCTGCCCGCCAACTTCGTCGCGGATGAAAACAAAATCAATAACACTTTCCGTGAATGTGTTGATCAGTGGGGGGAGAGTAATAGGGAGATAATTATGATCGGCAAGCGACCCTACACATATTCACCGGCCCTAACTGTGCAAACGGACAGAGGAATATTACCCATGGTTAATATTTAATCTTACCCCACCTTCTTCCGCCGAGCTCATTATTTAGAGTGGCCACTACATTGCCGGTGCAAGTATTATATGCCAGCTGTACCACACGGTGCTGATCCTGCTCTGGTTACCTGAAAGACATTATTGGCATTCTTCTCGCCGTGTTCCGCTAATGAGATATCCGTCAGGGGAATTTCTTCAAATATCGCAGACTACAAAGCAAATCAGTACAATTATAAGAGTGACTGTTACAAAGTAATAACGAAAGTGATAATAAACACACTTCAACACCACACACACTACACTTCCGGTAAACAAAAATCTAATTAAAATTATTAAACATCAAAGCAAGAATCGGAGAGTATTTTCAGGCTGCTAAAATAAGACGAATTCCTATCCAATAAAAAACTCAATTTCTTGCGCATCTACCCCTTTTTTTAATTAATTTTAAGTCAGTTATCTAATTATTACAGCATTTCTGTCATAATTCGTGCAATTTTTCGTCGTTGAGCGAATAAATGCCTGCAATAATGGACTCACATTTGGATCTTTGGCATAATAGAGTTTTTTCCCTTGCAGCTTGAAATACCGGCGATGTAATCTCTGCAAAAGAAACACCAGACGTTGAGTCGGAGCGATAACCGCCCTATACACGACAGCTAAATTAGACAGTTAGGGAAAACGGGAATATCGTGCCTAATCCCATTTGGGGCCAAAAATAGCGGCATTATCAATCAGCTTTTGACCAGTACGTTGAACTACATTTTTCCCGCCCAATAATCCCAGTATCGCTTCCCGCTTAAGCGCAGAATAATCCAGCTAATACTTTCCGGACTATTTGCGACCAACGGCGACGGTGGAAAAGGGCTTTTAATCGGCCCCATCCATCATGCGCCAGCAGACTGCCGGGCAGGCGAGGGAACAAAAAAACGCTACACGATTTGGACTAAATTGGCCTACACCGCACTTCCGGTGAAGGGAAGCGCTTATGCCGAAGGATGCGCGTCATGCCATTGAAGAATACGATGACCCAGACGAATTTGATTGGGGTTATTGGGTGGTGGCTGCTGTGATTTCACCAATTTTCCACACAGGGGTGGAAGATATCATTTTTTCACTGGTGAAATTCTACAATATCTATCGTTGACAAGGAAAGTACAAAAACTGATTTCAACAGTTTCGAAACAACAATCTTTTCCTACTGAAAAGAAACAAAGTGGAGTCATTTAATTTGAGCAACCAGACAAAACACAATATAACTACAGACAAAAAATTTTAAAAACAGATACAGTTATAATAAAGAGGAAAGACATTTAATTTTCACAAAAAAGGTTAGTACAAATATAAGCAGGACCGGCACTCAGTGACAGTGACTAACACCGCCATTTATATGAGAAAAAGCAAACGTATTAATATTTGTAAAAACTGCGATTACATTTTAAGCAATAATCAAGCATAAAGTTGTGAATAATTTAATATTCAAAAATGCAAACACCCCATTAGAATTGCAGAGTTCACGCATGGCTGGATCATTTATGGAAATGTTGAAGAAAAATGCAGAGTGTAGAGTGCGTCTGACTACCGTATGAGAAAGTTCATGGATGCGTTGTGATAAATATTATTATTCCCATATGTTCTCATGTTGATGTTGGGCAGTATGCGCCGGCTAATCTCGATATTTTCCTAACACTGCTCCCATGAGAAACGGCGACAGCCCATTGCAGCGGAAGTCAGCGAGGCATTCCATAACTAACCTGATAACGAGCTGATCATGCTGAAAATGAGACTTTCCTTTTTCGTATGCGCTGCATTTACATTCAATGCCAGTATCAGAATATTGCATAGAGGAAAAACATTCCGCGAAGATTTCTTGCATCGCATGGATACTTTCTCAAATACAGTAGATATGCTCTAAATGCGGGCGACAATGTTATGCAAAAATAAAAAATTCTCTGAATTGTTCTTAAATAAATGGAGAGCATCGTAGCAAATGCATATAATCACTGGATTAGAGCCGTCATCATGTAACCAACCCTGAAATCAATCTGAATTCCAAAATCGATATAATCGTAAACAATATTATTTCATTGACCTAACTGTTATTAAAACTGCAATATTAGGCCTAAATAGTCATTTAAGACGATTTCCACGATCGCAAATTAATACATAATACGTGTTTCGTAGTCCAGCGGCAAAAACAGTGGAAACTTGGTACCGAGTCTACCGACGATTTTCTCATCAGCAAACGAGTGCACTGTGCACCCACAAACCAGTGATTTTCTGCAGCATAATTTTTGATAATAATTTTAAAAAAAACGAGTTTTTTCTAAACTAAAAACTGGTTTGTTTTACACATAGTTACCGAATAATATAATTAAATTGGTTTTAAAAAATGGGTTCAGTCTATCTAAAACTGAAAATTATTTTTCTACTATGAAAGCGACACAGAAAATATTTTGCAGTTAATATGATTATGCAGGGTGTAATTACTATCCTTAGCCTGGTGGAAAATAATAAGAAAAACGAAAAACAAGCACCCGACAACAATAACTGTTAATGAAAACGGCCCTGCAGCCATCGACCACGAAATCGAGAAACGGGAAATCCGAAACGCACAGACCACCTAATTCGCGCACTACATTTACAAGTAAAAAGCCCAGCGGCAAGAAAAAACTGTCAGAATATAGCCCGCAGACACAAAAACCACAAATTTATCGCGTTTTTTCCTCTCAAGTGCGCACTGTACCTGAAACGGAGTGGTCTGCTTGAGGAGCCAGCCTTCTTTGACAACCACCTGTATGCAACAACATTCAACAACGGCGCAGTCAAGCAACACAGAACGACCGTCGCCAAACGCGCCAATCCATACCGAATTCTTCAGTGTGCGATTCGTTGACACGCGCCGATGGAAGTTCTTCCCTCCGGATTCCGTCTCATTCTCACTGTCCGATGAGTCGGAATCTGAGCAGCGCGGCGCGGAGATGGAGCTCTCCTCGTTCTCCGTGCTCACCGTCAGATTAGCATTGCGCTGCTCCATGTGTGGTGTAACAGTGCGCACAGGGATCGAATTAAATGGATGATGAGAGAAAACGGACTAGAATAAATTAGAGTAGAGCTGGTCCCCGGCTACATTTTGTAGAGTTGGATGATTTCAATTAGGTCACATCCGTGCGTAGTGTGTGATCAGAAATGATATTCATCTGTTGTGACAGTGCCGTCCGACGTCGGAATGAAACATATTTTTTCCCTTAATGAAACAAAATTTCATGCAGCTGCGTATGTTGTATGTGTGGCTCGCTGCCAGCAAAATGCGCTGTCGGAAGCTTGTGTGAGTTGGCCACGCCTTCCACGGCTCGGCAAATCGCTCCCATTGGCCGGAAAAACCATTGTAAAACTTCCAACTTCCGCTCCGGGACATTGCGGCTACCACTTGCATATGCCTCGCCTCGCTACGATCACGTCGCCAGTTATCTACGTACCTTCGCACTTGTTGCGATTGCGAAATCTAAAATCGATAAAACAGTTTTTAAAGTCTTTGACTCTGAAAGGAATATGTAGTTCTTTTTTTGTGTTTTAATTAAATAAAATCATCGAGATTTCTGTGTAGCATCGTGTTCGGTAGTTTTCCATAAGTTTGCAGTGATGGCCTCCGTCGCCGTAGAACAGGGCCGCCGCCAGCATTTTCGCAACAGCGAAGCTGATCTTCCCCATCTGCGTTCCGCATCGGATAATTCTGATGAATCTGACGAAGACGACGAAGTGGAGTACGATGACAATGGTTTACCTGTAGATTACAGTAGGGGCGATCGTGCTGCGGGGACAGGGAAGAGTATACGGGACGCGGGACTGATCAGCGGGAAGACCTATCAGCCTCGGTCCCTCGTCCGCTTTTCGCATCATTTGGATCTGGAAGGCTACTATCAGGGACCAAAATTATCTGGAAACGCTCTGAACAGCTTTGAAGGTATTTGCTTTGTGCTGACAAACTACTATGCGGAAAGTTTAAATAGCGAGCCTTTTGATTCACTTTAATTCAGCTTCGACAGTGCTTCGTGTGTTAAAATTTGAACATAATAAACCAGTAAGTACGCAGACTGTACGCTGAAACAAAAATAATTAAAATTGCATTTGCTATTCTTTTGGCTCGATCATTCACGAGAGATCCATATACTGTTATTTTTCATACGTTTAATTTTTGAGAAGTCCGTTGTTTTGGATTTCCGTTTTTCGATCGCTCAGAAAATTGGCTTTATAATTTTTTGGCATATTTTTGACGTTTGCAGCCAATCTGAGGAAAACGGAAAGCGAGCGAATCCGCGTGAAAGATAAAATGGATCGGGCCACGGTCGAGCAAGTGCTGGATCCGAAAACCCGGATGATTCTGTACAAACTGCTGAATAAGCAGATTGTGGCGGGAATTGATGGGTGCATCAGTACCGGAAAAGAAGCCAATGTCTATCATGCCGAGAACAACGATGGTCGCAATCTGGCAATCAAGGTACGCAATGGTGGGAAGCATCCCAAAGAAAGTTGTAAAATCCCTTCAAATATTTTTTTATATTATAACGGTGGTGCTGACACTGAAATCTACGAGTATCATTTACTTCCCGCAGATTTATAAGACATCCATTCTGACGTTCAAAGATCGTGATAAGTACGTCAGTGGAGAATTTCGCTGGCGGCATGGCTACAGTCGGCACAATCCACGAAAAATGGTCCGAACATGGGCGGAGAAAGAAATGAGAAATTTACTGCGGTAAAATGCCCATTTTGTATTTAGTAAAATTTGCATCTTTTTCTGTTGGGATTTTCTTCCTTAGTTTTACCGTTAAATTCTTTTAGGTTGCGCCAAGGCGGCATCAGTGTACCGGAACCGGTTATTCTCCGTGGACATGTCCTCGTTATGGAGTTTATCGGGGAAGACGGCTGGCCGTCTCCCAAACTAAAAGATGTCGACTTGTCAGACAGCAAAGCCAAAGAATTATATGCCAGCTGTGTTTTAATGATGCGCCAGATGTATCAAGACTGCAAACTGGTCCATGCTGATCTGAGTGAATTCAACATTTTGTACCACAAAGGTATGTCATACTGCGCCGGGAAGAGCAAGCTGGTGTAGGGTTTTCCCGAGAATTGTTGCAGCTTCGTAGGATGAGCGCATTATGCATGATACCTACCCGGGTATTAGTTGTTACTGTAACATTGATATGGTTCTATTCCAGGGCTTGAATGCGGTCATGATTGTTATATTTTAGCATATTCCTTATTCCTTTTATAGCGATTTTCTTCCTTGAAAACAATAACCGGAGCTGTTGACTTGGCTTCTGCAAAAATGTGGTGATTATTTTCCCGTTTCCTTATGTTGCACTATAACATGTCAGGCGCCCTTGCCCTGATCTTCTCACTTGTCTCGTTCAAAGCTACAGACTGATAGTCACTACACTACGAATCAGTCTTTGTACATAGCAGGTCTCCATGCTGTTGATAAGAACTTGTATTTCATGGAGGAGGTTACTGTATTTATCTGTAAGAGAATAATTTTTATTTCGTGCGCAAAAGAAAATCCTGAGGATGCGACATAATTTCTTTAGGAACTCATGTAATGTGTTTTCATTTAGGCCAATTGTGCATTATCGACGTTTCACAATCTGTGGAGCACGATCATCCGCACTCTCTGGAATTCCTCCGTATCGACTGCACCAATATGACCAACTTCTTCCAGAAGCTGGGCGTGCCTACGCTGACCGTCCGTGAACTGTTTGAATATGTTACCGATGCCAAAAAGATCTCCAAGCAGACGGAAGTGGCACAGCGGGATGCCTTGCTGGCCCATGCCGCCGCGCGGGGTAATGATTTGACGGAAGAAGAGCAAGTAGCCGAAGAAGTCTTCAAGCGTGCCTTCATTCCGCAACGTCTGGAAGATGTCATTGATTTCGAGCGGGACGTGAGGAAGCTCAAGGAGGGACAGCATGACGATCTGCTGTATAAAACGCTGGCGCCAGTGGAAACCGCTAACGTGTCAGCATCGGTAAGTAAACGACGTTATTTCATATTTCGATAATTTTTAAGCCAAGAAGCATTATCGTTGTATCTGGTAACCTACAATCATTTTAGAAAAGAATTTTGAAAATAATATTAAGTTTCTGTGTGCGTTTTCTAACTAGCTAGTTCGTACGTCATTTCTTAATAAATAGAATCGTTGTCAATCTACAGAGTACGTACTAGGAATGCTTGTTCATTGTTCGGCTGTATATTGTTTGATCTGACAGCGGTTTTTTGTTAGCATCCTTTTTAATTTTTTAACAGTACATAGCTAGTTTCACTTGTCTGTAATGGGATAGCCCATGACGTTTTCACTTGACAGGATGTCCAAGACGTTTCCGACACATCCGAAAGCGAAGAGGAAGATAACAGCGAACACGATGCGGAGAACAAGCCCAGTGGCAGCGGCCCGAATCCGCTTTACCAACGGTCTCGAGACGAGTCGCCCAATACGAAAAAGGTTAGTGGTTGCGTAGTACCATTCTGGAACAGAAAAAAAGTTTGCGTTTGCTTTTCTTTCATGCAGGAGCGGAAACAAGCCGTCAAAGATCAACAAAGGGAAAAAAGGAAACAGAAAGTTCCGAAACATGTCAAGAAGAGACAGGAAAAAGTTGCCAAACAAGGACACGCTGGGAAAAAGTGAAATGTGTTGTTTGCATTTTACACAGATACTTTTGTCCCGGCGGCTTTTTGTTGGTGTTTATTATGTAGAGGATTATTACGCGAATTGCTGAAAGCTGTCACAGTCAGATTAATCGAACGATTTGATCTTATTAAAATGTCTCTGACATGAATTAAAAAGAACACCACAATTTGCGAAATTACAAAAATCACTCTTAGTTTCCCAAAATTTCGGAATAAAAAACAATCAAAACCAACCACAATTAAGAAGAATAAAATTTAGCTGTGCTGTCATAAATGGCAACAAAAGTGTTAAATTACTTCGAGCAAATTTTCCGGCCTCCGGCCAGTCGAAATTAAAAACGCAAGGCTGGTTTAGCTTCACTTCTATAAACGACCATAGGCAACGTTCATAACGAAACGCGGAATCTTAATAAAGCCAGGAATATAATCGGCTGTTTTCGTCCAGCCCAGTGTTTGCAGAGCATTCTTGATGCTTCGCGTGCTGTAATGTCGTCGGCCTATAACAAAGGAAAAGAAAGACATGAAATATGCATACATGTTTTCAAAATGTCAATGTTTATTTACCATCGACATCCGTCAAATCGAATTCCTCTCCAATATCGGCCGTGGTAATAATCTGGCCGGTTCTCTTGATGATATTCTTATCTGTAAGCGAGACAAGGTCAGTGCGATGAACTCCATTCCTGCCATAGCGGTACCAAAATGTGTAACCTCTCATAGACTGAGAAAATTTACAAGCAGTTGAATTCTACAAATTATTCATCATTTTACATAAAACCTAAATCAACGTATTAATACAAAGATATAATAAAATATTAGTACAATGCCGAAGCCAACAACCAATCGTACCTTGCGCCAAAGCCACGATGCATCTTCCACTGAACTCGATTGTTTCTCCGTTGTTAAACATCTGGTTGACAATTTTGGTCATTTTGGCCGCTGGAGCTTGTTCAGAGCGATCGGGACTGGCAGAGCGCTGTCCCTGGGCTTCTTTCTCCTTCATCGGTTTCATAATTTTTTCCTGAATGATCTCCGTCTGCACGGGGCCAGGCCACAGACTGATAAAGGTGACGTTGTACTTTTTCAGCTCCTTGGCACAATCAGCAGCCATGCGGTCTTTCTGAAATGCAAAAAAAACCCTTTTTATTCCAGATCAGAACCGCCCTTTCCTTAGAAATAAACCTACGAAATTTCTTTGATCGCAATAATTAAAACGAAAACTTGTTATCCAGATCAAATGTAAAAAAAATTACTTATTGTTAGCACAGAGTGCTACCAAGGTGCCAGCGAGAATTTTCCGAAATAAACTGACTACGTACTCGATACCCCAGAGTTGACAACAGTGGCCACATGTCTACGATCGAACTTTAAATCAGGAAATATATTAGAAGTCTTCCACCCAAAAATGACGAGAGTCTCCATACTGTTACACCAAATATCTCGACCGAATACAAAACAAGTGTACGGTCGGAAATAGCAGCATCACGCATATGTCAGTACTAACAGCGGCTTTTCCGATTCCGTATGCTGGTGTGAACAAGTACATGATCCCACCAATGGAAGAAACGTTAATGATTAAACCCGATTTCCGAGCAGTCATCATTTCAGCGGCCTTTACGGAGCAGATGTAATGGTTCCTACAACAAATCTTAATTACAGCAAAGATAAATCTTCCCGTTTTCATCGTTGTATTTGATCGGATTCTAAACCCGTTTTCATCCACATAGTCCTAACAGGAATAAAACTTGCTAATTTTCTACAATTTATTTATCTGATAAAAATTTCATATTCCATTTAAAATTAATTTTAGTAAGAATCCAAAAATCAGATTCATAATCATAAACCTTTTCGACAATCTGTCTACCTGTACACAATACATTACACAGCCAATATCGATTCTCACTAACATAACGTAAATAAACTTTCCGAATTTCGAAACACCGCTTTAAGCATTGAAGACAAATTAAAATTTCTACCGGATATAAGGAAAAAAAACGAAGCTGATTAATATCAGAGTGAATTTCAGATACGGCTAAGCAAAAGCGGCATGAGTACGTGATCGACACTGCCGGTACGCTACAATCGCACACCAGTTCATAAGGATTTTCGTATCTGTATATTTCTAAGTCATTGCATGCTGCTTTCATGGCAGAAATATGAAACTACGGATTCGATGCAGAAATATGTCTTTCACTGATTAAGCCACAAAAAAAGCAAATAAGTGTCCCAGAACTTGTACTGTGTAAACGATAGCGACACTGACCTCAGACCGACGTTGTTGACCTCATCCCAGAAGGTGGGCGGTAGCTTCCAGAACGGCCGACCCTGTGTGCCCATAATACTGTTCACCGCGGAAAAGGCATTGTTGACAAGAATGTCCAGTTGGCCATTCTGTTCGGTATTCACTTGAGCAAACAGTGCGTCGATGTCGGAGTCTTTGCTATGATCGCAGGCCACCGGAATACACTTTCCGCCTCGTGCAGCCACCTATATGCAACAACAGTCAACAACACACAGCAATAAAATCGAAAGCAAAAAAACTAATAACCCGTTGGACACAAGTTCATTTTGTTAAGCACTTTGTAAAAATTAATTCCGGCAGTATCAGCAACAATTTTAATTATTAGTACAGGATGGCCGTTTATGAGCGTTACACCACAGATACCAGTTAGTACACTACGATTGTGCTGCTACTCCCCGGATTTTATTCCGCAGCTGAAGATGTGCATGCAGCAAAGTTCCAATTGTATTTTTCGTATTACAATGCACTCATAAACTTTCATGGATGGTATTCCGAATTTTTCAGAAAAAACTGAAAACTAATTAAAATTATTCCCATGTCGAAATCAGCGATGCAAAGGATTATAAATCCGGATTTATTACTAATACTACGAAAAAATTAAACATAAAAGCTATAAAAAAAGAGCTTTGCTTTTGCTGCCTTTGCACACCCACCTCTTTTGCTGTCTCTTCCAGGCTTCCGGGAGCGCTGGCATTCTGCGTTTTACTAGCGGTACGTCCTAAAAGGATGCACAAATACTCTTTTAACTGACAATGCAAGCGATCAGTTAATTTTCTTACCAGTGATGTAAACAGTAGCTCCCGCTTCTCCCAGTTGCAGCGCGATTCCCTTTCCCACTCCGCGCGAGGCTCCTGTCACAATCGCTACTTTTCCTGCCAGCGCCATCATAGCAAGGTGTAATTAATAAATTAAAAATAACTAACGTGAAGCAGACGGAAATCTGAAGAGATTACGAAGGATACTTCTGCATAGGTGGAAATCTAAAAAGAAACTGACATTCGGAAAAAGGAAATCACTGAAAGTCTAAAACGGTAAAACCGCAGATCAGCTGTGTAAAACTTGAAGTCAATTTTTGCAAATGATACAGGGATCTTTATGGCTCAGACCTTAAGGATATTAATTTGCAGGTGGATAAATTCATTTGTGGCGCAGCTAAATGTTCGTCCTGTATGGCTCGCTTCCGCCGGAAGCTGCTCGCAAGGCTCGCAACGTTACGCCGGAAGCAAAAAGACAAAAGTTTGCTCCAAACTCCTCCAACTCCAACTCCAAAATTTTGCTGCAAAACTTTGGAGTTTTCGATTTTCAGCAAAACTGCAGAAGTTGTGCAGTTTTAATTATCTTATTCTGTTCTTCGTTTCATTTCGTTGCAGGTTGATCAAAATACTGCATTTTGTTGGGTGTATCCGTGTATGACACTGCGATACCCTACAGTTTCCTTCTGGAAAGTGGATACTTGAGTTGCAGAACGTTGCCAGTGTGGTAGCTCGCTAAGGCTTTAGGTTAGAAACTGCCAAACGGGAAAACACTTTGCTTACCGCTTTCCATTAGCAATCGCTTTAAAGCTTTATAGCGAAAACTTCATTCTGCTGCTGTTTTTATCGATTGGCTCTTGAGCATCAATGACGGTAAGAAATTCTTACTTCAATCTTGGGTCTTAACTGCTTAACAGTATGTATTTAGTATTTACCGTATCTTATATCTATATTTTGGATATTACTGGAATGTGTCTTACTTGTTATATCACTAAGATCAGAAACGAGAAGACAACGTTTAAGTCGTTAAGTGTAATAATCATTATAGCTGTGAGTTGTGGGATTTTGTTACAGTTGAACTGTGAAGACGTCGCAGTGTGGGTTTATTATCCAACTGTCATATTTCTTAGGACGAAGATAAAAGCCTCATAGGGAAAGCATACGATTTTTGGAAACGGCATAAACGGAAGGCTATCGTTCTTGGTGGTATTTCTGGAGGTGAGCCTATACATGTTCTTATGGAGAATTTTCTTATGCATATTTGCATGGGTAGGAATTAAGATGAATGGGGATGATGCCTTCTTTTCGTTAATTTATTGCGTTCATTTGTACAGAAATTTATCTCGGTTAGTTCAGTGTTATATTATACGTAGTGCAGCAGTTAGTCGTAGATTTAATTTTCGCTTGTTGGAAAATATTTTGGCAGTACTATGTTTTGATACACTGTTTTAAATTTATATATTGCCATTTTCGAACTGTAATTTTTTGTCAATGTGTTGCTGTTTTTTATAGCGGTGTATTTGTACAATAATTCGGAGGAAGTGCGCGATGTTGTGGATCAAACATGGAATTGGATCGCGCAGAAACTACCCATTCCTGCACAGATATTCCCGCATCCGGACGAGGCCCGGTCCAAAGTGGGCAGGAATCGCCTGCGACCAGGAGGAGTGATTTTGCACGAGGAACACAGTAGTGCTGGAGAATGCCATAGTGCGACGAGCATTGCCGACAGTCAGAGCATTGTGGCTACGTGTATTCAACTGCTCCAGATGGCCGGCAAGAATCTCGATGGGACGCTATCTACGGAAGCGTTACGATTGGAAATCTCTAAAAAGTTCGCATTCCTTTTGTACTCTCACTGTTAATTAAAATACGTCACCATAAATTAATAGTGAAATTCCCCATAGATTTTTATAATTTTCCCAAAAATATGATTCAAAATTGAGAATTTTTGAAAATTACTTTAGCGCCTACAAATTTGCAGAGGCGATTTAATTTTATTACAGGGCGTGTGTTCTCTTCCTTTTTCTGCTTGGCATGAATTTTAGTAAATGTTTTGCTGCTACTCTCTTTCAAAACAATTATCAGGGGTGAAGTTAATAAGTTCGAATGATGAATAATTGTGAATGATTCATTTGTAGTCCTGCCAATAAAATGGAATTATGGGAGGAAATGAAGATAGTCTCATGGAGCCGGTGCTTTGCGTCTCTGTACACTGTGTGCCATTTGGTGATGTATCTGCAGATCCAGACAGGTGTGGCTGGTCGGTTTCTCTGCATCCAGAATGCTGAATCGTCCAGGGATCTCAATCGAAAATTGCAGATTATTTCCCATCATGTCCAGTGTGCTGAATTTCCGGTCAACGAAGGTAAACGCTTTCGTTTCACGTTTCGCACCTTTCAGTGATTAATGTCGGTTGTTTGCAAAAAACCGTTGTTTGCAGAAAATACAACGTTATAATTATCATGTTGTCTTCAGAATTGGTCATCTGCAGCAATTACGTACTGTCGCTTTTTAACTGCAGCGCCGATGTTGTGGATTGATTTTGTGATTTTTTTCAAAAATAACTGCTCTGCCCAGTATGACTGCAGTTTGCGTCTGAAGGCAGCTTCTGCGCCTTATTTACTGGGCCTGTTGTTGTACTTATGTTATGTACCTTATGTATTCATGTTATGTACCTTGTGTAGGATTTGGACGAATGATGAAAGTCACGCGCGATGTTGTATCCAAAGTGGTTGCGTTTCGAGGTCTGCAAGATTTCCTGTCCCTCAACGATATTCGCCAGATAATCTCCGATGTTCGTAAAATTATGGAGGATGGAGTGGGCGACGAAGGATACCGGCGCTATCACAATTACCATTTGGAATTCCTTGTTCCCGAAGCACAGCTCGATTCTAGTATCGATCGAGAGGTAGGTTATAGCGCTGCTGATTTTGTACAAGTACTTAACAGCACAGCGAGATTATGAGTGTACCTGAATGTTGACGTATGTGAACTTGCTATTAAACAATATACAAAAACTTGCATCGTTACCTGTATACTTATTTATCGGTGCGGTAATTCGCTTCTTCGGTATAACTGTGGTTTTATTTCATCATATTCTGTGCTTTTATTAGATGTTTGCTTGTAGCCGCTTGAACATTCCTGCGAATCTGCTGCGTTATTATCCTTGACAAATGATGTTAATGCAGCTCTCCAGAGGTAAGAATGCCAACTCGTCCATTAATTTTCCGTAACTCTCCTGGCATTTGAATTCTGATTTTAGTGTCGATTGTTCCATGATCCTCAACTGCTGTCTGGAATATTCCTTTACCAGATTTATCGCAGAAATTAAGTCTTTCGTGGATGACCGTGCAAGGTAGTGACTTGTTGCATAATACTTCGGTTTTACATTACAATTGACATGGCATTCTGCTTTATAGGTTTACGTACTGCCTAGAAGTTTTCGAAAATAGTTTTAAGACTTGTGATATTTGTGTTCTAGAAAAACAAATGCTAAAGAGTCGGCAAGGATCCCGCATGCCGCACTGTTGCCGGCGGTATCGAGAATCTCGAATTTATACATCAAACCACCGGAGGCGGAACCACTCATCAAGGTTAGTTACGTTTCAGTGTTTTGGTTACGTTTCAGTGTTGCAGTGATGCCAGTTTGGTTCTCGTAAAGAACGACTTCGTATGAAAGACATGAAAATAATTTTGGGAAGTCATATTTTTCTACTGTAGTCAACGGGTTAATTTATTTGACTGTATGCATTCCATACTCTAGGAATTGGTGGATATCCAGTATTTTCGCCCGTTCGTCGAGCGGATAGTGTCACAGTCGTTGCAGCTGAATTCCGTCGTTACAAATTGATCTGGTTCCTTTCTGACTGTTGATAACATAAGGACCTAATGTGGTGACTGATATTCGATTCGTATTTGTTAACTGTTCCTCTGTAAGAATTTGCAGTTGTAGAAAATTTGCTTTATCTTTGTCCCAGTCATGACGAGAATAGTCAAAATGTTGCTATAAAAGCGCGAACATTTATTGGTTTGTTTACTTTTAACCAAAACGGAACTGTGTTAATGTTTGTCTTGCACACTCGAGAAATTATTAATACACCGCTTTCCTGCCAGCAACCGGTGCTGCAACGGAAGGCACATTTTGGTATAAAACTGGTACAAAATGCTGGGCGAAAATACAATAATATTGGGCTGAGCCAGTTGTATTTGTACAGCTGTACTTTTGTAATTAGTAAGACGAGGAACTGTAACCATTATTCCCTCCGTATCCCGATCGCCCGGCCCGATTGATGAGCCGTCGTAAATTATTGTACCAACCAAAGCCGCCAATGCGGCCGTTGCCATTACTATTACTATATCCACCGCCATAACTATTTCCCCCTCCGTTATTGAACAGCACACCGGCAAAATTCATCGCATCGTTCCCCATGAAAAACGGACTCTGGTTGGATCCGAAGCGGCCTAGATCCGGATATCCAAAACAGCATCCGCCGTAACCCAAGGTTAATCCCGTACCGAAACCGCCGTTACCACCGCCTGAGTAACCGTTGTTACCGGAAAACCCGCCATTTCCATTGTTACCGTACGACTGGCTATTTTGTCCATTGTTCGTATATCCAGGATTGTTGTTGTTGCTGTACGCTTGATTGGATGATGTATCTGCACCGCTGAAAGAATATCCTGTGTTTCCGGTGCTATTATCTGTACTTGTTACGGCAGTCTGATTGGATGGAGCGACTGTTGTACTGGAAATTACGCTTGTGGTGGTGTTCGACTGAGCAAATACACTTCCTGTAGAGAGAAACGCACAAACAATTACATACACTTGTTTAAAAGTTTTTGAAAGCACAGTAAAGCTTATGTGCGTGCATGCCACTAAAAAGCCGGCATAGTTGTAGCCAACCGAAAAGGTCACGTTAAGATAAACGCTTACCTGTCAGCACCGTCAGTACAACAATGCAAACTAGCATGGTACAGTATTTTTGGTGTTTAGTCTATATATATCACACTAGATTTAGGACAGATGATCGGGAGAACGGTGCCAGTTATCCGTATACCAACAAAACTGTTCGCAATGAAATTCCAGACAATTTCATGCAATACGAACCGCAACTGCTTTGACAATAATTTAGGTGCGCATAAGCATTTGTTTTTTCGAGATTTCTTATAGTGCAGATATGTTCTGCTTGTCGTCGTTGGCTTAAGGCGTCACAGCTCTTGGCAAAGAAGTATAAAATCTAATATACTAAAGATTAACATCAACCAAGTCGTAGTATCGGCATTGCTTGAAACTGCAAAACTAATGCATAACGGAATGCGTAACGGGCATAACAGTTCATAACGCTAACCGCAGCATCATAACAAGCCAAATTGCAGTGATTATCTCGTAAGGTGGTAATTACAACGTAATGCAGCGTAGAACAAAATCATCATCGCATAATCTCATATTTTTCCTATCATCTTGTGATATTCCTGAGGCAGCACACTGCAAGAGCTGCCACTTAATTTTATGAGCTGCCACTGCCAGTGAATACAGTATAAAACATATATTAAAACATAGTTTGTGGATACAGATACGCCATGACCTGTTCAATAGTGCGCACTAATGTCGCCTTTTGCAGCACTCGTTATTTTATCATGTACATGTAGTATGTAGATATTGTGTAGCAGAAAGTAACAATTTACCACCAGTGAAATTTACAAAGTCGTGGATCAAAAAGAATTCCCCGTGGTACGTCACTTCAGTAAATACATGCACATTACATTTTATCTAGTATCCCATCGATACAGATCATTATAAGATGACACAATGTAACAAAAAACTGGTATTTACTTAAAACATTAATTATCGGTAACGCTGCTGAAACTACTGCTTATGATTGATATTCTTTATGATCCTGCGGCAGAAGCTTCCATACGTAACATCTTATGTTTCATATTTCTACCACTAAAATAGCTGCATGTTTCTTTAATCACACTCACTCTATGGCCTATGCCAAATTATTACACCAGTTTTCTTCCGATAACGACAACACAACAACAATTCCGCCAGACCGAAAACAATCGAACAACAACTACCAACCAATCGGGCACCCGATCCAGAACGAAACCAACCAGGAACCATTAAACCAACAACAATTCACACTTTGGTAGGAGAAACAGGATTCAGACTGTGCAAAATAAATTACCACACCGTACGCATTGAGATTCTACAGTTCGTCATGGGATTCATACCGGGGATCATTGATAGCGTGACCGTAATCCGTCACTTCCGATCCGACAAAGACCTGATAGTGCTCTTGGATTTCATCCGGGGAGAGGACACCGTCACGGTTCGTGTCGCTCTTCTCCATTATGTGCTCGGCTTCCGACATGGCCGTGGCGTTGTCATCCGGGATCAGCCACCGGAAGATCTCCATATCATCCAGTCGGCCGTCTTTGTCCGCATCGAAATACAGATCGAAGCGTTCTTTTTCCGTGGAATAGGTTTCTCTTTCTTCGGAACTCATGGTTTCTGCAAGGAAAACCACCGCACAAATAATTACACGGCAACCATTGTTGGATACAGATTTCTACAATTCCGTGCTGAATCCATCAACTGCATCAGTCTGCATGTAATAGTGATAACAAACGTAATCGACAATACAGAACTGGTTATTTTTGAAGAAACCAAAAAACAATTCAAAGAACCCTGTTTTCCACGCGGAACAGTTTCCTGAGTCGGTAAAGTTTTTTCGTAAACGGAGAAATACAACAAGATGTCGGAGTTTGCTTACTTTTGTAATTCGGAATAATATCCACGATGTACTCGTGGAAATCGATATAGCCGTCACCATTCCGATCTCTGGCTTCCTTAGTGCGCTTAATAACTAATGGCTGCATATAGTCATATTGTTCCGGTCGTTCAAATGCCTGGAATTCCTCCTGGGATAATTTTCCATCCTCATCACGATCGGCAGCTTTAAACAGCAGCTCTTCTTCCTTGATCATCTACGAATACATGTAGTCCTATTTAACTTTGAGGCTTCCAAGAATATACCGTGTAAATCATCATAAATTACTAACGTAATGCCTGTCGTTTCACATATCACCAGGACCGCATCACGCACAATGTGGCGGTACATAGAACTGTTCCATCACTAATTACGTGATTAAAAAATATGACTACGCCATCTACGAGCGGAATAAACGCATTCAGAACAAAGCGGTTGAGCCAAAGCTTATAAAAAATGATAATAAAAAATATTACACATTTAAATTTCCACATCTTCTCGTTAAACCGTTAAACAAAGTCGTCAATATCAGCAAATGCGCACGTGATATAAACAACTGGCTTACGATGTACTTGTACTATTGACAGATTGCCGTAAAAATAATGATAAATCAAAAAAGTGACAACCGAAACACACCAAAATATGTTTATCACTTGTTGTAAATTGTGAAAACCATACCGCAATTTCCTCCTTATAATCCTCGTTATTCTCGATATCCTGATCATCCGTTACGCCCCATGTGTCCTTCAAATGCTCTTTCCATGTAACAAATCCATCCTCATCCGTATCCAAATCTTGAAACTTATTTTGGGCGTCCTCAGCGTTTAAATCCCTGCAAATGCCAGCATCTAGTGAGGCGATGCTACAGTTTACAAACGCCGTAGCTAATGACCATGCTACAATCCGCTCCGCATTAAACTTCGGCACGCTACGCCACCAATATTGACTTTGGCATTTTTTCAATTTCGGATACAATCATAATACAAACAATCCACGTAGCGCGTTGCAAACTTACTGAAAGGATTGGAAAATCCACTGTTGCAGTTCGTCCAGAGAGATTTTTCCATCGTAATCGAGATCGTGCGCCGTGGCAAGGTCGAGGAGTTTGGCGCGAGATTCTTCGGGCGATTGCTGATGATATTCCTGATGACGCTGCTCGTTACCTGCTCAAAGTTATACAGCGCAGTTAGTAAAAATGCTTGCCAATGTCCAACATGTCAAGGTACCCATTATGGCTTCGTGGTGATACTCGGCTTCGTTTTCGGTGTGTTTATCACCGGGACTAAAGGCACCATGGGAAACATGTTCCAAAGCGATGGAGACAAATATCACATTGATAATGAGGAAGAGCACGATGCAGGCGACTAGATAGGGCTTCATTCTGACACTCATTCCGAGGAATCTCGATTCGGGGTCCGTGTTAAAAAATCTAAAAGCCGAAGATATAAAAGACTATGTCGTCATGAGAGATGTCATAAAATACCAGTAGATGCGCTGGCAAAGTTTACAGGAAAATTAACAATACAAGTAGCAAGGCTGCAGATGCAAGCCCACGGAAAGGCAAAAACAGCAAAACAGCAAATTTCTGGATGGAGACGGCTGTAGAGGAAAGTAGCAGTACTTAAGTGTCTAGTACTGCCTACCTAGGCGGTCGACGGTCCTTGCAGAAATACTCGTACGAGTACAAAAGAATCTGTGCGAGTATTGCTAACAAAATTAATACGCTGTAATTAATCGTAAGTATACGAGTACAAACTTAATACAGTTTTATACTGCAATCAGGTGTCTGATAAGAATTGTTTACTGTAATTAAGGTGGACATTAAACAAGTGATCTGCTTATAAATGCGGCTAACATCATAAATGCGGTTTCCGATTACTGCACACTGCACAGTAGCAAACGTGGTCATCTCTGCTGGCACTCATGATTTTAATCCAATAACGATTCTGGGTAATAAACATTCAGTAAATCAACGCCTCTCCTGTTCTGCTCTCAAAACCACCGAGTGATAAACTTAGTACGAGTGTTATTCGGACACCAAAAATATCCTCATTACGTATTGAATAAGAGGGCAGTCTGGACTCTGAAAGGGAATGTTCTGCCGGATGCAGTGCCGCCTTTATCCAAACGCACAACCGTGTGGTCCTGCTGCAGTTATCAAATTTTGGTGCTGCGTTGCTGTAGATAAGTTTGTTGATCAGGCTATTACAATTAGCCGCAATTTTCCCGGCGTTCACTGGTGAACTGCAACTTACATGACATATTAGGAACTAAAACAGAATATTGACATAATAATTATTGAAAAATATAACTAAAACTAATTGGTGCAGAATAATGATGACGTTATGACTGTAGGACGAAAAACATTTACTGAATAAAATTACCGTAAAAAACTTTTATGCAGAATAAACAAATAAATGTCGAATAAATAATAATAATAATTTATGAATAAATAAAATTAGCTGAATAAAATCACCACAAAAACATTCCTGTAGTATATTAAATTATTAAAATAAGTATAGAATAAAAAAAATTATCAGTACTACTCGTAGTCGCCAGCATAGCGCGGCTGAGTCGTAAGACGTGCGAGCACTGTCAGTACGTGGCGTGCTGCACTTCTGTCGGCTCTACGAGAAATTAGTATGGAGGCTGTGCAGTACGAAACGTGCTGCAAAATGCCGCACGTCTCCTAATATCAACCGGGACCAGTGGGACGGTAGCGGGACGGTACCACGGCTCTGCCGTGGCACGGTAACAAGCGTGCCTATATGCAGCCGGGCTTATTAGCGCCAGCACTGGTAGCGGCTGACCTTTATATATGCACCTTTGTACGAATGGCTCTGCAGCACATACGAACTTATTTTGGAACGATCAAGTTCGCCACAATTTAAGGAACACTAATTCTCACGTGTAGCATAAACAGCTCACAACGACGTCATTATCTACCCTACTATATCTGTAATTCAGACGAAGTGTCACGCATCTGCTATGTATTGTATACTTATAATACTTCTTTAATTGCAGATTTACTGTATGGAGTGCAAGTTGGATCTTTTCTCTCGCAAATGCCAAACCAGTGACCGTTGGCGCTTTGTGGGGTTTTCTTAACAGTTCGACCTAACTTTCGACATTTCGATCCTATTGGCAGACAGGAATATTTATGATTACGTATCAGTTGTATTACGTACATCTGCAATACAAAAAGAATTTGCCGTCAACGCGACCGCCAACAATTGTTATGGGATCTAGTCCCAGTTAATTACTCTCCTCTGTAGTCTGGACTCCCATCTCTACAAAATTGGCATCAACGTATCCGGACCGCAAACGCAAATGTAAGCAAATTTATTTGTACTAACAATTATTTTTCCTTTATAATTTCTTATGTGTGGCCAGTTTTTAAACTGACATCAGGTACCGAGATTCTATTAGAAATACCATAATCTTGCTTTTTCTTCTGACCCGTATCCGATTAACATCTATGGCGCCATCAGAGATGCGCGCAAAGGAGCCTCACAGCTGTCTGGTTGTTACACTTTATACACATATTCGCACTCAGATCTGCAATTTTCGCTACCATATCATACTCATTGACCGAAAGATTATCGATGCTGATAGGCTACACCAAAAACGAAAAGAGCTACTGTCTGTCTCGAAACATGTCTTCAGTTTGTATGGCGTACTAATGTTGTACATGAAAAATTTTTCCGCACAGCATGTAGGTACAGAACTACAGATGGCTTACGTTAGTTATGAGCATTCAATAACTGCATATATACAGAGCGATGCCCTTGGCTCGTCATTACAAAGCGGTGGCCCCAAATGAGTTAATATATTCTGTGTGGTATGCTTGGTCGTCACACAAAAAGAACAACAGGAAGCGCTGCCGGAAGTCAGTCTGCTACACAATCGCCCGGGATGAACATGTCGTTCACTCAACACAATATTGATCATTCGCCATCCTGACATTAGCATCCACAAAGGCAACAACAAGTGGCCTTATATCCTCTGCGCCTGTCGTGTAAATAGACAGCGTGCAGACAGGAATATCGTTGCCGTACTCGAGGATATGAATGTGTATGTGTTTTAACCCAAAATAATCGATACCTCCCATGTTCCTCATAAATGTTAGCATATAGACACTCTGCATTAACAATCAGTCTGGATAATATCACCCGATGCGGGTACACACAAAGTGCACTTTCTCCTCACCGACTTCATTCCGTCGAATGCTTTATCGCGTTTTCCTTTATTATCCTGCACGAAACTCGATGCGCTTGTTTACGAGCATCCTGCATGTCCTGCAGCCGGTCAAATGCAGGAGTACAATTTCTCCACCGTTAACCAATCATTCGATACCGCTTTCACATTATGGGCCACCGCGACATTCGTCGTTAGTTTCATCGGAAGCTTTTTCTCTTGCTTAGTATTCTTATCCATTGTTTGTCAGCCGAAACTCCGTACCGGCAGCGGTGCGTTGATTGGACACGTGTTAATTTTACGCTTCCTAACATGTGCCATACATTTCCCCCTTTTTTGTGTTCAAGCTTGTCTTGCCCATGCCGGCGTGTATTTAACCGTGGACTGTGATGCGTTCGCCGTGGCTTTTATCGGTTTTCTGCATGTAGAGCACTGGACGGACTGTTTTCTGTCCATTAACCGCTTAATCGCCATTCTGTATCCGCATCGTTACGCCGTGTGGCGGTCGAAGAATGTCGTCGGCAGTATGATCGTCGTTGCCTGGATTTTGGGCTTGTGCTCGACGGTGCCGTTTTTTTACGGATTTGGACTGGAATTTCGCATTGCCAATCTAGGCAGCTGTGAACCGCATGTCACAGACACAGGACAGGCTTTGATTCTGCTGATTCTCGGAGCCTTTTTACCGGTGGGGATTCGTGGTATTTTGCACACGGTGATCTGCGTCCGCACCACTACCTGTGCGCGCTCCCAGTGGGAACCGGTACAGGCGGATCATAATAATCACAGTATGACGCGGACGGCCAAGCGCAGTGTTGTCGTGGCGCGGATGCTGTTTGCCTCGTTCATTTGGTATGCATTATGCCTATTACCGATTCCGGTGGTGTTGACCGGCTTTCAGCACGTCTTTGACGAGAATATCATCGTGCGATTCTGGCTGCATTTCCTCATATTATGCGGGAATGCCGCAGATCCGGTAAACAATCTGGTTGGACGCATTAACGGATAAGCGTTTAATTTTTACTGATTTGCAGATAATCTTCCTGTTGATGAATGGTGACTACCGCACCGGAGTGACGCGAACAATTTCGACAGCGTTTTCCTAGATGTGGAGCATTTACTATGCATTTTGTGGTTTTATACAAGCTGACTAACGCTTATGTAGAGTATCGCAAAATTTTGGATGTATAAGCACATTTCGATGATCGTTATACTCCGTCCTTTTGTGAGAGCTCTGTTTGATTTTACTGCGATACTTTTAAAGCTCGTGATGTACATGGTTGACAGTGGTTTCTATATCTGTACAGTAACTCGTACCGTAGTCATCATAGACTATTCATGTTAACAACGGCAGATCCCATGGGCTACACTCGCGTCAATACTTAATAATGCTCGCAAGTGTACTTACTTAGCAGAATGTTTTAGATCATTGAGTACTTACACACAATTAAAAAGAATCACACGTACGTTTTGTTTGAAGAGGCAACGCTGGATATTTCATTGATACTCGTTAGTGTACTGTACACGTTATAAACTTATAGGCCATGATAGCAGTTTGCAGTCATGGATACAAACCGTCATCTTGCTGTTAGCTAAAACGTCATCCGTTGACTCGGTCGTTCAGACTTCAGATCACGCTGACCGCATCCGCAGTCCCTAATGAACTAAGGCAAGATAGTTCTCTATATTGCATTAGTTCAGTTCAGTAAAGGTGCAGCCTTCTCTTTACCAAAAATCATTTTAAGGTACGAATGTTGTTTTAGTAATCATTGATATCGCAGAAACTACTAAGGCCAGCAATCGCAAAGAGCGCTAAAGTTTCTTCAGATAAATTGTGCACCAATCGCAGCAGGAGAAGCGGCTGACAGAAGGAAGCTAACAAAACGTATTTTTTCGTGAATGTGAAGGCTGTTTGAAAAATCTGGAACAGTTGACCAATCACCAAACCATTGCGAATGCCTTGTGACCTTTTCTACATGTAATCCATCCGGAGTGAGAATTTTCTTGATAAATCACAAAATGTGTCTGCACTTGCGAGAAAGGCTTTAAAAATCTGATGTAAGATGCTTCAGACGAGCTTAATGTGGGCTACTGCCTCTAGAAGTATCTCACAAAACCTTAATACTGACCTTTATAATTTCTTTGACCAACACAGTTGAACAGTATTAGCTGAAATAAAATCTGAGCGGCAGCAGCAGAAAAATGCTATTAAACAGTTCAAAACCTCAATACCGGAAGAATTAAAATCGGTAATTACATACATCGCAAGGTCGTGCTCTAAAAATTGCTGCAGCAGTTCTGGTATTTCGATCCTTATTAAATCGGGACATTCTTGAATTCTCCGCCGCGAACTGACCGCTTCCACAGATCCGATCCATTATCACTGAGTTTACCCCGTTTTCAGAACATTAACGTATAATGGTAGAGAAGCCACACAATACAATTCGTACCCTGCAGACACCGGCATTGGCAAATGCAGACATAGTAGCACAAAGGTCCGCGTAGATATCGCAGTACAAGCAAGATTGTGGCACATAATAATGTAAGGCAATGTAGAAAATGTAGGCGGTGTAGTTAACATGGTTTGTTTTGTGAACTTTGCGATGCCACGAAGATTATAGCGGATGACTTCTGTTTGAATAAAACTTGGATAAAAAAGTAACGGAGCATTGCTAATTCTTGGTATCAGACCCCAGAAGTCTGAGGAAAGCCATGAACGATAACACACAAAAATCAAAACTTACTCGCATTTCGAAGACTGTTTTGTTCCTGCTTTTGTTATCATCATGTAGAGCTGCTTTAAAGTACAAATTTTGAATTGTTTTTGGGTAACTGGGTACCATTAAGTTTAACTATAAGTTAACTATTGCAACATTTCCCAATTTCCAAAGCAAAACCCCATCCGAATTCTCTTTATTGTTGGCTTACCAAATACAAAAATAAAATTTAAAACGTTATACACGATACATAGTCTCGTGCAAACTGCCAAACACATAAAACGACTGTTTTATGGGTTTAGTCTCATTGAACATTGAATTTCCGATCAGTTCTTGCAAAAAAAACAAGCATACAGTTTAAATTTGACGCTCCCGAAAAAGAAAACCGCCAACTACATCTTTCATCAACTAAAACTCGGTGTACCGAGCGAAAACTAAAAGGAAACGAAATTTCAAGCATAATACGAAAAGCTGAAAAACGGCGGCAAAGGCCACAAATTTCACTGGAATATGTCGACCAGGCAGAAAAAAATAAGAAACGTTAGGGAACTGTAGAATGCTCCGTTAATTCCAGATGGGCTCCTTCCTTCGATTCCACATTGCATTCTTCTTTGGAATCCAGATGGGTTCCTTCCTTTGATGCCAGATAGGTTTTGACCTGAATTACAGGTAACCAGCATGAGAACACAAGACTCAGTTGCTGATACTACCCAGTAGGCAATGTCTTTCTACCGATACGATGTGCAGATAAATGTACGGACTCTAATCGTTCCAGTACACTCGCACGCAGTGAGTAGAACTGTAGAAGTATACTTGCTACATTCTACTGTATATAGATATTGTATTCCAAAAGTATCCACAATAACGAATAGTGACCATGTCATAAGACAGCTGTCCAACTGACTTGTGAGAAAGAAGAAAGAATCTTACCTTGCGCATGTAGGCTTCTTCCCCATCCGTTAGCACGAGAGCCGTATTCAAGAGATACTGGCGCAGAGATTTGCCTTGCGCTACAAATGTGACAAAAGTGACAAGTCACAGACAGAAGGTTTACTAGTACAGTTTTGCCAATTCGAAAGAACACCATGAGCTACGCGTACACGTTTTATCCGCTCTCATGCATACAATAACCTGGTTGCGCGGGCACTTACCAGCAAGCCCCATGAATAGCTGATGTTTGTCCATGAGGTGCCCTCGTAGGCCATGCGTATCATGCACGCTGACATGCAGTGAAACCGTATCCATGCGGTCCAAAATGGTAGTCTGCTGGGCTAACAACTCGGCAATCCGCTTCAACCATTCTGCCTGCTCCTCCATACCATCACTAAATTCTGTTTGAAAACATACAATATTCAAGATAGCAAAACAGGCGTACACGGAACTGGAAAAAACACGCTACAGTCATTACACTGTACAGATAATCTTCGCTCGGTCCATACCTGCTTCAGCCTGCTTACGCGTGGCCGCGAAGTGTTCGCGCAAAGCTTCGTCCGACATCGCCAACAGTTTCTTCAGGTAATCATCCACTTTCACGTCGGATTTGTAATAATCGATAATACGGGGCTTGAGATCGCTGAGGGATACCTGCAAAGCTCTGAGCTTGGCGGAGATATCGTTCAGCTGTCCTATAAAAGCGTAGATGGTTGAGCTTAAAGCCTTAATCACACGGCAACAGGTTGTTTGGGGCTAATTTCCAAGTCACGAGCAGTTACTGTATCAGCTATACGTAAACATGACATGAGACTCTAACGCTTCTAGAAAACATTCAAATACCTCTCGCTTGGCTAATAGATATATCCAGCGCTTTCTCGAGACCTTTCAGTTCAGTGCGCAGACGACGAAGCTCAGCCTCGCGTGATGGGGGATTGCGATGCGACATCTCTGTGTAGGCTCGTCGAAACGAACGATAGTGCTGGAAAACAAAAGATAGCCGCGTGAAAAGTGGAAACGAAAGCGGTTTTTGTAAAGCTCGCCAGATAAGAGAACCCACTGCAGCAAAATCTGGGAAATTCGCAACAGTGTATTCTGTGGAATGCTAATGATCGCGTTATTCGGTCAGGCTTGGAATGTATTACATCATGCACCAGTGACGATCCTACAAAACTTCAACGATCTTATTAACCATAAGTACTCGTACTGTACATACATAGCATGAGCCATGACGTCATTTTGTCCGCGTACAGCCCGCCATGATTTTGTCGTCGAAACTAGTAGTGAGTATTGTGCTATGCACATCCGCCATCTTTTAATAAATTTATTTCGCAAGTAAAGCAGGCATTTACGTCAATTTAATTTTTATACCCTGCTTCGCCTTCCAACTCATCGATAGTTTAACACTTTGTGCTCATATAATAAAATTATTATCAGTGAAAGCAACAAATTTTTGTCACAAAAAAATTGCTTCTGCAACCGGCATAACAAAATTCGGTTGGTTGTGCTACTGTACCAGCAGTAGCCATCTGTAGTTGTACATGCATGATCTTGTTATACTTTAACGTTCCATGGGTGTGCTGTGTTTGAATCCCTCTTATAGGGTAGTAATGCCGACCACAAGATACCGCATGCATTTTACCGCAATCTCATGGTCAGAATTTGTTTTTAATGAGAGCTTGCACGATTCTTGGCTTGCTAGACTCGCTTGCCTTGTTTTCTTACTGGGAAACTTTTACGATGATTTTTCGTTTCCTTTTTAACCGCTTCGGGAATAACGAGTATCCCAACCGTCGTCGCAAGTGTATTTGTTAACGTTAAGCGGCTTCCGGTTTGCAGTGTTGTGCCTTTCACATGTTATAATCTTCTCACTAACTAATAACTAACTGTGACAATCAGCTGTAAACTGTCTTTAAAACCCCGGTACGAGTACTTAGTAGAACATAGCATAATAGCATTGTACAAAGTCAGAAAATTTATAATTTTATACCCTTCTTAACCAAAAGTAAAACCACTGTAGTAGCATCTGCAAAATTAAGTACTTAACGCTGATATCAACGGTGTAATATGTAATAACATGAAGTTGTATTACCCAAGCGGAGGAAATAAGGCTACGTTCATCTAAAGTGCGTTATTAAACTAACAGAATCTTACTTCTTAGCAACATAATTATCATATTATGTGGCAGGACCGCAGGAGGCCGTGAACAGTGATGCTAGTGTAGCACTGCTACACTGCCACTCATAGCGTACGTAATACTTTTTGTTCAGATTCACGTTTATTATTATAAGTACAGTAGTCAGTAAGTATTTTTCAGCAAAAGCTCAACCATTATCCTGCGTTATTGCACATAGTCTTGACATTGCAACAAACACTTCCGGCGGCTCCCAGCAGACGGTGTACGTCAAAGAAACTACTGCTTTTGGTGTGCCGGGCGTTATGTCGTATCGCAAATCCGTAAATGCTGACTGGTCGTACCGGAGTCGTTCTACAAATTTGCTGTCAAAACAAAAACAGTGCAAAACATCAACATGCACAAAGAGTTCCAGTAACACTCTCGAACGACCACTTTTGACTGGTTGTGACCGTTGTCGCAATAAGGCTGCCATACTGGTATGAATTCTGAAAATCCTGACTAATCAACTAGCGCTGTATGCCAGTTCAAGCTTCTTTAAGGTTCCGTCGGTGCACTAAGCCAGCTTCCTAATACTTATTATCTATTACGATACAAGTAGAGCTCGTAATACCTGTACACCGTGACTACAGGTATTACGAGTAACCGATACACCGAAAAACTAACACTGTTGTGTTCAATGTAACAGAATTGCGAAGATTGTCAACGAGCATTCTGTGCGGTATGTTTCGGAAATGCTCATCTGGACCCAAAGAAAGGCAAACACAAAGTGCATAATATTTATTCCGAATCGGGACTTGAAAGCGTGAGAGATCCGTAATTAAAATTTGCTGCCGAATATTGCCTTCGATCGAATTTCTTAATTTTCTTTGTACTACAAATCAGCGCCATTGTATTGCATTTATAATTACAGACACGACCACGTCGACCAGCGCAATCAAATAGCGCATGTACAGAGGAGAAGCGAAGCGAAAGGGTGCCGAAGTTAAAGGTCAAGGTTTGCATACGCTATCGCAGCTAATGCAGTTAGATGCACATTTATGCTGTTGTGTACATCAACGCAGTGTTAATGACATCCGGATGCTACAAAAAGAGGAGCAACCTAAATAAGTGATGCTGCTTGTTAGTGTAATTTCACAGTCGGATGGCGTTGCAGGAGACCGGCGACGAGGAGGCGTTGCAACGGTCACGTGTGACATTCTGGAAAAATCCGTTTGGGGAAGCCGGCAGTGCGGCAGCGGCATGTCAATCAGGTGCGGGACTACACAGGGTGATAGTTCAGTGAGAGTAAATTAGGCATGTGTTTGCGAGTGTTGATTCAAGCATTTAATAAAATATTCAACCACTGTGTGGGTTACGAAAACAATTCGCTGAAAAAGCTGTGATGAGGGAGAGCGGCACAATTCCTAGACGGAAATTGCTAACCGAATGCAATTCGACACAACAGGAAAAAACAAAATATCCGAGAGCGGTGAACCAACAAAAATATACACCGGTTCACTGCGTGGTCAATTGAATGTCGATAATACCCGAACATACTGACGCACAAATGCAGCGACTGCTTGAGTGCTACACACAGAATCCTGTACAAAGCGACATATTGTTAAAAAAGCTATTAACTGATAATACAATAACTGCAAAAATTGCAACAGTGCTTGAAATTTTTTTAATTGCGCAGTAATTAAACATTTATTTATTTGTGTGTCTTATAGTGCATAAATAATCAATAGATACAACAAACAAAGTTTCGCTTGGAGCAAAGTCGAGACTCAAGACAATAATCACAATCTGAAAAATCAAAAAGGTAAAAAGCCAGTTAATTATGCGTTAAACTGCAGAAGTCATCAACTGCTTCGTAGCGACAGGCATTTCACGCTCACGCACAAAAAGTGAAGTGAATGTGCAAAATTCACCAAAATCAATAAATTATTTTATTATGATCCATGTGACACTCGGTGACCGCCTCCGATAAATGCAGCAAACGATCTTGCGCTTGCTCATTGTTGATGACATGCATTAATCATGAATGTAATTTCCTTCAATGCAAGTTCTGCAACTGGCGAACTACAAAATACAGTAATATTACAGCTTTTATGACTATCCCGTAAACGGTAAAATAAATCAACATCTGATCCTTTTATTATTGTGCCGAAATTTAGCGATTAGTTCAGGAAATACTGCTCAAAATGCAGCCTATAGCTATGAACAGTTAATTATTATTACTAAGAATTCGATATTTTGTAGCAAAATGTAAAAGTTTATTATGTGAGTACGAAACCTTCTTTTACCAAGTATAATGCTTGTACTTTAATTTTTAATATTTACTTATTTATTATTCTTCAAATTTGTGGTACTTTAAGTTTAAGTTTGTGCTCAGCTTTTTAGATAACCGCTGTTTAGATTTTACAATTATTTAAGCAGGTTTCTATAAACATTTTATTATCTTATTACGTAATCGGTTGCGCATCGAACAGGCTTTAATCATACTCGTATCCATACAGTCTGCACACTCGAGCTCGGATCCCCGGAAAATTAATATCCTGGGATCAAGTGACCTATGGGTTGCAGTGTTACATTAACGCTACTTGTTAAAAGTGCGTAGACGACAGAGGCTCATGGTGCGACTTTTTCTCTGCATATTACCCGCATCCGCAAGGATTCCTTACAGGATAATACATAGTGGATATATTTATCCACTCTTCTCGAAAAACAGACCGGAAGGCACAACGGTGCGAAGCCGTGTATATTGCGGTCACCCTGTATATAACAAATACAACTTGTGTAGCGAGTTCTGGATAAGTGACATCAAGTAGCAATTTATGTCAACGCCAGGAATACGATCATGTGCTGCGTCGATTAGCCGTGTGGGTGGCAGATCGCGAAGGGGGAATTGTTGGACGCTGTGGGAATAAGGGCGCCATATATCAGCACCCTTGATAGACGGTAATCACATGGGCCGTTGAATAAAGACGCGCGCTGGTCAGGTGATATGACGGGTTTCTACTAGGCCGGATATGTTATATTGAGAGCATGTGTTAATTGCGCTGGCGATAGCTGGGAGAGGTCATCGTGCCGGTAAAATGTCACTGAAGCGAATTTTAATTATTCAGCACGGCATGATATTTCAGTTTTCCAAACAATTCAATTAACCACTCGTACTGCCGGAAATGGTAACTTTTGACGAAAGATCATGCAGAGATCCGAATGTCCTAATATTATACCGCTGTCTTATATGCAGCTACAGAAAGATTATTATTTACTGTACTTTACATAGATGGCGGTAGAAAGACAAATTTTGAGCATGGAAGTGCTCGAAACGTATCGGTAGATTTAAACGTATACGAGTATAATAAACAGGTCACAGAAGTAAATACTTTGTATGTCGCTTTACCTCCACTCCAGTTGCCCTTTAATTTGATTCCCTTTATGTAAGGTCATGGTTAGTGGCAGCACAAAAAATTCAGCAGACACTCACAATACGCGTAATCGGAGGTTTATTTTTGCAGTTAGTACGTTTTTCCACAAATTGCAAGCCTTCGTTTATAACGGTATTTCATATTTTGTTTGAATAAATGTAGTCTGATTTTTTTCTCATGTTGACGTCCCTTAAAAACCGTCAGTGAATACTGTGTGCATGCTTTATTTTCATGTGTTGCTAATAATTAAGTTAGTTTCCAATCCAAGAAAAGCGGTTTTCTTATAGTTTACGCGTTATATGGGCTCTAGCTTTTACTTCGCACTACGCAAAAGCCGAAAAAATATGAGTGTCCGTACTAAAACACGATGGCATATATATATCATGACCGCAAAAGCTCCACCAGCAACTCCAAGAAAATCAATGCTCAGTTTTTGGAAGCGCTATATATAAACGGATAATCCAATAATTCATCGTATCAGTGAATGCGATGAACCTTCCTGAGTCATTATTATAAGGGATATCGTATATCATTGTTCCCTGGTCATCCTCGACGGCTATATGACAACATATGAATAGCATCGTATTTCCATGACGTCACGTATTCTTTTGATGTTTGGTGGTGAAAGAAGAGAATCCCCTTTATTGTCACAAGGCCCGATATCGTTTCCCGGGTTGAATCAACATACAAACATATATATAATATGTACACAGTGCACGGTAGTGCGTATATATGTATTGAAGTATACACTGTACACTGTGCAGTCACTGTGCGTGCGTGTATATGTTTGGCTTCCGGTGTCTCGCTTCCGTTGCGCCATATACTGCCTATGATTATTTGTTCGTTAACCATAGCTGACGACTGACAAATTTAGTGTTCTTTTCTTGTGTTTTTCTCCATCTGCTAGACGCTGCCGCGCATCAGTCTGCGAAATTCCGGTGTGAACTGCTGGATACGTCAGTATCGTCAGTAGTGGAAGAATCCTGTACGCAAACGGAATTTATCCAGAAACCGGCAGCAACGTTTCCTTTGACTAATGGTAAGGATGTTGCTTAAGTTAATTAATTACAGTAATATACCATCACGTCATGGCGTTCTAGTTATTTATTTCAGAAAATTTCTTGATACTTTTTGTTTGACGTTTTGAGCTGGCAAAGCCGATTTTCCTTTTTTTTGTTCTTACCGAAATGTTAATGCTAAACGTTCTTAATGCTAAACGCTTCGAACATGCTGTTTTGGCGCTGTACTTGCGTAATTCATACATTGTAAAATGTATTCGGTGTGCTCAGTTGCGAAAATCTTTGTGATATAATTTATAAATTTAACAAGCTTAAAATGTAAAGCGTTTTCTTACTGATGTATTTACGTAATATGAATTCTTCCGCATGTCGATCGTTAATTATACGCATTAAATATAGATATATGTGATCCTACAAAATGCGACCCAGAATGCATATGTAGTAATTTGTTTACAAAAAGTTTGAAAAGTTTTCGATTTGAGAAATGATATGATTTGGATGTACGGCAGTAAACAGCAGAAATACACCAAAGCTAAGTTTTCTTTGTTTTTCGCAGGTAATTTAATTAAGCAGGAAGACCGCTGTAGACTGCGGTATGACATCAACGGTGATTTAAGTGGGCTTGAAAGGACCAACATACGCTTATCGGAATACGTTGCTTCGGTGTGCCGGTCGGAACCTGTTCAAGTTGATGTTCGCTTTGAGTGCCCTCACACCGAGCCCGACAATTTACGGTCGGGAACCATTAGCCCAGTAGAACTGGAGCCGAAGGGAAAAGATATTGAAAAGACAGGTGAGGATAAATTTTTTTTCGGCGCGTAAAACAGCCGAGTGCGCTATATCAGGCGCATATATAAATGTACTGTAATTACTGTATAACTGACCTGTTTTTTGTAAGTATCTAATTAAATTCAACCAACACTTTGACCACAAAGTAGAGAAAAGCTGACACATTGCTCTATAGTAAAGCAATACACAGCAGCAATTTTTCCTTAACTGATACAGACAAATTAAATGCGTAACGAAGTATATAATATCGGTTCACAAGACACGGATTTATTATAAGGGTAGATACGTTAAGAGCAAAACAAAATCGATGGAACGTTTTGGTGATCATTAAATCAATATTGACCGCTGGGGATCTATGACTTCCTGCGGAAAGTGGCTCAATTTTTTGTCCAGCAGATCCTTAAGGGTGTACTCCCAAGACAGTAAGAAACACTTTCAATGCCATCGACAGCTGTTGGTTAATGATTTCCTTACCCTTACAAAGACAAAAACAAGAAAGGTATTATTGGATTTCTATATATATCAGCACTGTTTTCACCAAGCAAAGGTCAACCTGATTATTTGTAATCGGAGCTCTTATGCCACAAACTATCCGGCATTCTTTGTTATACATTCACAATAACGGTGCTCGAAAACAAGGTCACTTCTATACATATACGGTATATATTGTACAATAAATATTTATATGAAGCTGGACTTGATTAGGTGATAAAAATTTAGCAAAAAGCACATGCCACCATAGCTATAGCCAAATATCCGTAACTAAGGTAAAACAACAGCTGCTGTTAAATACATAATAACTTCTTTTAATGGATACTGAGTTTATTAGGTATTTATGCAAACAAGCATCCTCCTCCAGGGTATTTAATATGCAGCTCTCAAAATCCAATAGAAAATTTGTCGCAGTTTACACGAGACAGTTCTTTTTATCGCTGCCGGTCCTGGGTCTTGACAGCATAGCTTTGCTGTATGTACATACCGCTACAGCTTAAAGTATACGTTTTAATTACCATTTTTAAAAGACATAAATTTTTAATTCAAATTGGTAATACGAGTATGAATTCCCCAGTGATAGCTACTTGAACAAGTACACTCTATCCCAGGTGCAATACTTTACACAGTCTGTACAATATAAAATTTGCTTGTGCATAATTCTGTCCATTAAAAAAGGTTTTGAAACTTTACTGAATGGATATGCCAGTTATCATATAATTTAGGGCTCAGACGACTGTATATTTTTGTAAGTAAGCATGCACATGCACGTGATCGCAGTAGTATACTTTTAAAATTGCATGTTTATGAAATTTTCCCATTGAAAGAACTGAAAAATGGGTGGATTGCGTGCGCGTCGGATCAGGGACAGATGCAATTTCACTGAAACGCCTCTCCCCTAATTCGCAACTATCCGCGTAATAATCCATTATTCCCATACAGTTTTTCCGGGCATCATCTGTATAAGCGGGATTATGACATGGGCTATATTGCGTACAGACTACTCCATAATACGGCAAGATCTGTCTTTATCTTGTATACAGTATAACAAACCACTGGCACACCACAGCCTTGATAATCCAGCTGCGCGTCAGCCGGAAATGCTTATCATCCCGCCTGGGTGTTACAAAATTTCCGACAAATAATTAGCCATTGCGTAAGATTACGAGAAGTGTTGTGCGCGCATTGAAAAACCTCACCTGCATTTATTTATTTACGTCTTACCAGGTTTACATTTCATATCACATGTAAACGGTATATATGAAAACTAATGGATTACCTAGCGCGTGACAGTGAATTGCGAGAAGTGCGACAAACGGAAAATTAATTAAAATATCTTATCGAAATCGTCTTATTTCGCAAATTCAAATTTTTCCATACGCTTTATAATTAATTAATTTTGAGCATGACCGGCAAGAATGTTAATGTCGTAAAGCAGGAAGTTTTGTGGCGCAATTTCAGTAAAAAAATGTCGAAAAAATCTTTTTAGTTCGCCAGTTGTGAAATACTATTACGAGTAGTGTTAATTGTAATTCCACCAGATCGTATGACGGTGAATTTACTGTTTTGATGACAAATGCGAAAGACAATCTTTCAAAGCACCATAATGCCGAAAACCCCAGAGCATGATTTATGCCAACAATATAATCTTACCAATCGAACAGCGAACCACTTCAACGGAAATTTGTCAACGAGTAACTTAGCGGCTGTAAACACACAGGAAGCAGCTATTTTCCTTTATAGGCACTAGCCAACATTTTTAGCGACTATTGTTCTGTATAAACGCGTAAAAATCTTGTTTGCGACGGCATTTCCGATGCAGTAAGTATGTTATAACGTGGCTTCCAGCGAGACTTGCTGTACAATATTAATGACAAAAGTAAGATATTATGTAGAGATTGTACATAGACAGAAGATGAACATATCCACATCGCACCGGTGCCAGTTACAGGTGCACTGCAGATGCGCACCTTCGTGAACCCAATCGATTCAACCTGTACTAAAATGCAATTAAATGCGATGAGCACATCGGATAATAACAGAGCGCTGAAATGACATAACACAGTGACCACCAATGCCTTTTAAGACGCTTGTAGGAGATCATATTTTAAGAAAATAATTGTGACCATCGTGAGCTATACTTAGATGTTGTTATAGACACTTGTAAACAAAGCCTGTGAACCATATGTTTAACGCACCCAATCAAGTGATGCCGGCCAATGTGACATCAGCATGGTACTTCTTGTTATATAAATTGTGGATATTAACAGTTACGCTGATTAGATGGGAAAAAACCTTCCTTTCTAAAGTTCATAACGTAGTAATTATGGAATTTATAAACATATCGTGAGAGGTTTTAATAAGAGGCCATTTTTATTTCCTTAGTACATAGTACAAAATGTGTAAATAGGTACAGAGACCAAAGTTCAGTGCGGCCACGAATACTACTCGTATCTTCATTTCGAAAAGCAAAAAAGTTGCATTGCACCTGTGCACGTTCACTAGAGTAGATAATTTTCACCTTTGTTTGATGTTTTTTAAGTGACCTTCAAAGTGTAAGTAATTTTCAAAAATGTAATTTAAACTCTCTCATTTTATTACAGCGGAGGTGCACCGGCGCAACATATCCCGTCTGCTGAAATTTGCCGGCCTCAAAGCAGCAGGAACGTTCGACGAGAAATCGCGCTCGAAATCCTTATCCCCGATCAACGCTCTACCTGGGCCCATCCTATCGAAATCCAGTGTACGTTAAGAAAGTGAACCGCCTGATGAATGTGCACAACACTACAAGTGCATGCTTTTCATTTTAATGCGCGGGCTGTTGCGTCGTGCCCAGCGCTTAAGGCTATTAATACAGGAGAAGTGCACCTATTGGACGCGATTGCCCCAACTGCTCTCCATTCTTCCCTGATGTCATAAGCGGGCTCGTTAATGATGTATTAACCTCCCAGTAAAATCTATTACTCTTAATCATCCCCAACAAAGTGCCCGCGAGTAAAAATAGCCTCTGAATGTCGATATTAATAGAGTGTTTTCCGGCTAAAAGTAGCAACCAGGATGAGTTAATAATTCCTGGCTGTGCCTTTCTGGATGAACAAGTCATCGATCAGCTCCACGTCAATGCCTATCAATAATTGCACAATCAGAATAGCTTGGTCGTTACTGGCAGGTGATGTGCGCATGCGAGTATTCTGAACAGTACAGCGACCGACGTACGCGGTTAAAGCGGTTTGGATCACTGATTGGTCGTTATTAACAGGTGCTTACGGTGTACGAGTGCCCGAACTGAACGGTAGACAAAAGCGTACGTGAACCCGGTTCGTACGTGTAGAACGGACTGCGGTGGTGCGCGAACTTAGTAGGGCGTGTACAGGTCCGCGCTCAGCCACCAATAAGCATCTCAATGAGGTCAAGGTGTACGAGATAATGGAACAGCAATCGATCTGTATGCACAGCTAGTCATCATAAAAGTCTAACAAATCGACAGATCCACCTGTCGTTGTTCCACATGCCTCATTGCGCTTCCCATGCAAATGATGTGCAGCTGAAAACTCACAATCTATCCATAATATTTTTCATTTACGTTTTTCTCTCTCTGCGATAACAGTACGAATCTGACCATTGGTTGTACAGGATAATAAACACTTAACGGCCACTACACCACGCGTCGCATCTCCCGGTACATCCCGAACACTGCACACCGGCAACGCATCCAGGTGAGCAAGTAGTAGAAAAAATTTCCTTAGTAGTGCGGTAGACTTCTCGTTCTATGACCAAAGCGGGGGTCAAAGTAAACAGTGCATAATATATTTGTCCACATCGGCAAGTTTGCGGCTTTTGTTGTTGAGGTTGAATAATAAACTCCTTATCTGTCAAATTTTCATGTAGGGTATGCATGTGGGCCTATTGAATATCTCGGTTGGGTCTGGGGATATCCATTGATTTATTACAATTCTCTTATCGTTTTCCAATTAAACACACCTGGTAAACATTTGGTATGCGGAGAATATTTACCTTGTTACCGGTAATATACGGAGAGTTTATCGCTTTTGCGATATTGAATTAGTGCTGCGCCTGCTGGCATGCATGACCGTATTAATTTTACCAGCAGACGCTAAAGTGTAAATTAATGTTAATAATAATTTTATAAAATAGAATCGAAATTTCAGAACTAATGAGTATTGTTTAGTTATATCAGCTCATGTTAAATATTTATAAGCTAGATCCAGTCTAAAATTAATAACGTATAAAATCTTGTCACATGGTCATCTTATTGCGGCTTCCTTCGGATGATCCCGGACTAACTAGCCGACGCTTATATAATCTTTAATTCCGTCTAAACGCCAGGTGTCCATCGCAGTATTCATTATTCAGTCTGAGGTAGGTCACGTTTTGATTCGGCAATCACCTGCCGAAGACTATCATGGTACATCTTGTGATGTCGCGTTTTAAAAATGGTAATCTGGGATATGCCTGTGCTGTTCCGGGTGCATTTGCACGCTGTACAGAAATCTCCCGCAAAATTAGGGAACACCCAGATAGGAAGCGGTGCGTGCGCCGGCACGGCTCGTTTTCCGCTGATTTCCAGGCCCGCGCGGGCTTAATACTAATTACACCGCCCGGCTGCCGTGCCACGTCCGCGACCGGCGCACGCCATCGTTCGCTTGTTTCTACTGGTGCGTTATTAATTAGTCTGAGATTTGTCCTGTCGCACCGACTGGCGAAGAGCAAGAGAATGAGATCGTGACGATTCCTGCAAATTGGAACAATACCGGAAAACATGCTCATTAAGCTCTATTTCAGGATAGATTGCGTTGACGTCAGACACTGCATTTGGCAGGAAAAACGGGGTGCAAACGGTAGCAAGTATTTGCTTTTTCCGGTGGTTTGATAACTAACGATATGCATTCAGCTAAGTAATTTAATTTGCTTCGTTTATGCAGACATGCGTGTGCTGTAACCTTTCCGTACGTTAATTAAAATGGCCTTTACTTTTAACACGACCATATAATGAAAACTCAAACTTTAAATTAATGGTGAATATTTTTAGATATAACAATCATGTTAAACGGTTCGGAAGATAACTGCATGCAGCACGAAATGCCGTACTACATAGTATTAGTCTTCTAAGTACTGTAATACGAAGGAACTATTGTGCAATTTCTAACAATTTTTGCGAATCGCTCTGAGGTTGCCTGTTAGCGTGAATTTATAGCCGCGGCATTGGCCTGGGAAAAGAACACTGCTAATGCATTAATTTGCGGATGAAAAGTTTTGAATGGAAGTTGAATACAGCGCCGTATAATGATAGACTTCCGGTGGCACAACTGATTGTACATGACTGACAGGCGGTGCGAGTGAGCGAACGGCGGCGGCGTATGGATACGATTCGATAGCCGTAGTTACAATGCACAGAGTGCACCGGCAGGCACTGAAATATGAACTAATAGAGAACGGTAGAAACGGTTATTTTTACCCAGCGGCAAATGTTTTGATTTATTTTTCTGTCAGGCTACGGTGGTGAAAAAATCCAACCTATTACCGGTAAATCTAGTATACACTAATATTTTTAAAAGAAAAACGTCTACAGTGAATAATTGGCGCATTATTAGACGTGCCGGATGTAGTCGGCAGTTTTTGAGCGATGCCACGCCGTACATTTAGCGCTGTGTTTGGTAGCATTTGTCGTAGCTGCCGTCGTAGAGTGCCGTGACTTTTACTGATACTATTTGGAAAATATTGAATCACCGCGGTGAAGAATCAGAGATTTCTGGTCTATTCTCCCGTTGTAAATAGAAGAGCTAAAGAGATTAAGAGTCCCACCATGAGCGGCGCGGAGACTAAATTGCCTCTCGAGCGGTGGTGATCATACGTTTTCTTCCCAAGCATCATAGAAGACGGTCGGCCATTATTCGCCGAGCAAATAGAGGCGTTAAAGTAAGCCGATATATCAGCAGAGCGCTGGCATCTCTACTCGTACGGCATATACGTTATATTGTACAATACATAATACAACATTCATATATGCCAATCTGTGTTCTATTAGGCCAGCGGAAAGTATGCAAATCCATCGACCACTCGGCGTATCACTGGCGACAAGAATGCTGGATATTGATCATTTACCGCGCATCTGCATCACCAGCACATCCAACGTGGATAGTCTGTATAATCCGCGCCGTACACCGAGCCCGGCCGTTTCCGCGCCATCCTCCAAACCGGCACTGCACATTTACCCGCGCTCCCGCTCCCCGTCGCCCCTGCGCGCCCCTCCCAGTAGCGGCGCCTGTGCCGTGGAACATTCCCGTGTGGCGCCGCCGTCGGCCATCATGGCCGTGCTGTCCCGCAATGAACCCATGAAGAAATCCCCGAGTCTATCCTTAACCGGATATTCGCTGCGCCCGACGGAAGTCCCGACGGGCAGCCGGCTGCGCTCGGCCTCCTTCGGGCGCGAAGTGACCACCGGCGTCCCGCATAAATCCCCGTCGCCGGTGCGCTCCCGGGTCGGCTCCACCGCGTCGGTCAAGAAGACCCTGCCGGTGCCGTATGCCGCGCCGGCCACGCGCCGCAAATCCCCGGTGATCGGCGGCAACCGGCTGAGCATCAGTCCGGCATCGCGGCGGCCATCGTTGACCCCGTCCACCGGGTCGGCGGTGTCGGAGTCCGAGCCGCGCGATCATAATTCCCGGTATGAGCGGAATCTAAAGAAGTTCTACTCGTGGTGTCAGCACTGTAAACGGATACTCCGCGCCCAGCAACAGGATCCGGTCAAAGGTGCGTAATATGCGTGTTACTAAGGGATAGACGTTGTATTGTACAGCCAAAGGTTATCCGTGGGCAGACAGCACAAAGACGGTTGTCATGGTTATTCAGTTCCCCGGTGGTTTACGTAATTTGCGCAGGAAAAAAAGCAATTATAGGGTGTATTATTACAAGTAATGGATTGGTTATTTCGGTGTGAGATGCCAAATTGTGAGCGATTACTTCCTGTCTGACCTCCATGCATGCAGCACGGCCAACGAGCTAGATCGATTTGAGCGCATTGAAAACTCCATAAAACTAGCTGCGTTGGTTTGAAGCATAAAGTAACATAAAAATAATAAATATTTGCTTAGATTCTGGATGACATAATAAAATAATATTTGATCTTCTACTAGCATGCTAAAAATATAAGAAAATAACGATACGATTCATACCGTACGAAAATTTAAATGCATTTGGTAAAAAAATGCAATTACGTAACAAGTCAAGGTTTGTTTGGATTACCACGAATGATATTAGTAGGTAATCTTATCCGCTAAAATTTATTTATTTAGTTGCGTATTTGATCTGTGCAACGTAGCGCTACGGCGTTGTAAGAGCGATAATTCTTTGTGATATACACAGTTGCACAGCATATAATCCAGTAGGCATCGTCAGAGGAAGTTGTTAACCTTTTCATGGCGTATTTATAACGTCGCGTACGTAGCGGCAACGGTAAAACGGTACGCATTTGTTGAATTGTTGAACTTTCACTCTTAGTAATCCCTTCTCCGGCGCGTATATATCTCCCGTTTAGTTGGCTTAAGTTTCCAATCTTGCCGTACTTAATATCTTCCGTAGAGCGTAGATGAAAAGTAAATTTGGTGGCGTGTTACGTCAGCAGTATGTAATTAAGTGCCGTGTTTACACACTGGTTAAGACTGTAAATGACGTCCAATATGACCAATAAACAGGGCGACACTGTACAAACTCTCCACTGTAGTGAAAGCCGGCAAATGTCATCTGCGCCGGCTGTGCGCGCACTGATTGCCGTTTGCGATTATTAGCATTAGCAAACACAAGAGGGTCCAATGTTTTTTGCGCGTAGCGTGATGGCGGCTTATGAAATCGTCGTACAATACTAATAAAAATTACCACAGTACAAATCACGTATACGGCGGTGTTGTGTATTGCGGCTGCAAAGTGATCGCTTGTCAGTTGTCAGTGCAAAACCGGCAATCGCGCACACAGCACATGGCTTTTTATTGATTAATATACATCTGTGACTTTCTTTAAACCGCAATCGCAGTGTGAAACTTGGAACTTTTGGCAGACGATTATTAAGTATTTTCTTCCATCTGGATCATGTTATCGCGTTGTAACCATATTTTCTGGCACAAGCCGGTAATTCTGTATTGAAGCGAGGACTACTTTATTTTCGAGGGCAATTAGCACCGTTTTTAATGAGCTGCTAATTTCGCAAGACGCCCCGCAAATGTGCCGCGCCAGCGTCGGGGATATTTTTAGCTGCGAATTATTTCTGTTGACATTATTAGTTCCGACACGCTCATGCTGGCGGAGTTTTCGCTGGTCGCCTGGCTGCAGAAGCGCGGTAGGTTGAAAAGTTTATCGGGACATCGAAAGTTTCAAACAATTTTGTTACTACTTGAACTATGCTTTCTAACGCTCGCTGAACACGCGCACAGTTAGCCAAACCGATTTATCTTGAAATCTTGTAAAAATTATTTGATAATGTAGCACATCGTGTAATGTTTTGTATACGCGTAATTGTATACTACACCATCGAACAGGGAACTGAGTAATCTCCGCCCCGTAGTGGCTGATACAGATCGATGATTTGCTCGCATGTTTAAGCACGCATTACACGTATCGGGTTTTTCTGTGTCCCATACAGGCCTGTTAGGCGGAAGCGGTGCAGGCTCCAAACGCATTAGTAACAGCAGCGCTGCACGTCGATTAACCACCGCTACTCCTTCCGTCGCAGCGCACACTAACACAACAACAACACCCGCTACCGCATCCTCCTCCACCGTGATTAAAAAAGAGAAGAAATCCTCCACCTCCGGACTATTCTCCTTCGACTCCTCCGACCTCCCGCTCAAGGCCACCACCATGGGGTTACTGCATCCGCACTGTTGTAATAATAATACTGCGGCGCCGGAGAAGAACAGCGATGTCCGGCCGAAATCGGCCACGGTGCCGACATCGGGCAGCGCCCAGCCGATTCCCATTGAGAAGCCGAAATTTCAGTCGCTGTTTAATTTCGATGACGCGCTGAGTCTGACGCCGGACCAGGTGGACACCACGTGGATGTATGATCCGCTGGATAGTGATGATGATTTCTGCTACACCCTGGACGTGGAGACCATGTCGGTGTGCAGTGATACTTCCATTGTGGCGTCGGCCATTACCTGTGATACGAAACTCAAGTGAGTACAAGTGCCGGCTCGTGATGCCACTTGAAAAATAGTTTGTAAATAAATCAATCGTCATATATATTTCTAAAGTCTGGCGACCATAAAACGTGTAGCAGTGCACTGTAATAAACCATTAAACAATACATTAATACTAAGCCATTATAATAATAATAAAAATTTATATACTTTATAAAATTAGCAAAAAATAAACAAAAATATGACAAAAAACTTGAAAAAAGTAGTGCCGCATATTTTGTTACGGGATTACTTTGTTTATGCAGTGCGAAAAAGCTCTGTGTAAAATTAAGCCGCTTTCGCTTTTGAATTTGATGTAGTGACTGGAATAATTTAATTCTTCTATTTGCGGTTATATAAAGAGGGTTGGCTACAACATTAGTGTCGATAAAAGAAAACTAAAATCGTCACCGGAAGAGAAAGCCCCTAATGATTCTTTATCACGAAATGTTTATGTTGGATTTTTCTTTGTATGGGCAAACGACACAATGCGTTCATTGGTAAGAAATCATGTGAAGAGGCGCATATATATTTTCACTGATGGCACAATAGGCGGCCATAAATTTCCTCCACATTCCCGGGCTGTAATGGGTGCTTTTTTCCCTCCATTCAGTCCCAAGTGTTATTTTAAAATGCACCGCACGCAAAAGACAGGCCAGTTGCACGGGTGGACGACATCGGCGGGGGAAAAATGTTTGTACAGCATTCTTGATGGTGTACTTATCTAACACTCGGTACGGCAACAGTGTGAGTAGACCATATATCACGCGGGGCCACAATATAATGTAAATGCCCTATTTTGTGCGCTCCGGTCCGATGTGCAGATCCATCTCATGCATATTAAATAATTCGCCAATGCAATATTTATTCTCACCGGCCGTTTTCTTTACAAAAGCGCACACACACGTATAATTCCATTATTATTCAAACTGTATGTAGCTGGTGTTGCAGCGTCTTCAGGGACTGTTATTCTCAATGCATATGTATGCCATGCATAAAAACATGACATGGATTATTAATTCATGATGAGCAGTACAGTGGAAATTGAATGGTGGCCCCCGTGTCAATAGATTATTGTTCGGGTGTCTTGAGGAATACATATGCATGGTCCATCGATAGTCGATGGAACAAACAAATCTCGGAAATGTCATTGCCTAGAATCGTCCCACGTTTTCGCCGATCTGCTTTTGAATAAAATTTTTCTTAATGATTAATATTTGCCTACAGTGAAATTTTATGGATATTTGCGGTACTTAGAAATCGAAACTTTAATTGCAATAATATTTCCAACAATATATAAAAGCCGTTATTAAATTTATGCACTGATTCGGGCTATAACAGTTTTCAAAGTTTTATTGCTGTAGCGTGACATATATCAGGAAATCATTATAACTCGTATAATTTATGGCTTTGTTCCGCTGATTGTCTTGGAAAGGTTTACATCTGTTTTATGTTATTATGGTGAAATGGACGATTATATTACACGCCTTAAAAGTTCGATCTATGCAGCTGTTGACAACTAACACTAATTAATTTATTAACAAAAAAACTAAGCGGTTTGAGATAGATTATATTTGCTACGTCTGGATTACAGTTTTACGATTACGGCACTTCCGGTGTACATCTGTAGATCTATCAGTTTTTTTAACATGTTCCGCTCCTGTCTGAAAACAGTAATATATTTAATCTGAAATTGAAGTTTAATGACTTTTAACAAGGTATTAGCGTGTTTACAAGTTAAGCGCACAATTCCCTTTGTGGTACACAATTTGAAGTGGGCGTTGCCGCATGGGTGCACATTATACTCCACTGCCTGCGATCTTATCAAAGCCCATCCAAAGTTTTAATGGAAACCTGGAAAGCGACTTGAAAAGCGAGCTTCCCTGGGATATTTCTGGGGATCAGCCTGTACAATATCGTCAGATGGATTTTTTTTCTCCCTCGATTACGGTTTCAAGGTCAGGGAACATATTAGCCGGGGTACAGCAGTGAGACGGCGGGACCAGCTAACCGCAAATGGCTGGATCAGCCCGAAATAATTGTACGCTACAAAGAGATCCCTTCCGCATATACCGACATCCCGCTATCACGTCCAACTTACATCTTCTGCTGCCCAAGGGCATCCCGCAGTGTTACTCGGACGCGTTGCGGGAAGCACTCGTTTTCCGACTGCAGTAGAAGTCATTACACGACGCTGTACAAGTGCCTACTTTGCAAGAATGATTTTCTCGGCATCCAGTTTCTTGGGATTAATGTATTTCCATAAAACTTTCATTTGCGGCCTCCAGAATTCGTACTCATAACAAGCATTACCATAAAAGCATAATTAATTAAATAAAATTAGAATTCTGACTTGGAAATATTTTGCATAAATAAACGATAATATTTTACACCGTATACATCGATATCCGTTGAACAAAACGATACAAATTTTTATAGTTACTGAATAAGATTTTAAAAGATGCGTTATCGTTTTTTGAGAAATTGTGCTTTGTAACTAATAAGTATGATGTAATGGTTTTGTTTCTCTTGTAAGTAATTAATTACTATAAGCCTTATCTACCAGTTACACACTGGGGAGCCTGAGTTACTGTTTTTGCGAAATTAAGCACATTGTCCCCACCTCAATTTTGATTTGATTCATATACTATAATGGTCATTGTTATTACTCATGCGTTCCAATAGCACAACCCTCGTTTGTCAACAAACCGGCGTAGTCGCATTACTCCTTACTCGGTACGCTCAAACAATCAGCGCTGACTACATGTTTTTATGGTCGTAGACGAGTGATATCATGTGGTTACGATGGGCGATCATAAGCATGGCCACATGATTTCACGTCACTTTACTCGGGCTATTTTTCATGTACTGTATACAGTAATATATAGATATAAACCGGCTTCCGTAATAAATTATTGTTGTTTGTTGGCTGCAGGGACGATGATGAGGAATTCAGCAAAGCACCGCTAAGGAAATCCTACAGCAGCAATAAGTGAATATGAATGGGAATGTTTTCCACACTCTCTCGTGAATGTCTCTCTCTCCTCCACGTAATCTGAGCACTACCGGCATTAACACAGTGTTGTTTGGGAGATGTGCGGTTGTGTAATTGGCACAGATGACTGTTGTTTTCCTTCACAACCGATTCGCGGCCTTTGAGATTAGCTTCTTTTTCTGACACTTGACCCCAAAGTTCCTTTGTATAGAAATTCGATTTTTCAATATTGAACGCGTTGTGTTCGGCATTATGAGCTCGGCATTATGAAATGCAAATGTGTTGATAATAATTTATTGTACATGTTAAATGTTTCCGTGTTTAATCGCATCGAGCGCAAATGGTTATAAAAAACTAATGATATGGAATCATGTGTAATGCATCCGTTTGAAAACCTTGACAGATACAACGCAAAAAACATAAAAAACATTCAAAAAATTTACCATAAATACGAGCAGCGTGCAGACGCTTTAATTAACATTAAAATAATGACCGGTAGCTTACTTAGCTCACAGATAGTCTCTTCCCAATCTAACACTTTTGGGACCACGGTGTTTAAACATACACAGTATTAAAAGTTTTTAAAAATCCAGAAAGTTCATCCAAATTATCAATGCATTCAAGCTCCCGACATTGTCACAAGCGCCGAATTTCTGACTTGCATTAACTCTCTGTTTGGAAGAAAACGACATTGTTTAAGCGTTCAAAAAATCGACTAGGCACGGAAAATCATAAATGAGGCAAACCATATTCATAAATAATTAAGGAATAGGGAGGTAAAATGAAAACATCTAGTAAAACGTTTTCTGATCTAGATGTTTTTCTTCCCGTGGAAAACGTAAGCGGAACCCCTGTTATTTTTCCCGTGGGTGACCTCAATTTCCACCCTGTGGATTAGCGACACCAATTTCCATGTAATCGGATTGCTGTACATTTGCTGATTCTCCAAAAAAAACACTAGAAACCGCATTTACACGACATGTGCCGACCAAACGACCATCATTAATCTTCGTTTGCAGCTGGAAATTAAGCCGCAATTCAAACCCCTCACTCAGATACTGCACATACTTATACTAGTATAGTACTCTGCCCAACCCATGGACAATGTCGCTGTTGCCGCTGTACGCCATAACCGCGCGTTATCACGTTTCTACAGGGAGCGAAAGCCGGCGCGTGCCAATTAGCCCATGTTCATCAGCCAGTCGATTGTGCCAGTGGCAGTGTCCGTTCATTAATCACATAGAAACGGGAACAAATTGCGATGCTTTGATCGGGATGTAGAAATACATCTAATGGGTAAGGACATTGTCTTCCTGTCTGGCTTATACCAAGTGGAAATGCTGTAGTATTGCGCCGGTAAGGAAAGCCGACACCCCGCGGTCAGCGCGCATGCCGGCGTTGGATAAGTGACAGCAGCCATTTTCTGGCAACTGGCAACGTGTTCAGTGCCACCAGTAACTTAATTACACCCCCTCTCCGATGCCAAGGAGCGTTGCGCCGGTCTTTTCGATGCGCCCACGATCCCCAGATGTATTTTTAGAGCATTCACCCGGCCACAATCTATTGCTCGCTCACAGTTTGCCGGTGAACAGTTACAAAATTTAATATAAATATTTTATTCGTATGGTTTGTAGCACTAGAGTAGCAATAATATTGTAACTATGTACTCTGTACGACTACGTAACCCACATCCTCCGTAATAAATACTACGCCGCTACATAGACGCCGGTATCGATATTACGTAACGTTGTCGGCAGCGATGTTTGCGGTTTCTGTGTATAAAATTTAAAAAAATACTGCGTTTCTAATGTTTCGAGTGCACTACTGAACCGAGTCTTTGCTGCTTTACATGCTTTACAGTACATTACATTACTAGTAATATCGAATAGCTTTAAAATAAAGTTTGCTGCTGCAAAAAAATCGATGCTATGTACATTAATCGTAGCATTAATTTGCTCACTAGCTAGGTGACGTTTTGCTTTCGCAATGCTGCATTTCGTTAAGGATGAAAGCTGTTTTAGGTTTTGCGTCAAAAAATTTGATTGTAGTTTAAAACGGCTGTTTAATAAATTATCGCAGTTTTGTTGTAAAAAATGTTGATGTTTTTAATTATTATAAAATTACGTTGTACCACAGATAAAATAAAGAGGAAGCAAATTTGCACAAATAAAACTGAAGAACTGAATTCCCGTGTTTGTTTTATGCATTGATGATGCAAACCATTATCGATTGTGTTATGACCTTTCCAGTCCAGCCATGGACAACGGAGCGATACACATACAAACCGTAAATCGGCTGGCTTGCACGACTACCATCGCGATCAGTGGCCGGCGACCAAGTCATTATAATTATTGTGGTCCACAAGTGACACGTGACGACAATCTTTTACTCTGCGGCGTTTACAATCAACGGGCAGGCTAGTCCACATTGAATGCTAACTTACACAATCGAGTCCCAAAACAAAACAATGACAAATCCTAACATTTTTATGGTAGACCTTGGAAATGATTCAGAGCACTGCATCGACTGCATTGTTTGAGTGTCCCGGATGTCACAATAAAATTCAATAGTGGGTACGTTGTTCTGTACATGAAATGCTGCCCCAGTATAAAACTAATACATGGTGGTCTGTGTCCAAACTTCGGGACCGTCACTTAATTTCAACAAGATTTGTAACAATTTGCTTTGTGAACTTTGTTTAATTTTGTGATTTGTTTAACTTTGCTTAGTTAAGTTTGAGTCAAAATTATTTTGCCTGGAAAATGACCCTTTCAACTGTCATCGGGCTTTTGCTGGCAGTTGCGAATAATGTTTGCAGTGGTCATGTAAGTGTAAATGTAATATTAACTGACTGTTACATTGTTCGTACTTAACTGAACGTGTTGTTGTTCCAGTTGCTGTACGTAATTTTTATTTTGCACATTAGGTCGGATTCAGAAGTCGGCAGCCCAGGTTTATGGGCACCGTCGTAGGAGGATGGTGCGGGCTGGGTTCCGGAGTTGATTGCATCCCTGCTAATACGTTCTGCGACGAGGATTTATCTGCTGAATATACACAGCATTCATGCCGTTGCAAGCCTGGATACGTCCCAGATGAATTGCCGGACAGATGCATCCCAGGTACCCACTTATACTCGTATTTGTGGAAGTGTGGTCAGCACGTGCTGTGCATTCACAAGAGCGATAAGCAACTAACTTACTGCATTTGCTATTAAGCAGTATCAGCAACCACAATGCTACCCGATTTATTCTCTGATTATAATGTGGAGATTTGTAACTATGTAAATGGTGATTTGTTCTCTAACAGGGACGAATGCTACTTGGTTGCACATAGCAAATGGGACTTGCCAAGTGGACAGCGACTGCCATCTGCTTAACAACAGCCGTTGCGATCGGGACACAAAGCGTTGTGCATGTCGGATTGGATATTTAACAAGGGGCAGGCCGGATGATCTATTCAGTTGCGACGGTAAGCTATGCGTGACCTTTCACTTATCTGTCCAGATCTGCTTACACTTAATCACCATAATTATTACGCTTATGCCCCTGGAGTACTAATAGGTTAACTTTTAAAAAATGAAAAGTGGTTCTACAAGGGCATTTTTGCGGGTGATTATCGTAGAGGAGAAGTGCAACCTACCCCAGAGACCAAATGCAGACGCATTTTGTCGAAATGATTTGCATATGGATAAATGTGATCGAATTTCCGGGAAATGCCAGTGTTTCCCAGAACATCTTTTGGTAAACGAGATATGCCTGGGTAAGAATGATTTCACTTTGCGATTTCTCGATGAATGTGTGTGCGAGTGGTGACACCGATTCAGATCCAGCGAACATTTCGTGCACAACGTCTGTCGAATGCCGGGCAGTCCATCAAAGTCTGATCTGTCGTACTGATAAATCACAAGTAGCAGGAATATGTGCCTGTGTGAACGCCAATGAAAAGCTTCATCCATCTGTAAACTCCAGCAATCCACGCACTTGGACTTGTCGCGGTGGGTATAAGTAGTCAAAAAAAAGCGAAGCGTAACGTTAAAATCGTTTAATTGTTTCTCGAAATAAGTAACAGAACAACGCTACTACAACTAGTAGTACATCGAACTCGTTCGCGCTCTAGTACCGTATGACTCACAGTAAAATGCTCCGATAATGTTAGCGTGCTCATATTGTACATGTGGACTGCACATAACAAGTACCACATATAATATACTCTGTATATAAACACCTAATTATGTTGACTAACATGCTAAAGAATACCGTTGAATGTGTTCTGAGTTGTCCGGCACCACTTTAATTAGTTATTTTCTTCGGCAAACAGGTCAAAAGTTTTTTGAGTCATGCGATGGGGATGACGACTGTTGGACTGGCACCAATATGAAATGCTGGCAGAATGTCACTGGGATTAACGACAAACGCTGCCTATGCAAGCCATATTACAGAAGAGAGCCGGGTTCTGAGAGATGTCAGCGTACGTTTTTTTATTTATTACTACAATATTCTTCTTCCGCCATCACCGTTTATCCCCGTAATTCTCATAGCAGCTATTGGGCGCCGCTGTGCGGGAGCAGCAGATTTCTGTGGTCGATCAGAACCGGGAAGAACTATGGTGTGCCAGAAAAACAGTAACCACCCATCCACCGGATTATGTGTTTGTGACAAGGACCTGGAATGGGACCCAGATAAAGATAGCTGCCAAGCTTCATTAGCGATTTCAAATTATTCAATTAGTATGTAACAGTACTACTTCAAAAGTACATTGTAGTGTTTGCTGATCTCTTGCCTACAGTGTGCATGAGTAGATACCCCTCCGCTTATAGCGGGCCACCCACCGGGCGTAGGTAATTAGGGGGTAACTTACCGGCCGTTGCAACGGTTGGGGTTAAAGGTCACGGCAGGTGGTCGGCATCAGCTGATCGCCACTAATTAGTGTGCAACGGTGCGTGTCAACGGTCTGTGTGTACTATATCATGTACGTGTACGTGGCCGCTACGTATGGTGTTAATTTGTTAATTATTTGAATTAATTTTTTTTCATTATAGAATTATTTAATATGTATTTATTTATTCTTTAGTATTTAATATTCAGGTAATTCACTGGACTTTTATTTACAGTTCTTTTTCAGGTCGAATAGAGTATGAAATCTATAAAACAGAGATTCATTCGCAAACAAAATACGGCTGCTTTGTACAATAACACAAATCCCATCACTGCTGAATCAACGAGAAAAACTTAACAAAACAAATCCATAAAAATCAATCATCTCCAGATCATTAGTACTAGTTTGTACGGCTCACCAGCATTCCGCTGAATGGACAAGAAAAGGCGCGCAGAATAAAATCCATAAAAATTCATAAAGATCAATCATCTACTGATCATCAGCTTTAGTTCTATACACTACGGCAATGCCGCTGAGCAACAAAAGAAATGTATGTACACTGGTGAGACACAATGGGCTTACAGGTCGGTCGTCTCAACAATGGGAGACACCTCGCCCATTTCAATTGCATCGCGCCGGGGATCCTGGGCAAGGCGCTCTGAGCGTCGGCAAGAACGGCACAGCACGCAACCGATCGATCCGCAAGCGAAGAGAGCAGCGAACGCCCCGACAGCAGCATAAATGACGTTCCCGGCTGTCATTTCAGTTTCGGTAGAAGCTATAGAAATTTTAAAATAATACGATTTAAAACCATACAATAAATATACGGCTGAATTACCTACCACTTGTGGGAGCGGTAATCGGTGGGTTTGGCGTCATGACAGACTGGGAAGATGTTGAACTGCCAGTCGGAGCACTTTTCGGTACCGTGGGCGCATCAGTGAGAACTTCACGGGATGTGATCTGGGTCGACTCGATATCGCTTGTCTCCGTGGTAGTTGAAGAAGTAACGAAACCTGCAAAGTGGGGGGCATTACTGCAAATATTTTCAGCAGAAAATAAATTCCACATAAATACAGTGCGGCAAATCAAATGTTAGTAAAATAAGCGGCAAATCAGATGTTAGTAAAATAATTTTCCGCAATAATATAATGCGGCAAATATTTTCAGCAGAAAATAAATTCCACATAAATACAGTGCGGCAAATCAAATGTTAGTAAAATAATTTCCGCAATAATATAATGCGGCAAATATTTTCACCGTAAATTATTTTCCAGATGAATATAGCGCGGCAAATATTTTCAGCAGAAAATAAATTCCACATAAATACAGTGCGGCAAATATTTTCAGCAGAGAGTAAATTCGACATAATATTTTCAGCAAAAAGTTATTTGTTCTACGTTATTTGGCACGGACAACAATACCCGTAAAATATTTTTCTAGAATTGTATTTGTACGTACAATCAGCGACAACCGTAAACAAATCAGTAGGAACCATGCAAGGGAGGGGATTGCCGCGGATGTCCAAGTAGGTAACATTCGGAAACATTTCCATGATGGATGAAGGAGGTGGGATGACAGACAATTCATTGTTCTGGAAATAAAGGAGTTTCGCGGATGGATAGGTACCGACACCTGCGGGGAACTCCTGCAGCGATGATGAGCTGCAGTCGAGCACTCCCTGCAAATCCTCGACGATGCAATCTTCTGGAAACACGCCTCCTGCGCTGAGATGGATGAAAGCGCTCCCAAGGAGCAAGACCAACACACTGAAATGCATTGTGACCAATAAGATTCCAAAGAGAAGATGAATCGCCGAAATAATACAGAAAAATGGAATTGTGGGCAGGAGTTGTGGGCAGGAGTTGCATTGTGAGCAGGATTTTCCAAGCATGATGTAGTATAGACCGAGAGGTATAAAAACCCCGCGCTTGTGATGATTTCATTAAGCTCCTAAATCTGCATTTCGGACGTTTTAATATTTTCTTAAATTCAGATTGTCAACAACATCCCAAGTTCGATTTTATTCCACAATGGACCCACGCGCGTTCAAACGTTCGGTGCGGCACGGCAACGCTGCCCCCCATGGAACACCGGTCCCCTACTATGATGTTAATTCGGAACAGATGCAACCTCCAAGACCGTTGGAGAATACCTTGGGGTTTCATCTGGATCCTCACAACTTTAATGCGCTGACACAAAACGACCTTACCGCCGCCACTAATTTGGGGATGACGCTGTTGCCCCAGAGAGATCGACGATCAGGGGCAGAGTATCTTTTCGGATGTGACAAGACCCTGATTTATCTGTGGGGAGATCCAGACGCACCGATGGCGTTTTCCGTTGTCCAAATCGTTGACGGGAATAAAAGAATTGATCAGCGTCGGGTCACTTGGATTGATGCCAACGATCCGATGCGCGGTGTCACCCCTGTGGGATTTCGTGGTCAGCAGCGGCAGGATTACTACAATGAGAAAACTGTGGACACGATGACACGGAAAATGGTTTTGTGGGTATGTCAAGTACTTTTTATATTGTAATTGAGTGAATTTTGCTTTGCAATATCACTGTGTAGAAATTGTTGCTTAAATATTAACCGATTTTATTTGCAGGCGCACAAACTGATCGAATTTCTACATGTGGTTGAAAATAATGAACAGGTGGTCATGGAGCTAATTCCTGGTCCGATTTACAATCCGTATCCGCCAGCAGGAATACTGTCGTTCGAAAATTTATCGAGACAGTGCTATCCGAATCCAGGAATGCCGGACATTCCTTTCCGAACCACTGAGACCTCCATCATCGTTCAAAATGATGGTTATGTTGAGCAAAATGGCCGGCTGTTTGAATTTCATCGCGCTGGTTCCAACGGAAACGCCGGTAAGTTACAATGAGATTTTTCATAACATATTTTCCCGATCATATTTTTTAGGAATTTATTTACAAAAAATAATTTCTAAGATTTCTAAGATTGAATATAATTGTTATTGCGCATAAGCTGAACGTATCCTAGGCGTCTTGTCCGCCGCCCAGGAGTTGCATGAAGAGCGAAGCGGAAACGATTGGCACGGCACCCATGCCAATGCCAACTTGCGCTTGCCGGGATGGGCATACAAAACCACTGTGCCGGCGGAATCCGGACCGAAGCAGCAGCTTCCGGCACGTGAAGCAGGCACCGGATGGGGGGCATCTGGACCCAGTAATCCAGTGGCGGGGCCCTCAGGCGTACAGTTCCAGCGTGGAGCACAGCCAAGTAAGTAAAATTTAATCGCATATTAGCACTTGTATATTTATTATTCCGTTATCTATCTAGATATGCGCCAAAATCCATCAACATTACCCGGGTACTTTAGACCGTCCGGCGGTACACAGAACAAGCGGCTGTCGCAGCCTGGAGCTAGCTGCATGAGCCAGGAGGCTACATCTTCCACCGGACAAGCTGGGCCAAGTGTGAAACGCACTCGAGGATCGCAGCAGAGTGAGTGAATTTATATTTCCCGATTTATTTTCGTTCGGTAAATTAAATCAGTGGAATATATTTTCCGATGTATTTTTAGTCGGTAAATAAAATCAGTAGAAAATGTTTTCCAATTTATTTTAGACCGGAAAATAAAATTAGAGGAATATATTTTTAGCAGCAGTTTATAGAGTCTAACCGAATTTATATATTTTTTAACAGCAGGAATATATTTTTTAGCAGCAGTTTATAGAGCCTAACCGCAGTAACCGAATTTTCTTTAGGCTACATGGCCAACTATGTGGCCCAACATGCCGGAGGGATCGGTACGTCCGGAATTGTGGACGACGACTTCCCGCCAATGGCAATGGACGTGGCCGAGAAGGCTTTGGAGGAAGCCGGTGGAATCGCTTCACCTGCTCCCGATGCCGAAGGATCCGCTGATCCTAAGTAGGTTTTACTTCTCGTAGCTTTTGCCGTATTAACTGAATTGCGCACTTGTTTACAATACTGTCTACATAGTGTTAGTATTATTCCTTCTATTCCTGTCAATATTATTCCTGGGTCCGCATTAATGCAGTATTGCGATGATTTTGCTGAGTTTTCTTGCATGAATGCATCTCATGTCAGCGGGTGCATGCCAAATAATTTTAATAATGTGGCATCTTGTTATTATGTTATGTTATCTTGTTATTTCCGTTGTGCTTCTTATTAACTGAATAAAACGAATTACTGTAGGTGTAAAAGAAAAGAGAAGAAGAAACAAAAACGTCGCTGGGCCAAAGAGAAACATTTAGATTTTATTAAAAACTTTTGGGAAACCTTGTATTTTCGTGAGTATCGCCCATCGTCCGAATAATTTTTTATTCCTTATTTGCGTTCTGGCATTATTTATGTTCTCTCATTATGTGTTTTAAAATCAGCTGTATTAATAAAAGCAAGAATAAAAAAAATTGACATTGGGAACCGAACTCGGAACCTCAAGTAAGAAAACTAATGCACTGAGCGCTGAGTTAGCGTTAATGTGTCAACGCGCGTAAAATTTCATCGGTAACAAGCGAGATAAATCAAAGAGTAACCATATCTGCATGGGAATGCGTATGTACTCATCATAAATATCATAAAAAATATCAAATAACGAATATTATTGATAAAATAGGCGAGTTTTTAATTACGTGAGAATGTGGTCATAAACGGGTCATGAATATCATAAAAATATCAAATAACGAATATTATTGATAATATAGGCGAGTTATTAATTACGTGAGAATGCGGTCATAAGCGTGTTGTGTGTGTGAGAACTATATTGTCACCGGATAATTGCATCAAAAATTTGCTCCATGTAATTTATCGCATTAGTTCATCACCGAATCGTCAGTGTATCGTGTGTGTGTTTAATTTTGCATCAGTGTGTTCGTGCTTATGTTGATTAGCGTTGTAACTAGCTTGTGCTGCCATAACTTAATAAAACCGAACCAAAAGCCGATTAAGACTGCATACCTCGTTTGTTGTATCTGTTATTCGATATGGCACTGTTTGATTCAATTTTTTAATGGTCAGTGACTGAAAACAATAAAAAAATAATTACTGAGACTCGAACTCAGAGCCTTGAAAACTCACGCTCATCGCGCTGTACACTTGACCACAGTATGTCGCAAGCAGTAAAAAAGTTACTTTACGAACGAGACGTCAGTTCGTAATAATTTTCTGGAGCGAATCTTTCAGAGTCTGGGATTAATATATCTGCTTAGATGAATTTCATTGAAACATTTCATTTCATGTTTGCTTTAATGGTAGTGAACTCCAGAAATGTTTATCGGATTTATTCCCAGCATATTGCTCGATAGAGTGCGATTTATTGGTTAGCGGTGTTTGTTATGGGCGAAATTCATACATAATTCGGCCGAAAGTCAGACTTACATGATACTACGAATTTTGTATGCTAAGTGAATTCAGTCAAAAAATCCAGCAATAATAATAACACGGGGCAGAATATCGGGAATATCGCACACATATCACGCAATTAATAACCAATGGACAAATCAGGTGGAAGAAAACTAAACACATTACATTTTTCACAACAGCAAAACTTCGTTTAAGCTATCCTCTCCGTCTATAGTGCCAAGGATAGATGCTGCATTGAAACGCAGCTGCGGAACTGCTGGTAATATATCACGCAGAAAACTATCGGGAAATATTTGTCGCATAAATATTTTCTCGTATTTTCTCTTTGGGATTTTATTTTGCGCTATATTGTTTCTGAATATGTGCGAATCGCGCTGTATGTTTGACAACTAAATACTGAAGCCACAAATTTAACCGCAACTCCAGAAATGTTTATCAGATCTATTCCCAGTACTGTCTATTGCTCGATAGACTACGATTTATTGGTTAGCGGTGTTCGGCCGGAAGTCAGACTTACATGCTACTATAAATTTTATGTGCTCAGTAAATTCAGTCAGAATATCGAGCATAATAAAATGGGGTAGATATATCGGGAATATGGCACACATATCTCACAGAAAACAATCGGGAAATATTAGTCGCATAAATGTTTTTCTATGTCGCATAAATGTCGCCAACAGCCTTTGCAAAATTTAATGTGCACTATATATATTTGTCTGTAAATATGTACGAATGGCGCTGTATATTTGACAACTCATATAAAAAATAGTTTATCATAATAATTTATCAATATCCTGTGGAATACTTATGAAAAATCGCTTTTTTTGATAAGCTACCATCTCTACCATCTCCTAGCTCAATAATAGAGATACTGCTGATTTCAGGGTTATCAACTTTTGTTATTACTGGGAGCTTTGTAATTGCTTTATAACTTCGGTATAATGTGCATGGATGTCGGGGGAGCACAGTAGTTAAACACAACTATAGTGATTTCCGAATCCATGTCCACTTAACCGTTTAGCAAGAAAAGGTTGTTTGTTCCCCACCTCTATACGATTTAATAATGTAGCGATATTTCATGATTAAATCGCAAATATTCTGATGCGGTTTGAGTTTATCGGGTTCGTGTGATCTCGACGCTAATTTGGAAGCTCAAATACACAAATTACGATTTTCGTTCTGGTCTATAATGGTGCAATAATAAAAAGCGCACAGAGAATGCGCATTAGATGCAATTCACTCTTTCGCTTAAATATGTGCCATCAAAACTGTTTAAATATTTCTTGCTATGTTATGCGTTAACATTATTTAAATATTTGTTTATTACTTCCTAAATGCAATCTATGACGATGCAAAGAAAAAAACCGGCAACGAAAATCGAACAGGGGACGTTCTGAAGATATGCCACGCCTTTATATTCTACACTCGGTACATAGTTTTAGTAAGCGCG